TGCATTGCTATGACAACTTGAATAAAATGACAAAAAAAAATGAAGCAAACTTCAAATATATAGTTGATATAAGTGTTAGCATGCCCATGCATGTATTAGACCTTTCCCCTCTTAGCTTTTAGTTGTGATTTCACATTGTTTAGAAACGATTTAGTTTAACAAAAACGCAAAAAGAATCGGCAAGGTTTTCTTACAAACAAAATCGCTTCTTTATAATCAACTACCGTCACGCATTGCGCATTTGAAAGCTAAACTGAGGGGAAAGGTCTAGCTATTGGCTCGTTGTAATTCACCACCCGAAGTTTATTAATATACTAATTTCAAATGGAGCCAGCTATTAAACGGAAAATAATCAAAGTATATATCTGGGGCCGGTGTTCAAAAGGTGCATGGATAAGGTTGATACAGTATCGAGAAATATTGCATGGATAGTGATTTTTTTCATAAGCGCCGTAACTTCCAGTTTTGAGCGGAACAACATACCAAACCAGATGCGGAGGCGTGAAACATTTACCAACCTTAGATCCGCAGTTATTTTTACTTTATATTAATGAGCTTCCCGATTTCCTTCAGAAAACTACTCCTTGCCCTATGCTGATGATACCCAAATTTGTTGTAGCTTTAATAGTTTGCCTGAATTAACGGTTAAAACCTTAATCACGATTTGAATAGAATCAGTGAATGCCTTTCTACAAATAAATTACAACACCATTCAACTAAGACCAAAATAATGTTTATTCGCTCTAAACATCGTATCAGTTCAATTACTTCTGATCATCCACCGATATTAAACTAACCAACGGATCTCTAGAGTTCACTCTTTTACATGTTTTGGGCTCGAGTTGGACGAAAATCTTACCTGGAATTCAGGCGATTTGCAACAAGGCTGGTGCAGGCCTGGGTACGTTGAGATTTGAGACGTATCAAACACTTCGCTCCAACAGCCTCCCTTCAAACAATTTACTTTGAATTTTGTTCTCCTATTTGGGGTGTCTGTGATAATTTTAATTAGTGCACGATCTATATCTAGTTTCAATAGGTGCTGTGTTTTGATACCCATCCAATAATACGACAGGGATGATAAGCAGTTACAAAATAAACAAAGAAAAAGACAGTGAATCAGCGGAGTTTGTTCTCTTGGAAATCAGAAGTAAACTTTGCAGAATCAACCAAGACGACGCGCAGAGGGATATGACTGATTATGACGTCATATTCAAGCCAAAAATACTGATATTATTCGTCAGCTTTTCACGATTCACGCGGCACGCGTGGCAATCACGATTCATACAATGGAATCACGAGGCACAATTAAACAATACTCAGGAAAGTGAGCTCTACATAATAATATAAAGCTTATTGCTCGACAACAGCTTATCATGCACGAGTTACTCGCTCCCAAACCCCCCCCCCCCCGCACCGCTACTGCGATGAACTCGAGGGTTTATTTCATAAAATCTTGAAACAAACGCTGCTTTCAGTGCTTTTACTATATTCTCTGGATTAACTAAGTCAGAGCATTAAAATTAACGTAAGTCGAATAAAAGTATTCCTACCATAGATAACCATGTTCCTACTGAAAAATCAGGAACACTTTCGACTGAAACTCAAACAAAGTAAGCAACTATGGCAGGTCCGTCGTCTTGCTAGAAAATGTACAAAAGTCAATGTCAAAAATCCGCTAGGATAAAAATCAGTGTCAAAAATCCGCCAGGATATTATATCAGGATATTATTTATGATGAAAGCGAGTGCCGACGATTTTAAATATCACTCATACTTTGGTAGAAGTTGATTATTTATCAATAGATTATGGATACTGTGCTTTTATATTTTGCACTCACGCCAAATTAGTGCCCCTGCTCACTGCTGGCAAAAGGCGAAGACTTCAAGGCTTCAGAAAATGATTGAGATTCAGAAAGAGAAAAAAGATTTACAATGCTCAACAAAAGTATGTCTTGCACAAAAGATTTGAAGTTTGCACATGGCAAACTGAACGAATCATGGCGTCTGAATTAATAACCTTGTATACTTAAAGCCTCAAGACTGTCAGATATATGTATATGATGGGCTGTCAAAAGATTGCAAAAAATAAAGATAGAGAAAAAATTTTTTAAAGTGTTTCTATTTATTTCAATAGTTTCTCTTTGATAGCAATTGTGCACAATTGTGAACAAGTGATTAGATTTTTGGGTTGAAACCACCGATTTCTATAGTAATTTATGTTTAAATGCTGTAGGAACAATGAGCGTTCAAAGGAAATCAGACGGGCATAAGACAAATATATAAATATACATACCCTTTTTCTGGCTACGGCCCTTCCTATCTGTGTCAGCCTCAGAGCCGTAGCGAAGCCTACAATTAGGGGAAATAAGTGGGTTGCATATTCATATATTCGTCCTGACCAACTGATTTCTTTTGAAATAATTTATATTGTTTCTACGTCCATAGAGAGGATGGTCAGCTCAAACATGCAAGAGCAACAGTGGCAAGAAGCATAAATATGAAGTGCGCACTGGAAATTCCCCAGTATCCCTCTGGGCCATGCAGTCCTCCACTGCTTACGCCTACAGATCTTATCCAATAACATCACGTGCACCATCACTGCGTGAAGATACAATAATAATGTGGTTCACTAAATACGAACTATAGAAATACGGTAGAGAGGACATTCGGATTATTAAAGAGATTATTTCATTGCTTGTCTATGACCCTGTTTACAAAACCTGAAACGACACATGACATTTCACAATTCGCGTAATAAAGGACGATTGGGCCTTGATGAGCGCAGCACTTCACTAAGCTATATATATTAGTATATAGTAATGGACCAGGTCCACCATATTTAGAACTGAGGTTTCTAACAATGATTTCAAGTAATGTTTCAATACAATTTAAATCATACTGTATAACTATTTTTAAAAACGTGAATTGTAACGTATCCCTGCAGCATACTTACATAAATAATCATATTCAGTTTGTGCCGTATCCATGCTTTCTGAAAATCATTATAGCAACATCATATAGCACGGATAACTGCATGGTCCTTGTTGGTCATCAGTCTAACTTAGTTCTCATACACTTCCTTAGTGGATTCCAACACTCAACATCAACGTAAAGCACTCCCTTCTTTCTTTTGTGTATTTAGCTGATGTTAACTGGTTGACTGATCTCCATGTTGCATTGTTGTTCATGCATGTTCAAACAATGCTCCGCAAACAACCCGATTTTTGTTCCCACCAGAAATCAGTGCAGCGGCTTGTATACAGGATGTCCAGAAACTAATGTTGTTAATTTGAATGGTCTAACAATATTAGTACGGTAGTGCTCTATGATATTGTTTTTGATCAAAATTCGACGATGTTGAAACCCTTTAAAATATTTTAACTTTTCTCGCCCTATAACGGCTGTATCACTATAAGCTGAATGCAAAGACCAATCCATGCCATGCAGGGTAAGTCAGAATAAATTACTATTAATTACTATTATTACAGGCTCTCTAACTTGCAATCAAATTGGTAGATTTTGATGCAAAAATGTTCTTTAGAAATGAATAACCAATAGCTTATTAAGGTATATAGCTATAGGACTGGAAATAAGGCTTTACCAAAGACTACGAACAACAACCATGCATAATAAATGTATAAAGCACCCGAATTAATGCCCAATGGAATTTGAGGTAGGCGATATTTTAATATGCGTAATATTCTAAAATTTATATTGTTCTTAAGCACAATAGGTTTTGTTTTTATTATTTGGATTACACAAAAACTGAAAACCCGACCGAAGTGCAAAACAATATTGGCCCGCGTTGGCTTGAGCCGCTAGAGTACGATTACATGCAAGCTTTCTTTCTGATGCCAAAGCTTGAAGACCTTGGGACAGATCATAGTCACTCTTTTTATATCATAATTCTACTGCGCTCCATGAGTCAGTCAATCATACTTAAGTAATGGAATTTAGCAACTGAGTACATGGTGCACCCTCGTGACGCCATCTCACACCACTGAATCACACTTCACTAGTTCACTTGCACTACTTCAATAAACTTACATGAAGGTACATCTCATTCCCTTTTATATAACTGGAGCGTGATTTTTTTCATTCAGAATACAGGCGTTCGTTCTGCTATCATGCAAAAATTCTTTATTTACAATTTCCTAAGAAATAAATAATCTTATTAATATTAATAACCTAATTTCCAAAGCGACTAATAAATCGTCAGGAAGTCAGGAATTCGATTTTTATTTTAGTTTTCATCATTGATTCGCTGCATCCAGTGATCAGTTAATAAAAAGTCTCTATGTTGAGAAAATCAACAAGTACATGAATAAACCTTTTGAGCAAAAATTGTTTTACATCTGCCAACGATATTGCATGTATATTATAAAATCCTTCCAAAGTTTAGGGGGCAACACTCGCTTTTCAAAGGTATAGAGCTCGACTAGGCAAGTCAGTTCACTCGATATAATAAGCGCCCCACTTGCTCTTAGGCTTAGCTCAACAATGATTAATTTCTTGGCGTCTTTGGTTGTCTATGAGCCCGTCTGAGTCCGTTGCTGGTCAGCAGCTCAGCTACTGCTTCAGAAATTTCCTTATTTGAACGTTTTTTACCACGCAATTCCAGTTCGGGCGGGCTCGAAAATTGGCTCTTCGAGTTGATCCTGTCGATTGGAAATTTTTTCTTCTTAATCGGTGCCCGTTGGGTGAGATCAATTTCTCATAATTCCATGATGATGACAAGTCGATAAAATGCAATTACGTATTTTAAATACGACAGGAGTGGGATGTGTGCATGTGACCGAGGTGGACGTTCATGCGACAAGAAGCAGCAGTGGCCAGCAACAATAAATTTTGACAATAAACAGTCTGAACAGTCAGCGCTTAGTCCAGCGGTGTGCCAATCGACAAAGATCAGCGGCAAACGCTACTAATGACGTCATCTAATACGTACGCACCGACGCACGCGTAATTCGATCAGAGCGCGAGACACAGATAAATCTGTCTGGGCACAGCGGAGACGACAATTCATCTGTGAGTGTAAGGCCAAGGGCACGTTCGTTTCTCGACAACTAGATCTGGCCAATAATGGGTATAAGAGAATTTCTAAAAAGACGGCGTGAAAATAAGAAAGAGTTGGAGCCTGTCCTTCCTCCAGATGGTGGCTGGGGCTGGGTGGTTTGCGCTGCTGCATTTTTCATCCAATTCATTGTTCTGGGCACTATGAATAATTTTGGAATCTTATATGTTGAACTGTTCGATGATTTTGGACAGAAAGCGTTCCTAACATGTAAGAATTTGCCATTGTTATTTTAATACAATATTGATGTTGTTCTTATTGCCCAAACTACCTGCTGTTGCATGTATATCAAATTCCAAGCATTGCATATTGAAGGAAAGTATATATTTATTCTTGCTTGCCCTGCAAAATGTTGTTAAAGTTATGTGCGTCCATTCGTTGAAACAATGTTGCATCATTTTATAATTAATGTTGCAAGGTTTGATTCAGGGGTTTGTTCGCTATGACTCAGGGATTAGGGATTTGTTCGTTTTGTTTCAATCAGAACTCTCTTGGAGTACCTATAGTTTTACCACGAAAAGAGGTAGATTTGATCGTGTTGCGGTACTATAAAATGTTCCCGTCTAATTGACCTTGTATGACCGCAAGATACAATATCGTACAATCCGAATCTCTCCTGATATAGCTATGCATGACCCAAGGCTCTATTATATACTACAGCGTCGGCAACATTTGTCCGTGTGCATTAAAATATAATATTCTCTACAGTCTTGAACTTTTTATGAATTCGTACCATCCGCTTATACTGCTTTTAATGCAGATAATATGCCACTTTTGACAGCTGGAAAACATTTATTTAAAATAGAATTCCACATGTTTAAACTTTCAATATTGAAAATGGATGGTTTTTCAAATTACCGATAGGTTTCAACTGTCACTGGGATCATATCAGGGTAACCTACTTGAAAATTAAACGCTTTAATTGCCGTTTATTCATTGTTGAAACAACTATATTTTTTTCAGTGCGGGTTTTACCCCGTGGCAGTTTCGGCTTGTCAGCTTGACTGTGTCAAAGACTGTGTGTTGCGCATACATGCATTAATTATTGAATACTGGTCACCTGTAATTATACTTACAACCTTGTGGTGAAATAGCGTAGCGTAGCTGACTTTTTTTAGAGACAAATCTATCGTTTATTGCTTTTCTTTATCAGTATTCAACATTAGTTTGTTTATCTAGTCTAGAAAGTTCAACTCTCCACCAGAGATTGCGAGTATCACGCGATAATCATTATGTCATTTAAAACGGCATAAAATTATTGATTGTAAGAAAAACAACAAAAAATATCAGTCGTGCATATAGTCATATGACAAGTCATATGACAAGTGTATGACTTGATCATGCTTATGCTTAACCCTTTCAATGCAAATTTTATTTTAATAAGAAAGCTCCTTACTTCGTCTCGGCGAAAAGGATATGAATATGAGTCGGAATTGCGTTTGAAACACCAAATATAAATATTGTTAAAATAATATTTCTGTGGATCAGGTTCGATATTCGACACTGAAATACAACGTATCAACTAATTAACTGGTTTCGAGAATCAACAATGGGAATGCACAACCTCATAGCCAGGCTAGTTGGGAAAGCATAGCTTGTCGTGAATAAATAGCCACCTCGTATTGTTTACAATTCTAAGCTCGCTCAAAAACTGTATAATCACAGCAGACATGCCAGAGCACTTGACTTTCTTGGGCATAAACATATGTTCAACCATGTTTTGAAAGACCCTGCCCCTGGGATGAGACATTGCCTTGGCCTTTTTGAGAGAAAACAGGTTAAACAGGCATTATTAAAATATTGATGGTGGAAGAAGAAAGACAAACCTTTCGTAATTGTAGTCAACACATGCAGTAAAAAATGAATAAATTATTATACTCAATTGATTACTTTATCAAAGGACAGTATTTAGTTCTAAATAGATATTCTATTGTCTATTGTTAGTTGTTACTTATCATATTATAATTCAGAAGTATTAAACGTACATATTACATAGACATAAAGAGTTAAACGTTCCTCTCTGAGTGGTATTTTAGTTTTATTTACAATGCCACCCGTATAAGGCAATCAGTATTTCTGTTTAAATACAATACATACAAGAAAAATTTCTGAATATTGCACCATTAGGACCCCCTGACACTTCGTGCATTTTCCCGGTAACTGGAACGTAAATCGGGCAATTTGTTTTGGCCCTATTGAAAAATATTAGCTGGTAACCGTGTTTATGACCAATTATCAATCCGCAAGATCTTTTGCTATCTGTACTGGAGAAGAATTTTCCGACTTAAAAAAAGGCTGATGTACGTCAACGGCGAAAGTAGTTACATATAACCTGTGCCTGTGGTTAACCTCAGAGTGGTTGTTCGTTTCAGTCTTTTTTTACGTGTAATCTATATATAGAAAAAAACAGGCTTGGATCACCTGTTTTAGATATTTCATGAGATATTTTATGCAATTTGTCAACACATGACCACTATCCACTAAGGCACTATATTTCTCATCTACTGAGTTTAAAGGATTTACGGAATTAACCTTGACTTGTTGAAAGTTTGCAAAACTTGGCTATATTGTCAACACAAAATAATATGCCCGTGCATGCACTACCTTTTTGTGTGACTTTATTGATAAACATGCGGATGTATTTGTCATTTTTTATTTGGCTTTAGTTTGTATAAGATTAAAAATATATGAGTTCAGAGCTTAAGTGCATGTCGAAACCATTAATTAAGATCATCTACAAATCATCAGTTCAGTTGTTCATGATTCCTAACCTCTTTGCTCGCAATTGTTTGGGAATTCGACCTCTTGTATTGAGAAATTAAGATCTGACCATATTTTGAGTTGTTGATGTTATGAGATACCCGATATAAATATAATACCTACACCCCCTATGGGCTATGTATAAATATAATACCTATCACCCCCTGTGGGCTATGAATAAGTCAGGTTAATTTTTCTCAACTCGGCTCTCCTCTGGTCTTAAAATTCTGCACGATTCTCCATCAACGCAAACCACCCTGGTATTGATCTCTCTCCAGAGAAATACTCGAAATGATATCTACAAGTTACAGCCTAATATAGTCTAGCCTCCGTCCTTTTAGGTAGTCCTAGTTTGAAAGCTAGGGCTTGAAGTTTCCGGTGTTGATAAAAGCTTGATTTCAATGATATGCCAAGTTTTCGTTTTTTAATCAAAGCGAACAAAATTCTCTCTCCAAGCAAAAATCCAAAATGATATCTATAAGTTACAGCCTATAATATAGTCTAGCCTCAGTTCATTCAGGTAGTCCTAGTTTCATATTCACCGTGCACTGTATAAACGAGGTTTGATCAGTACTTTAATTTGCGCATACTTGACGCGTAATATGCAAATTTGTGCAAGATGAAAACAATTTTTTTCGCAAAATCGTTAAAATAGCATCAGATACGGCAACACTTTAAGGTTCGGTGGGCTTCCAAGCCATATGGTATCTGTCCATTGAAGCAAAAGCTCGATTTCAATGATCTATAGGCTTTAAGCCTAAAATAATACAATGGATCCCCGATTCTTAGAAGCTTTTGTGAACCAGATTAAAGCCTATAGTTTTCATGATGTATTTTTGTTGGTGACTGCATGGTGACGACATTTTTTTTCAAAATAACAAGGCTCTTTATTCTCCAGTGACGACCGACCTTGGCTTGCGCCGACTGTCCCATGCATTGCCCATTGTCGGTGATTAATGAAAGCTAGGCACCTAGTTCATGTATTGTTGGTGTATGTGTATTCAAAATTACAAGGCACTTCATACTTGATTTGCAGCTCGCTCATTTTGGTGGCAGGAATGCACAAATGCTTGGCTGTGGCACTGAATTACCAAATTTTAATAGTAGTAGACAGTTCATATTATATTTTTCTCATGAGTCACCGACAGTCGGCGATGTCTATTGTTGCCGGGATCATGCACTATAGAACAGTGCTTGGTTATTTTGGATAAATTTAATTGCCCCGCCGACACAAACTGCAAAATATATCGCCCACAACCAGGCCTAACAGAAATTATATTTAATGTCGTGAGTCATGTGGACGGTATGCGTATTTCACATACGTCAGAAGACAGAAGTTCTCATCTGAAAAGCAAACTTTAGTTTGCACGTCAATCCCTGAAACAGATACCCTTCACCCTGCAGTAGATCAATGTTTACGCAGACAATTAACTTGCGCCACAAGGTCAAGGGTAAGCAGGTATATGACCATGGGTGTGCGACATCAGTGAAAAAACAAAGGCTCGATTACAAGATTACAAAATAAGGAAAATATTTTTGCAAAACGACCAGCTGTTTACGTAGTGTAGATTTATATTCCACCCTGCTGTTACAAAATTTTTGAAATAGTGTTGTTATAGAAACTACTTAGTGCGCTCCCCCATGATTCGCCAGAGACAATCGTGCTTGCATCTCAATTTTGACCGTTTTGGCAGCCATATATTTAGGTACAAAAATTATTTACACATGAAGCCATGAATAAAAACCCCATCACAATACATTGATTGAATTTGGAACGGTCTCGACCTTTTTCACCATGACAAAGCAGCTAACTGTCCCTGCGTATTGTTTTTTTTTTCAGCTCTGATTGGTTCAATCAACTATGGCGTAATGTTCATGAATGGTCCGATAGCAGCAGCCATGGCAGCCAAATATGGATGTCGTGCAATGTCGATGCTTGGAAGCATCATATTTTCCATGGGCTTCCTTTTATCCTCTTACGCTCAAAATATCATCACGTTATATTTTACCTATGGAATTATGGTCGGATTCGGTGCTAGTTTGTGTTATTTTTCATCCTTGGTTGCTGTTGGTCAATATTTTTATACGAAATTGTCTTTAGCAAATGGGATTATATCATCTGGCAGCGGGATTGGAACCCTTGTCATGGGACCAGTCATGAACAACTTATTAAAACTGTTAGGATGGAGAGATACGTTACGGGTCTATTCTGGACTATCTGCCATTATCTTCCTAAGTGCATTATTGTATCGTCCCATCAATTCCAGCGCTGTCCAAAATGAGAAGAATGAGAAGAAAGAGCCGGAGAAAGCAAAATTTATTGATTTTACAATCTTCAGAAATAAAGCTTATATATTCTGGTGTACTGCTCTGGCTATTTTCATTTTAGGATATTTCGTACCGTTTGTTCATTTGGTAAGACTTGGCTCTAGTTATTATATTTATGCAGCCCGGCTGACTTTGCAAATGACATAGTTTGCAAACTCAGGCCCATCTCAGACGTCGAACCTTTCATTATTAGAATCGACTTAAAATAAACTTAAACGGAAATTTTTGCTCATGAACAAGGTCGAGCACATGAAACGCTCAACGTCTGAAACAAGCCTTAATGTATACCTAAATTTATTGTAGCACCTAGTCTCCCTAGAGTATAACTGAATGGTCCTCATCACAATTTTCTTAACTCCAAATCCATTCTTCAATATTTGTTTGAAACAGGCGTGCAATTCGATCCCTACAGCACAGGTGTAATTTTACATTTGAACTTTTTTCCCTTCTTTTTCAAAGAGAAGTTAGCTTATAACAATCATGCTCTTTGTCTGAACTTAGAACAACAGGTGTGTGAACAACTAACAACAGTAGCTATTTATTTTAGGTAAAATATGCCCAAAACAACGGTGTATCGCAAGATGACTCGGCATTCTTAATTGGTATTATGTCCTTGGGATCAACATTTGGTAGATTATTCTTTGGTCCACTTTCTGATCATCCTAAAGTTAATAGACTTTATGTGTATCAACTTTCAATTCTCTGCATGGGGATTTGCAACACACTGCTGCCATTGATGAAGACACATGCTACTATCGTGTGTTACTGCGTGGTCTGGGGCATATTCGAAGGTTGTTATGTCGCATTGTGTGCCGTTTTAACCGCAGATATTGTTGGACGGGATAAGTTATCATCTGGGGTGGGTGTGTTGTTTGGCATCAAGTCTATTCCGTTAACAGGAGGGCCAGCGTTAGCAGGTAAAATATTATTCACCCACAAGATTGATTGTATTAGCTACACAGGGGAATTATTAGCTAGAGTATATAAAAAAGCAAATCCCGAAAGAAGTTATGAATGCTGCACGAGTCGCTTTGCTTGCAGGCGTGCATATATGGGTCGTTTAAGGCTAGTTTCCACTCAGGAAAAATCTCCTTTGGATCGGAACGGACAGAAAAATTTCCTTTGTCGGTGAGTTCTCAGGCGGCGTTTATACAAAGGAAACTTTGCTGTCCTGTCCAATGCCAAGGAGAATTTTCTTGAGTAGAAACTAGCCTTTACACCGCCTGGGCAATGTGAAGGTTGTTTAAGTCACCTTGTTACGTTATGTTTAGGTATAGGTGACTTTAAGTTCTAAGAAAGATCTACAAAATCAATAAATAGATTGTTATATTTTCTAGGTGCTATTTACGACATATCCAAATCCTATGACGTGGCATTCTACATTGCTGGGGCGGTCTGTACACTCTGTTGTTGCATCATGTTTCTTATCCCACTCGCTATGCCTGAATCTGCAGAGGAAGTCGTCGCTTGTGAAAAGTTCGACGACATTGAGAAGAAAGCATCAATGGAAAAGAGCACTGTTGCAAATGGAAAATTAGAAAATGGAAGAAGAAGCGATGATTCAGCTTATGTTAGTGGCCAACCATCAGCCATCGTTCTCCGTCCCAGGCCTCAAAGTTCTTATCTGTCCCCATATCGAGGTGACGAATTAGTTGCGAGTCCGTCAACGTTGTCAATTCGTCGTTCCATGAGTCGATCAACGGCATCCCTTGCCCATAGATATCTTGAACCAATTGCAAAGAAGGCCAAAAGTTCAGAATTTGGTAGCATGATGTCAATACCTATAATCCCGAACTCAGGAGCTTATCGATCATTACAACAGATTCCTGTTCTCACAGCAAGCGTGGATCTACATCAAACTAACAGCCAACACACAAGCTCTCATAACGTGAACAATGCACAACAAGAACGAAGAGTGCCTGCAGATATTCCAACTATTGTCATTGACGATAATTTACCTGATGATAATTTACCTGGCGATAGTCTTCACAACTCGACTGAAGATATCAATGAAAGCGTCAATCTCATATCACAAATACCAGGCAGACAAACCGATCTTTAGTTATTCAATCAAACACTCCACAGCAGATGTTGCGAGAGCCATAAATTAAATGGACCACGAACCGATTAGAAAATGTCTCTTATTCGTGTTATTTGAATAAATAAACACGGTTTATAAATGGGGAACACAAAGCATAAATTAGTATTTAAAATAGCATTAAAAATTTTAACGCTATCAACCAAACTTGCCAAAAGCAGGACTGGAGGATAATGTACCAGTGTATCTGCTATGTTTGGAGAATGAAGGCAAACTTAGCTCTGTGTTAAGGAAATGTTTTTAGGAGAACTCGTGTTTTTCCCTTTTCTAATGGGTCGGAAATTTCTAAAATAGTTTTTGAAATTTTGTTGTTTGTAACTTTCCATTCATTCTACTGGACCATGTAAAATAATACTTGGTAATTAGTAGTTGATAGTAAATACATAGGCTTCATTTATTTCCAACTTGACTCACAGTTGACTGATAGAAGTTACTGATAGAATGAGTTCGATGTCTATTGTTATTGAAGATGGTGTATATGGTATTCCTTAGAGTCAATCATTCACTTGATCAGGTGACAGGTGATGAGAAAAGTTTGTGTTAGTCATATGTCAAGATGGATAGTCTCTTCCGGGAAAGGAATGGATTGATGTTAAAAAGAAAGTAAAGTAAACAAAGAAGTTAAGAAAAGTAAACAGAGAAGTTAAGAGTATATTCTGTATCGGCTATTCATTTGATACAGGATGGTATAGATCATGGCTTTGCCTTCGATGATAATCAATCACCTTTTTTTTTGTATCTTGCATCGGGTTACCTTCGGAACGCCTGGCACTGAGTGATGTCGGTCAAAGTCAAAGTTTAGAAAACAATATATGAGAGATTTTTAGAACACATTTACTATTGGTATCAAGCAGAGAAAACCAGGAATTTTACTTAGCGGCAGCTTTGGTAAGAATATTTAAAAAATTGTGACTGCTCTCGTAGACAACTAACCATTATTGTATTTATTGATTTACTCACTTCATGATATATTTTATATAATATTCTAACATTATTTAAATATTTTATAGAATTATTAGCGAATTTGAAGTATGTTTTTGGAACTCGCTTCGTTTTTGATAGGCTACGTATTATGGTATTTGTTTCGAACGTATTGCAACCGTCGCAATATGCCACCAGGGCCATTTCCACTCCCAATTATTGGTAATTTTCACCAGACGGGTTTCAATCCTCCGTTCTCCATGGAGAAACTTCGTGAGAAATATGGCGACATTTATACAGTAAGCTTTCCAATTGGAACATTTGTTGTTGTGAACGACGGTCAACTCGCTCGTGAGATGATGGCAAAAGATGATTTTGCTTGTAGGCCGGGAGCATTGACATTTCCCTCCCTGGAAGTATTTGAAGGAAAAAATATTGTGTACTCCGAGCTTGGATCTAACTACACGTTCAGACGAAAAATTGTCACATCAGCTTTACATGTCTTCGGCGAGGGGCTACAACTTGCTGAAGAACGTGTAAACATTGAAATTCAAGAGCTTTTGGACCGTTTATACTCAACTGACGGTGAACCGTTTTGCATCCGAGAACAACTATCCATGACCATGATTAATGTGATTACACGATGGATGTTCACAAAGCAATTTGAGTTTGGTCATCCAACACTAAAAATGCTTGCTGATTTGGATGAAAAAATGATGACTTTATTTCGGCAAGGTAGTTTTTATCAAGTCTTCCCATTTCTGAAATATCTCCCTAACACGGACATTTCGATTTGCCTGGAAGATGTTATCAAAATACGAGACGAGTTCTTAGCAAAGGAGTTACAACAACACCACGAAACACGTCAAGATGACAAAATTCGAGACATAACAGACGCATTATTGGCTGCATTCGAAAAGGAAAAACTACGAAACACAAATACGGATATTCGTTCGTACCACGATATTAAGTATTTACTGGTTGATATAGTTATAGGTGCTACCGGTACCATTACATCAACTTTAACGTGGATGATTGTTTTTTTGGTCATAAATCAAAATGTCCAGAAGAAACTTCACCAACAACTCGATGAAACAATAGGTAGACATAGATTACCGTGCTGGAAAGATGCTGAGAATCTCCCTTACGTACTTGCAACTATCTGTGAAACAATGAGATATTCCGTCTTCATCCCCTGTCTTCCTCGCAAAGCAAACAGGGATACAATTATTCGAGGCAAGATTATTCCAAAAGATACCGGGGTTCTTATCAATCTATGGCATATTTATACAAATCCAAAAGATTGGGATGACCCAGAGTCATTCAAGCCAGAAAGATTTCTTGATTGTGATGGCAAATTTATTGGTTGGAATACCCTGAGTAATTTTATCCCATTCGGAGCAGGGCGTCGTGCGTGTGTTGGTCAATCATTAGGCAAGATGGATACATTTGCAGCTGCTTCAAGAATGTTACATCAATTTCATTTCAATGTTTCACCCGGAGTACCAGCACCTACCCGTGAAGGTGTGACTGGGTTGATACGATTACCTAAACACACAATAATATCCGCTCATCCTCGTGACTAAGCTGTGTACGCTCTAGGACGTTGATTGATAAAACTCTTTAACGAAAATGCATAAGATAAACTTTGATTTCGTTTGACTGTATTGTTACAAAAAGGATTTCAGATAATATATATAATTTGATACTAATTTTCGTCATAATTTCGGCATTTATAGGTCAAACCTAAGACAATAAAGATATAAACATGCAACTATTGATTCCAGACATTGACCTTGCATGATTGCCGTCAGTTTTAGCATGCTGCATGTCGGGGCATTTACGAGGCGTATATTCTCATCTTTCTTGCACAAATTCGTTTCTCATTTTTACTCACTAGTACTGAAGGGAAAGTGAAATCTTGGTTTCACAAACACAGCAGCTGAACTATATAGTTTACATTATGTCACAAAGGGAATCTCCGGTAACAGTTTCATGTTCTGGGAAGTTGGGAACTCAGTTCCGGTGTAATTATGCAGCAAACCGAAACGGTTCGGAGAAATTGCACAGCAATTTCTAGGCAAATTTTAAGCAAGCTAGCTTAAAAATGTACTAATTTGAAATATGGCAGGGATCTCACAGCAGAGTTTAGATCCCAATCGAACGATTGTAGTGTTAAATTTCCCTTCTAATGTCAGAGAAGATGATTTAACGATTCACTTTCAGAGAGCGAGATATGGCGGCGGAGATGTCGACGATGTATTGGTTGATGGCAATGTCGCATTTGTAACTTTCGATTTGCCTACAGGTTTGATCGTTTTGTTTTATTTTAACATGTTTGAATCGTGTACTTATTCGGCAGAATTCTTATATATATGCAGACTGCATCAAACGAGACCGCCATGCATAAGCTGAACGGAGAATTATTGTACTATGTTGTTGAGCTCTCCTATATAAGTTTTCTAAACGCCGCGGCCTGCTTGCTAACCGGACGGGTTTCGGCACCGTTCGAGTTTTTTACGGCTTTCGTGCGTGTATTTGATAGGCCCTACATGAAAAGAAATAAAAGTCGGTGGGGCATAATTTACGTAAGTGAACAGCCAGGAAGCTATTTCACTTTCTCTTTATTTATGCGTTTTCTTAGTTGCAAAAAGTGTCCTGAAGCATGAACAAATCATCGATAAGAAGAACGTTCAAATCCAGAGCTATGAGTCATGGTTGGCAAAAAGAAAGGTTATATCATTATTAGCTAAAGAACCGATTTGATGTTACAGAAAACCGCTGACTTAGCAACCTGCAACCTGCTTCATGTGCGGTTGATGTAAAGTTAATTGCTTACCTGCTATGAAAGCTTACTTCAAAATGCGATTGACAATTTGTTCTTTGTAACAGTGTGAAATAATATATCAAAATATATGAGTACAATTATTGGGATCCCTCCTCCCTGAGTTACCGACACTACATGAATATTAAACGGAAACAAATCTTCAAAAATTTTATTCCTACATGTGCGCGGTTTGTTTATTTGTTAGTGTCTAAATAACTGTAGTAGTGATACTAAAGGGATACTGTCCTTGTTTGTGTAACGACTTGAAACATGGATGTTCAGCGAAGCTGCGAAAGCAGTGTATGATCATGCAGCTTCCGAACTCAAGTCCCCAGCAAATATTAAATATCGATTATAGCCTCAAAAATGTACAAAAGCACTTCTTAAACAAAGTTAAACTAATAATAAAATACGGTGATTAAATGCTTTCAAAATTTCAAATAGAGTAACGCCGCCGTTGATAGCCAAGACGACGATAGTGGCAATACAACAATTTATGTCAGCGGTTTGGGAAGCTCAACAACTAATGAGTCCATTACACATTTCTTTGAGAGCAAAAAACGAACTGGTGGCGGTGATCTGTGCAAAGGCAAAAAAGGAATCGAGAGAGTTGCACCAACTGTTGCACGTTTGACATTTGTTTCTTCGAAAGGCATGTTTGTTACCTAATTTATAGATCAGACTATAATTATATAGATCAGAGGCAGGTTGTCCAAAGTTCAATCCTTGGTTGGCCGATATCCTTCACTTCACCAATCTCCCATGCAAGGGTTCTATTGTCAGTGTTATTGAGTGATTGCTGATGAGTAAAATTTCTTCTTCCAAAAAGCATTTTCTAGTTGTATGATCACAACCAATCAGTCGGCGTCATGGAAACTAGACGTTACTTTTCTGAACAGCTGACCCCAGTACTAGCTTTGTTAGCTACTACAAGAAGTTACAACTTCTAGAAGTTGACAATCTATTCCAAAACATGCAAACTAACCGACTTCACCTGGTTTGTCAAGTGTTAGGGCCATAGCATTGATTCCTCAATACCACGGGATATTTTTTTTTCTCAAACATGCATCCCATTTGAAACTTACATTCGTAAATTTTTATTGTGAATTAATATTCTTGATGCTTTAGATGCGCAAAATGTACTCCAGAAATCGAAGGAAGAACCGTTACGATTAGGAGGCAATTTGTTGAACGTGAGCACTGCGTTTGAGTCGATCTACGATAAAAGTATTCTTCTGGCTAAGAATCTTAACCCACAAACAGACATAGAAACGTTTACGAGTTTTGTGCAATTTAAGAGGAATGTTGATGTCTGCAATGTTGTTTTGGGGGAAGAAGGGAAAGCTATTGTTATACTAAACGGTAGGATATCATTGTTAATTCATACTATGTTGGATTGTTGGTTGAAAAATAATGATCGTAAGAATATAAACTACTAAAGTTCCAATGATTCCTACACTCAACAGGAGGGTGGTATTAAAAAATTTCCCTCTAGATAAATTAGACACATTATACCTATATACCAGAAATGATGCATGGGTTAAACAAATAATATTCGATACTCACATTTCTAAATTATTCCTAATTTAGATGAAGCAGATTTAAACGAAGAATGTGTCAATGAAAGCATGGAATTGGACGGCTCTGTTATTTCTCTGGAATTTGCTCCATTGACCAACCACATGAGAGTCAGTAATATACCAGAAGGAACGAGCAAGGATGATGTAATGTATAAGTTCCAAAGCCGGATACCTGGTGATCAAGTTACAAATGTTGAGCTAGATGAAAAGAAAAGAATTGCAGATGTTCACTTTGAAAATTGTTCAGGTACAGAAGATTGTGCTGGCCGCTTGCTAGTGGCAGTGTTCGTAATGCTTGTGCTTCATTATAATGCTTGTGCTTCATTATCATTATGATGCCAGCAGTGCTTCTTCTTGATTCATTACAAATACGGTGCTTTAAAGATCTTACACCCAATGCTGCAGAACAATAGTACATTCAAATTCCCTTGAGTCCTTGCAGAAAGAAAGGTTCAGAAGTCGATTCATTATCCAGTTTATTCAATTAAGATTAGTCGTCTTAAAATGTTTTTAGGACTATTTATTCACAAATATGTTTGAATATTGAAATGATTCCAATATTTTTACAGCTGTTTCCGAACTTGTGAAGAAGGAACATAAATTACGAAGTGTCAAATTAACCGTCTATCCTTACTATGACGACTTTGAAGAAGAGGTTAAAATCAAAACGGTCGAATCTACTTTCATCTGTCAACTAGATTCTCGTGTGATGGATTACATACTACGTCATGGAGAAATTGAGATGTTTTCCTTTAAATCGATTGAATATGATAAAGTAAATTCAAGAATCTATTATACAAAAGATTTTGACAATTCCATCCGCGCAAAGGAATTTGAAGAGAAAGTGAGTGGATTTTTTAGTATGTTTAACGTTGAAGAAGTTAAAATCCCGACAGTTATTTTTGAGAAGGTTCAAGGAGCTATTCAAGACAAATGCGAAGGATTCAATGTAAAGAAAATCGATTGCTGTTTTGAAGACCGTCATGTAACTTTTGTAGGGAAAAAAGAAGATGTATCCGGGATAAAACAAACAGCAGAAGAAATAATTGATAAGGTTTCAGAAGAAGCCAAGTATGAATCAGTTGAACTGAGAATAGACGATCAAAATAAATTAAAATTCTTGAATTTTTTCGATTACTTCAGTAAACTCACAAAAGAGTTTCCAGAAATGCGAATACTTGGAATGGACAGTACATCTGGTACACTGACAGTTCTTGTGACGGCAGAAAAGACAAAGGATGTCGAATTAAGGATCTATAAAGATGTGCTTAATCTCTCAGAGATTGATGTTAGTTTAAGTGATCATCAGTTAGAATTTCTGAGGAGGACTGATTGCCAACCCGTGAACGATTTGTTGAAGAACGATGACGTCATGTTAACGCTTTTTAACTCTAAAAATAACTTGCAGGCAAAGATACTTTCTTTGAAGAAATTTCACGATAACGAGGTAATCATCTCGGTTAGAAATCTTTGGAAATACACGGAATTTGGGTATTGCTTACATCTGACCGCACTTGCATAGCACATGCGCTAACGATTTCGATAGCCTCTTTAAAACGAATATTACATTATTGTGACGTTTAGCAGAGGCATGTTATTATAAATAAAAAAGGGCGCTTTTACTCGTCTAGTGCGTTAAGGAGACTTTTTCGGGGCATATGCGGTTTAAATACTAAATGCCATCCTCATTCAGATACTTCAAAGTCGATACTGTGCTGAGTTTTTTAGTTTGAATGATTTTATTTATTTTGGCTGGATCCGCTAATGAAGTTACTAATTTGTTTAGTGCAGTTTATTCAGTAAAGTTTACTTTATTAATCGAAGCCCTTCACCTTCCGGCGTTCAAATTTTGCCACGTACCCGAAGTACATATTACTAATTTACATTAATTATATTTTTTAAGATAGAACGACTTCTCAAAGTCGTACTTGAGAAAACAACAGAGAAATCGATAAAAGTAGACGATGAGACAGCAAAATTTCTGAGAAAGTCAGAAAAACTACAGAAATTCAAGAAAGAACAATTTGACAAACACCAAGTGTTGATTGAACAAGAAGTAACATGTCCTTGGAAATTTTGGATTGTCTGCGAACAATCGAAGATAAGCAACGTCGAGAACGACCTGATGATCCTGATTAAAGAAAAGAAGATTGGAATAAGTAAATTTACACCCACAGATCCGATGAAAATACGTTTCTTTGAAGAACACTGCTGGGACAAGATTAAAGAAAAAGAATGCAATTGTAAGGTAGAAGGAATTGTTATTCGAAAAATTGAATCGGCCTCTCTTGAGGTAAAGGGAACAGACGCAGGTAGAAAATAAGTCATCACCTTTCTGGAAACCTTGGCTGGGAAGGTTGAATTAAAGGTAAGTGCATGCATGCATGTTGTCTGTTTAAAATATAGTTTGATTGGCTCGCTTATAAACATTCGTAAACCTGAATCATAACGCAAGACTGACAAGCACTGAGGACGATCTTTATGAAAGATAATGCATCAGTAGTCGCAGCCATAAAATTAATTTACATGTATTTTGTTTTCGCAGTATTCGATCTGCATGGATAGCACCAGTTATTTACGTTCCGTTACCTCTTGTGTCTACGCCTTTTGTAAGGATTTGTATAGTCAACGTGTTTTGTAAGGATTTGTAAATATTCATATTAACCATCATTAAGTATTCAAAGTTCTGTAAACAGTTCTGTAAATAAATTGATACTGAATTTTACTATCAACCAAAAATACTCGCGAAAGATCTATGTATGATCTATGTATGTATGAGATCTATGATCATATATTCGTGTTTATATACTGCAGAAACAATACCCAATAACTTTTCTCACAATGCCTATACTTCTGTTTTTGATGATAGGTATTTCCTCTAGAGGAACCCGGCATGAAAAAACAGGCAAGTACGGATGCGACGAAAGCAATGATTTCTTTGATTGAGAAGAAACACAAATGCGTTATCAAAACTGAGGATATCCAACGTGAGAAGATTCACGAGAAATCAGTTAAAGTTGCCACTAACATCACACATGGAGCAGTGGCCAAGGAAACTGTCGCTCCAACGAACTCGCCTACCATGCATGTTGTCAACGACAAGGAAATAAAGATGAGTTCCGGTCAAAGGATAACAATGATTGTTGGAAATTTGGCAATGCAAAAGGTAGCTATGTTTCGTTTTTAAGTATAGGTTCATAGTATCGGTCGAGTGCTAAATCAGTAAGTGAATAAAATATATCACGCTTGGTTTGGTTCAACTAGCTAATCATTGTAATTGATGACATTAATCCTCATTCATATTCATCTCAAATAGTCAGGTAAATTTCGCTCCCATTCAGGTCGACGTCATTGTGAATACAACCAATGACAGTGTGGATTTAAACGCTAATGCTTGTGGAAAAGCTTTACTTAAAGTGGCTGGTGATGAACTGCTAAAGGAATGTAAAAAGATTGGAAGTCTGAAGGCGGGAGACATGGCATCAACTGGACCAGGAAATCTGAACTGCAAGCGCGTTTATCATGTTCGCTCATCTTCTTGGGACAGCGGAAAAGGATCTTTGGTAAAGTATTGAATGTATTATATATGAATTTTGTTCAATTCCCGATAGTTTTGACAACTTAAATATGTTAGTGTATGTAGAATCCCAATCTGAAGGTAATGAAAATATTATGAAAGGACTAGAAGTGCATAAAAATGAATATAATGCAGAATAAAATTATTACTTTCATGCTATTAAATTCTCCTCTTTAGATTCTACGAAAACTTATCAGAAAATGTTTAGACCAACTCGAGAAAGATAGATTCACGTCCATTGCTATCCCTGCAATTGGTACAGGAAATTTGCATTTTCCACGTTCAGAAGTTGCAAACGTCTTTTTTGAGGAAGTTGGGGATTATCTGATCGGCCAGCCTCAATCGCCCATCAATGATATTCGCTTTGTGGCATATAGTGGTGACCAGCAAACAGTGGACGCATTTCTAGGTTGGTAAATATTTATGCTATAAGCCACAAACGTGTAAGTATATAATTTCTTTCAGCGGGCTTATAGCAGTTAAAGGTACATTTGTATTCGATCATTTTAAATCAGAGAAATGTAAACATTTTTGTTATCAATTTACACATGAGCAGGTCAGGGTGATGTGATTCACCGTACTAAACACACGGTAGTTATCAACATTGCTGTTCCAACTTGGTAAATGGCTCATATTGATTTTATCCTCGGTTCAACATTAGGACGTGCACTAATAATTAAATCCTGCAATTGTCTATTATTCTTAACAGGCGCAGTTCAGAATATAAAGTCTCCTCCTTCCACAATCTATAAATCGAATGCAAAGAATCCGAGTTTAACTGAAAAGCCGGACGGATCATTAGAACTCTTTATCGGGAGTAAACGTCTGAAAGTTCAGATTGTACGCGCTGACATCACCAAAGAAAGAACTAATGTAATTATGCACGTGATCGCCCAAGATTTCTCGTTCAAAGGAGGAGTGATAAACGCACTGACAAAAGCGGGTGGTGATGACATTGTACGAGCGTGCAAGGCACTCGGAAAGCCTGCGATATTTTCTACACACTATACAACAGCAGGAAAACTAGCCGCAGATCAAATAGCTCATGTCATCGCACCAAGTCCGTGTAAAGTTCCTGACCTGAAGAAGTGCCTTGATGTATTTTTGGATGATATTCAAAAGAAAAATATCGCCGAAGTTTCGTTTTCAGCCATTGGAGCGGGTGCGATGGGTTTTCCCGAGAGAGATGTAGTCGATATAATCTTTGGTAATTTATTACGAGTTGCGGAGTTGCAAAATTCCAAATTAAATTTAGTGCGAATTGTAATCATGGATAAAGAGAAGTTTGGCAAATTTAAAGATGCAACTAAAGCTTATGTATTAGCAGCAGGTGCAACTCCTTCAAGTTCACAGCCGGTGGTAAAGTCAGCAACAAAAACCCCTCAAATTATTCATGGAAAGACGATCACAATTTATTCAGACGAAGGTGAGAACATTGTCAGAGCATGGGGAGAGTTAGAAAGTAAAATGAGTCAAAATATTGAGAATATGACCATGAATGATGACGTAATCAAGAAATTTACTGATCACCATCTCAAGGAGTTAAGGAAACTGTCGGAAGATAATGATGTCAGGATTGTGCCAGACGTGAGTATGGGAAACATTAAAATCAAAGGACATATTGCAGATGTTTCAAATATCCAAGAAAAGATACGAACAATGCTGAAAAAGATATCAGACGACGAAAGCAAAGGTAAATTGGACATGCAATACGCCTAAAGGATATACTTTTGTAATGATTAGGGAGCATGTTGAGATGCCTTAAATGTGGTTGAGGTCAATGCCTGGGTCCTAGTGTGGAACATCGGACGCGGAATGATCTATTTAATAACAAATCTTGTACTGACGTTTTATATGTTTTTAGTTCCCGATTACTGGGATAAATCATTGACTGGAGGAGTTCATAAAGTCAACCTGTCCACCAAAAACAAAGAATACAAAGAGATTGAAGATGCATTTAAAAAAACGGCTCCGAATGAAATCGTCCGCATCGATAGAATACAAAATAGAGGTATTTACGAGTTGTATAATGTGAAGCGCCAAGCAATGAAGACAAAATATGGCAGAAACTTTCCTGGCAAAGAGCTGATGTTATTCCATGGCACATCGTCAGAAAATATTGATACGATTAACTCTGGTGGGTTGAACAGAAATTTCGCAGGAATACATGGTAATGCTTGTTTTGTTTCCATGTTTTTGTTGTCTTACGTACGATATGCATAAAGATAAACAATTTATTTAATGACGCATTTCTCATCACCATTAAATTGATGTTCTTCCTGAGAAGCGTCAAAGGGATAAAACATATATGTGGTTTTCTATCTCATGTATACTGTATATTTTATAGCCACTCGTTATGGTAGAGGTGTTTATTTCGCCCGGGATGCCAGTTATTCTTGCCAGAAAACCTTCTCGCCCGCAGACTCACAGGGACATCGATATATGTATTACGCTAAGGTTTTGGTCGGCGATTTTACAGTCGGGACGGATAATATGATAGTAGCTCCAAATAAGAATACCACAGATCCTAACGAAACATACAACTCCGTGGTGGACAATGTTGAAAACCCCAAAATTTATGTTCTGTTTCAAGATTACGAGTATTATACCGAGTATCTGATCACTTTTAAATAACGTCAACTTGGTATAGGAATGTCAGTACAGTGTTACCACGCCAAGTGAATGAACTTGCATGCAAGGTTGGCAAACTTGGAAACTCTTTTTGTGCAATATATAGGCATTTGAATTCAATGAATTATTTTATTGCAGACATGTTACGACTTATATCATAGGACGGGGGGTGTGTGTTGATTTATGTATTCGGTTCGGCCCGACAGGCGACAGATTCCTTTTGTAAGTGCAATGGCTTACAATAGAAATCCATCGGGCAGAACTGCATGAATATAGGAATAAACACCAAATAATCGTTCAAGTTTCGGTCCTGACTTACCTATAGCCATCTTCAGTGCGAATTAAGAAATATATCTGCAATAGAAAAATGCGTTTATTTCAAATGCTTAATTGCTCTTGTGCTGATCAAATAATACAATTAGTTAATTACGATAAGTGTGAATGTTACTGAATAACTTTTGTTTTCACCTAAAGTTCCTATAAATCGATAATCACTTAGTTGATTTAGTTCTATTATAAACAGTTTAGTAATATATAGATAGATATATGCACTTTGTTTTTACGAGACTTGGATCTAAGAAATGCATATTTTTTGGAAATTTAATACGGCATGAATGAAAAGTTAATTAAAGAAATGTTATTTTATCTGAAATTTCCGAAGTATGGAGCAAAATATGGCTGATTTTCTGTTATAATCATTGTTCTATACGTTTATTTTGAAAAGTCAATTCTACAGATCCGTGAATACGACAGGCGCAACTTTTTCACACGGGTACAAAAACAAATAAGTCAGTGGTTTTATCTACGTTCGAATTGAGATTTGAGAACAGTAAAATATATAACAATTTTATATATGTAGCTGCGATCATATTGGCTTCGTATTTAACAGTCCGAACTTCCCTTTTAGAGTTGAATAATTTCATCATTAGACATTCAAAGCTAGCTATTTGAAATTTATGTCAACTTTCAATTCAGTAATGTTGCAATTGCAGATGCTTTAATTCAGTAATGTTGCAATTGCAAATGTTGCAATTCAGAATGTGGCAATTGTAAATGTTAACGTAACTAGGAAGGGAATTAAAGTAGAATTGGGTCTGGTGGAAATGTGTGGTATTCAATTCCATTTTTAAATGAGATCCTCATTGCTTCTCCAACTTTATCTTCAACATTGAGAAGTTGAATGAAACCCTTTGCAACGTCATCAACCCTGTTGTAAGGTCAAGAGGTTATTTTAATTCACGATATGCCCGATAAACAAGGGCTACACTACACTTTCTTATCACGTGCTTATAAAATGGATCATTTTCTTTTTGAAAACATTGATTATTCTACAAGTTTGCTACAGTATATAGCACAAACAGCTTACGTTTGGACTCCAAGCGCTTGTTGTTGCTGTTTCACCTCAGGTATCAATAAAGCAGATGTTCTACTCATGTCAGTATCAACAAAAGATGGGCAAATACAATTTATACGAACACCTGATTTCATGGCTACCTACAAAAGGATATATACACAGCACTTCAATCAGAATCGAACGTCATGATCATAATGCATTTCACCGGTAAATGAGAGTAAAGTTATTTCCCAATTCATATTAGTGGTTAATACCACGGGATAAGATAGTTTTATGGATCGAGGTCGAGGGATTTAGTACAGTTAATTACTTGATGCATCAGTCAAAGTTTTACAAACACAAAAAATTAAATACGAAATTAACAAATACCGAAATATGGTATACGCGGAATATGGTATATTCGAATCGAATTCATCTTGGTAACGTCGAATATAACTGTCGCCTAAATCACTTATTTTGTGGTGGAACAGGTCGACGGATGTTCCCGGAAGGTTTAATAAGAACAACACGACGAGATATCATTTAATGAAGACGAAAACGAAGACATCAGATGAGGACAACGATACAGTAGTAAATATATTCACCTTTGCATAAGCTCTTGTGAAACTAACTACTCCATGTTTAGACGCCAAATACGCACAGTTTGAGGCCGGAAAATAGAAGAGGCCTGAGAAGAAAAATCGAGATGAAACATAAAGTTTTAGGACAAGTTTAATTAGATTGACTCATTAGATTATATACTATATAATAAAGCCTCAAATGTGGTATAACAACTGCCTAAAATGGACAAAAGACTTCTCGACGTTTCGACCTGGGGGCCTTCGTCTCCCGACGCCTTGTATTTAGTCTGCACACTTTAAAAATGTGTCATCGCCGAAAAACATTGGAACGAAATCGGATAGACAAAAACATCAATAGGCTAATAGATATAAGCCGTTATAGATTTTTATGAATTTATACCTGCAGTAGATGCAATGTTTACAATACAACCACCACGACCACCGTTATTTTTGTCCATGATCTTTGTTGCAAGCAAAGTACCCTCAATCACAGATACCTGGAAAATAGGAAAAATGAAAATTACGCATATCATATATATAAGATTTTACAATCAATTATATATCTTATGCATGTAATCAATGTGGAATACTGCAATTTCATTGGCTAATCGAGAAGTTTTGAGGATTACTTGCACTCTTGCTCGTAGCGATTAAAAATCACTATAGTATTTACAACTATCCAATCACTAGTTTATACGAAAATATGAATTATTACAAAAGATATATAACAGATATGTATGTAAGGAAACTGCAACATTAATTAATATAAACAATTATATCATTGTGATATCAAGAATTTTCAGACCAAGGGCAAGGTCAATGTTATCTGCCGAAGCGAACATTGACCGAGGTCTGAATAATTCTTGATATCACTGAACAAGAGCCCGCTCACCCGACCAAGGTCTGGGCACGAGAGCTAGAGTCCAATAATTGTTTTTTTGGATGCAAGTTCGATCCAAAAAATAATTATTGGACGCTGAGCACGTCAGCAGCACGAAATAAATCCGTTGCTTTCTGACCAATCAGAAATGGCAAAATGTATAATAATGTAAATTATCGCTACCAGTTACAAATTTTCCTGGCACTCACCAAGTTAACACAAACCATGTTTTCCACATCATTTGACGAGGGACCAATGCCAGCGTTGTTACAAAGAATGTCTAAATGTCCATTTTCGCGAACAACTTTGGATAAAATTTCTTACAAATCCAAGGAAATACAGAAAAGTTTACAATTAATATCAATTACATGACACAGTCAGACAAAGCTGTTAGCATTTGTTTAGGATAAGTAATAAATTTTACTTTAGCATGACGTCACTTGACAGTTTATTCCAGCGCAAGTATAATTCAAAATCTATCACAACAAGTAACGCCCTTAATAATTTAGTAGCGCGACAGTGTTTAAGCTGGTTTGAGTCGCTGTGGAGAGACACAGAGAAAAAATGTTTTAGACAGTTCGACCGGAGAAGATCCACCATTTAGATCTCCTCTTGCGTCGCACTTCGTCTTCCGGGCATGCCTCTGAACCAGCATTCACAATATAATGTCAATGCATGTGTCTCCACGGAACTTACAGTCATTTTTCTGTAATTAATAACGATAATTAACATACAACCAGAACACTACCTGCAAACATTTTTTTGTGCCTGACGTTACACTCTAAGAATGTAGCCATTCCTTCACCAAATTCATCTTCGAATTCTTTCTGAACGGTTTTGCCCTCATTTAAATTTAAGTCAAGAAAATAAACCTATACAAATAGTACAAGTAATCTATATAAGTTTTTTGCAACACTGATAGTGTAGCTATGTATATATGTCTTTGCATCACAAATTTTATCGGGAATCAAACTTGATTTTCGTAGAGTATAGTTGCAGTTCGTCGATGCCTTACCAGTTTATATGATTTGAAAAGTCAAGATATTCCGTGCTAAAGTCCCATCAATTTAAGTTCTAGTTACAGTGCAAGAATCAAGTTCCAAGCTAGGCCTAGACCGGGTCTAAGACCACGTTGGGTTATCAAGCCTGACGATATAAATTATAAACATAATTATATGACCACATACTGAGAGCACTATATAGAAACTTCTTAGAAACGACCTGAAGAAGTCCGAAAACTATAAAAACTTGTTTTGCAAGTGATTTTCTTCACAAATTTTTTTAACAACAGTTATTCCTTCAATGTTTTAGGAATGTTTCAGGTTTGACTAATGTCAAGTGCTGTTTAACCACCACCTTTTATTCAATGTAATAATTAAGTGATCTTTGATCTCTTTTATTGCGTAATTCGACAAGTGTTTGCTTTGTGGAAAAATGTGGTTTAGACTATAACGAGAGCTATATTGAGACTATAATATATAAAGAAAAGATTTTCCTACTTATTCGCAAATTGCCATCTATGATCGCTGCAAAAATCCATTACATAGGTTATCCGACGAAATACTTCCATAGAACAATGAAATACTAATGTAATATAAGGTCGCCACCAATAGTGCCATCATGCCTGGTGTAAACACTTCCAATCAGGTCCGGCAGGAACTCAATCATGGTGATCCCAGCTATTTTGGTTTTCACTCTTTCATATTTAAAACTGAGACAGTCAGACTCCTCATTCAGTCGCAGTGAGTTAAACAAGAAGCTATATTATTAAAAGTAAACACCACATGCAAGGAGTTCCGACCTTTGCTTTATTTTGTAATATAAAGGCTTTACAGATAGCCTTTCCAATGCCTTGTGCACCACCAGTGACAACCGCTACAGAACCTTCTATCTTCATGGTATATTGGAGCAAATGAGACACTATATTTTTCAACCAAATTCCAGCACATCTATCGTGTTTGCATATAAAATCCACTCACTGCTACGCAACACCACAAAAATTTAATATTCCTCATTATATATTCATGCATATCACATATCATGAGACTCTGAGGTTCTGAGATTTTTTGCAACAAGAAACAAAATTTGCAGTAGTGCAGTTGAAAAAATTGTGTCGATATCAAATTGTCAGCAAAATCAATCACCCTTTAAAAAGAGCATCATGTTTTTCACGTGCTTCTTTCTTCGAAGGGAGACGAGAGGCGACATTTACAGCAAGGCGATACTCTAGTCCATTAAGTGCGACATTCGTGACATATATAAAGCCAGGTCCAGTTTGACATCTCAAAATTTACCATAAAAAAATTTAACATCAAAACGAATTCAGAATTAGTTTCATTAACCTTGACAAATGAATGAAATGTTGCACCAGGAGCAGATGTCTTCGTTTGCTCAGCTGCTGCTTGATTGGAGTCATTAACTGGTCCATAAAGTTAGAACAAATCAACGTGATCTCTCGTAATTAATCGAACGACCTCACAAGAATTTAAAGAAAAATTTTTAGAAAATGCGATAGTTAGTTGGTTGGTAGAATCTTGTGACATTGACTTAGAGGATCAATAGGAAAATGCTTTCCATTTGGACGTAATTCTTCTTAGTCTAACTGATCTGATACAGTTTCATTTTGTACCAGGCAGCGCAATTAAAGTCCAGCCAGACAAACCTTGTTTTGGCTGATACACGAAGACACAATATGCTGAAGGAACGCAAAGCATGCAAATTATTGCCTTTGGCTGAAACCAAGGCTCGCATTGTAATCGGAAAACCTTGTATATCTATCTGATTATCTGAAGGTGTGAATCTAATTATATTGCACATTTAGTGCTAGAAAAGGTAAATTGTAAAATTGATTTTTAATTCTGAGCGGTAGTATTTATAGCTAAGAGTCAAAGTAACATTTTTTTTACACTTAACTCTTTCGTATGTAATGCAGACCAACTCAGATTTAGCTATTTCAAATCATGTAATATTTATCAATTTCTTCATGTGATTTTCTGCAAAAAAACAAAAAACACGGTATAACATAGATAAGATAAGAAAAATAACCTGGTTATAATTATCGGGTCAACCATAAGAAATTGAGTATATATTTTTTAGAAAAACTAAAATCCTGACTTACAGATTTAGGATTGCAAGATGATCTTCGAGATAACTGTCGTGGTTGCTGTTTTGTTAGTGTGGCTATCGTGGTTTATCTTATCGACAAGTTATGAACGGAAAGGAATGCCTCCTGGGCCATACCCTTTACCTTTCATTGGAAACGTCCACCAACTTGGCCAAGATCCACCCTTTACTTTAGAAAATCTACGTGAAAAGTACGGGGATGTATACACATTCTCAACCCCAGTAGGTAATTTTGTTGTTGTTAACAGTGGAAAATTAGCAAAGGATTTACTTGTCATGAAGAAAGATGACTTTGCTGGTCGTCCAAAAGCTTCGTTTTTCCCAATGACAGAAGTGTTTATGAACAAGGATATCCCATCATCTGACTACTCTCCGTCACTTATCTTCCGCCGAAAAATAGTCAAATCTGCACTGAGATTGTTTGGGGAAGGCACAAAAGTTACAGAAGAAAGAGTTGTAAGAGATATCGAGAGTTTCTTACAAAGGATTGAAGAAACAAATGAGCAAGCATTTTCAATTCATGATCATATAAGTGCATTAATAATCAATATGTTATGCGAACGTGTCCTTTCAACACGATATTCTGTGGATGATATCATTATCAAGAAACTGGCTAATTTTGGACGCAACATTCTTTTTCTCGGAAAACAAGGGTCAATTTTTCAATTCTTTCCTTTTCTCAAATATTTTTCAAGAGATTTTATGAGCACGTTTAAAGACGTTATACAAACGAGAGATGAATTTTTTGGAAGCCATCTTGAAAGCCATCGTCAAACGTATGAAAAAGGAATAATAAGAGACATTACAGATGCTCTTCTTCTTGCGTATGATAATGAAAGAGATAAACATCATGGTAAAGATATAGGCACAAGCGATGATGTAATGTTCTTAATGTTGAATATAATATTAGCAGGAACCGACACAAGTACGACCGTTCTTACGTGGTTCATGTTATATATGATTGTACACAGGAATGTCCAAGAAAAAATACAAGACGAAATTGACAATGCTACACCGAAAGGTTCATCACCAAACTGGCGCGATTCAGAGAGTTATCCGTATCTCTTAGCGACAATGTGTGAAGTTATGCGTCATTCGGCGTTTGTTCCATTTCTTCCACCCCATAAAGCAATTCGTGATACAACAATCGCCGGATTTCGTATTCCGAAGGATACAGCTGTTCTTGTGAATCTGTGGCGGATACACAGGGATCCGAACGAGTGGGAAGATAGCGAGATGTTTAAACCAGAAAGGTTTCTAGATGAGAATTGTAAATTTATAGGATGGGAAGCACGTTCTGATTTCCTGCCGTTTGGTGCAGGTCCAAGGATATGTATTGGGATTGCGATGGCGAAACAAGAAATATTCACTGTCGCCGGAAAACTTCTCCAAAGGTTTACACTTCACGTCCCAGAAAATGAGCCTATACCAAGTTTAAAGGGCGAGGCAAACGCAATCCGCTGCCCTAAACATTACACACTGGTTGCTAAGAAACGATACTAACTATAGAACAAATTTTTATCCAAAAATTTCTTCTTTTGTTAGTATCGTTTCTTACAAGGCGGACGTATTTCATGTAGTTAATTAAAAAGCCTGCTAATTTCGTCTGGACCATGCAGAGTTCAATTTGACACTTTTCCTGTTCTTACTATCCTACTGCCTTTTTTTGTAAATCACAGTAATAGTAGTAATACATAGTAACACAAACAAAATTTAGTAAAAGATACTGCATGATACCTAATTAAACGAAATGTAATTGTGATTTGTGTGGGAAAAAGTCTGTCCCTCAGTAAAAATCACCCTGATTGTTACCTATATATCGAGAAAACGTTTTGGAAAATAATACCTTTAATTGATTGTAATTTTATTAAATCATGTTTGAAAATGAATTTTGTTGATGACCTTTTACCGAAAGGAAATGATAAAAAAAATTATGTCATGGTGTATTCTCTTGTTTACATATGCAAGTGAACTGGATCGTTCATACGACATTGTCACAACGTTATGTAGTGTCAGGCACAAAGGCCATGTTTTTGACATTGATAAATTGTGATAAAACCTTGTTGACAAAAGATGTCTCATCTAATGATGTTAACTTAACCCATTTAAGAGTCGATGGTGGCGGTGCAACTGATTTAGGGAATGTTATTCTCCAAAGAAAAAATTCAGCTAAATACAATGCATTCTTCAGTAAGCAAAAAGAAGCCTCTCATACATTTCTTATTTATTCTTCTGCTGTACTTGCTTTTTATTCAAATCTACGTTTTTTTCAATGTTTTTCACGGACAACCTAAAGACGCCTGCAATGTAACACCTGATTTCCTTTCACTGTCTAAGAATACACAAATAACGAGAGAAGAAATTATTCGAGATGTCGTTAATTTTTACAAACTGGAAGTGCGATGGAAACATTTTGATGAATTCTACATTCATGATGACCCTCTGGCAAAGGTTTATGGGATAAAGAACATCGAAAATTATCACAAATTCTGGATTTTCTACCTGCAAACTCATGACGCTATGGGAACACCTAAATCAATCAAGCATTGTAAGTCTTCGATGTGTGTGTCTTTGAATACAGTTGCAACGACAATTATTGGAATGATAAACGTCAATATGACTTTAAAGCTGCAGTTGGATAATGTTAGTGGTTCAGAGAAGATTGTTTACATGACAGAAGAATGGAATGATGTACCGCTAATAGATAGAGATAACACCGTGTTTCCTATTGGCTGGACAGCTGAGATGATGAGAATAATACTTGCAAGAATTGTTGTTCTACTGTCGTCTATAGTATAACCGTAAAAGAAACAACCCATAAACTCAACATATTAAAATTTCAATTTTATTTCACGGCAATGCGGCTATGCTAATATATTTTTAACAATTGACTAGCGTTGAGGTTAAACATCTCTATACAGAGAATTTGATATTACATTTAGAAATGAATAATACAAGAGTAAAATTTAAGAAATATAGTTATGAAAACGTAAACAGAATATTTTGAATAAAAATTACATTGCCCCAACTCACGGTTACGTACATCATTTTAGTCTAGAATAGTCTTTTAAAAACAATATGTTTAGTCGCTGTGCCAGTTGGATTTCTAATCACTTGGCAAAGCATCTGTCGATGCCTTCAGTCGAAGTATCATTATGTAAAACATGGTGTAATGCAATTGATCATATTTAATCAGTAATAAAATCTTTAACCACGTACATTGCTCTATATTAATATTGTAAGTCTAAATTTAGTCAATTAAAACATCTACAGTCTTTTAACAGCTACCACTTCGTATTTCTTTGGATATCTTACAGCGGTCATAGTTCCTTCTATGCTGGGTCTGGGTTGTCCTTCAGGAATTTTTAGCTTGAAATTATGACAGATTTTAGCGGCTACAATCAACAGCTGCATCTTGCCCAAAGCATGTCCCAAACACATTCGACGACCTTCCCCGAATGGCCTGAAACACTTTAAGGCATCCCATCCAAGAAACTTTGCATTTTCGTCAAGAAATCGATTTGGGTCAAAAACACTGGGATTTTTCCAATCTCGGGGATCAATGTGAATCCTCCAGAAGTTAAATATAACGGTGGTCCCTTTTGGTATATGATATCCATTGATCATTGAATCTCGAATTGCTTTATGTGGGACGTTCAAAGGGCCAAATGCTGAAAGTCTCATGACTTCGCATATTGTTGATTTTAGATAATGAAGATTAGGCATATCGTTCCAACATGGCGAACGATCCTCCCCGACCACATCAAGAAGCTCTTTGTAGACCTTATCTTGTATATCTTCGTGTAAAATCATGAACAAAATGAACCAGGTCAAAATAGATGAAGTTGTGTCGGTGGTCGCAAGTAGTATATCCATCATGAGAAATTTGATGTCCTCGATCTTTCCAAAATCTTTTCCTCGATCTTTTTCTTTTTCCGTCTCGTATGCAGCGATCAGGGCATCGGTAATATCACGTATAACACTTGCATTGTATGTATCACGGTGATAACTGAAATGCGAGGTGAAAAACTCTTCGCGAGTTTGGATTACTTCTCGGCAATCTTCCATGAATTTTGTTGGTAAGTATTTCATGAAAGGCAAGAATTGATAGTAGCTGCCTTGACGAGAAACCAGAAGTAATTTGTCGTTGAAGTCAAAAAGTTTCCTGACAATCGGCTCGTTGAAATCATATCTTTTTGACAACAACCATTCACTAATATTGTTCATAATTGTAAAGGTTATTTGACCTTGTGGAGGAAAAGCTTCTTCATTCTTCGCTATAATCCAGGAGATTAGTCTATCAACTTCGCCAGAAACTCGTCTTTCCACATTTTCAATTCCTTTGCCAAACATATGAAGCGCCGACGAGACAACTTTGCGACGAAATATAAGTGGTGGTTCATAGTCAGCGAAAAGTATATCTTTGCCTATAATTAAAGAATAATTTTAATAGCTTACCAACAACTCAATGATTTGTGACCAAATCAAAAATACTCGTGACAGTAAAAATGACAGTATGACTATACACCCACCCACCTCCTTAATAATTTATTTTCAGCCCTGAAATTCGCACTTACCTTCGAATATCGAATTTATTGGAAAAAATGCAGCATCCGGTCTACCAGCATAATCGTCTTTCTTGCTACTAAGTGCCTCCAGCAGAAACTCTCCGCGATTTACAATGACGAAAGTTCCAATAGGGAAGGTTATTGTATAAATATCTCCATATTTCTTACGTAGGTGATCCATTGAAAATGGTGGCTCATGTCCAACACTCAAGGCATTCCCTATTCCTGGTAATGGGAATGGACCAGGAGGCATCCTTCGTCTTCGAAAGTAGTTTGAAATAAGAAACCACAAAACCCAGCTTAGGAATAACGACATTCCTATTTCAATAATCATCTTTATTTGAACTCCCTAAAATACGCATAGAATTTTCAAGCCAAATTTAGTTGAAAACATTTTGCTTTATGTGAAAAAATGATAACTTAAAAAATAGACATACATACCTTGATTATAGTGTTTCAGAAACGAAATGTTGAGGACATATATGAAGTCTTTTTTTATGAAATCATATCAAAATGAATATGAAATATTTCCTACAATCCCATGCCAGTACAGAGATGAACTGTACTTTTGTACTTTAACCCCACTTGTACTTCCTTTCACTGAATGAATCTGTCAATCATGTAGTCAGTAGACGTCTTTGTATTGGTCATAATAATAGTTGATCATTGCACCTCTAGGTCTGATAACGGACAAGTTACGGTAAGCTCTAGACTACATATTTGCGACTTTAGACTACATAACAGTTGCTGCACAGATAAACAAGTTATTTTCCTTAAAACATAGACAATTTACAGTCTGTATGGTGAAGAGATGTATGGTACTATAATTGACCAGTCCACAGAAAGAACATAGTAGCGTTGTAAAATGGATTGCGGTATTTAGTGTCATTTTTATCGATAGTAACAAAATCGTCTTGAAGCATAGACATGAGAGGACACAAAGTCCCCAGAGGTGCACATCTTAAAAAAATTGGGGAGTGTCTTACGTTCTGAGTTAGCATGGCGCGTATGTGGGAAAAATTAGTGGTGCCACCTTGGTTAGCGCCAAGCGAGAAAATTATTTGATTGCTCTAATCTGGAAACAATCTCTCATCGGATTAGTCTGCTAATGAAGAATATGTTAGGCTCATATTGTAATTTAGATAATGCACTGGCAATGTTGGCTTAATATGAACTGTATACTGTGACAGGTTGATTTTTAATTTGCTGGTTTAAGTTCGAATTTAATAATGAAGACATTGTTACATAAAAATATTGATAAATTTCGCTACATATTAGATAATTAGAAATCCATTCAAAGTCTTTTCATTATATGTAGAGAATCCTACTTTAACACATATATTTAATTAATCACAAGGAATCATGCAAAGTCTATAGTTTAATAACGCTTCACAGCACAAACTCTATATTCCTTCGGGTATAAAATTGGCCCAGGAATATTGTCTAAGTTTGGTTCGGGTTCATTGTCCACAGTTTTTAAACAGAACTGGTGGAGGACGTTTGATGTCACAACAAATACTTGAAGTTTACCAAGATTTTCGCCTGGGCACATTCTGCGGCCTGCCCCAAACGGAAAGAAACTAGGCAAAGAATTCCATCCGACAAATTTTCCATCCTCAGAAATAAATCGCTCAGGTTTAAACATTCTCGGTTCTTCCCAATCACGTGGGTCATTGTGAATAGTGGCGAAGTTGAATAAAATTGTTGTCTCCTTTGGAATATGGTATCCATTAATGGTTGAATCTCGGATTGCTTTGTGAGGAAGGTTTATTGGTACGAAATTTGAATGACGCATTACTTCACAAATGGTAGCAAGGAGATACGGAAGGTTTTCGGAATCCTTCCAGTTGGGTAAGCGGTGATCGCCGACAGTATCGTCAATTTCTTTTTGAATTTTTTCTTGTACATCTTTGTAAACAACCATGTAAAGCATAAACCACGTTAACACTGAGGCACTTGTGTCACTTGCCGCTACAAAAATATTCATCAAGAAATACTTAATATCATCTTTAGATCCCATTGTTTTATCGAGTTTCTTCGCTTTTTCCTTGTTATACTCTGCGAGCAATGCGTCCGTAATGTCCCTTATCACGTCATCTTGGTAGCTCTCAGTGTGTTCATTTAACTGTGAACCAAATAACTCATCACGCATGGCCAGAACTTCGCCCAAAGTTTTCATTACTTTAGTTGGTAAATACTTCAGCAAAGGAAATGCTTGGTAAAACCGACCTTGTTGAACAACGTACAGCAGTTTCTCGTTAAAAGTAAAAAGTTCCTTCATGGTTGGATCATGGTAATCGTATCTTTTGGAGAACAACCATTCACTCATGATGTTTATCATGGTGCTGTTAATACCAGTGTATGGTGTTACTGCTTTACCTTCACTTTCACCAAACCATTCAAGCAAATAACCAACTTCCTTGTTCACTCTTGCTTCAGCCTCTTGCAGTCCTTCGCCAAATACATGAAAAGCAGAACTAATTATTCGACGACGGAAGAGAAAACTCGCTCCAAAGTCAGTGAAACTTATATCTTTGCCGTCAAATATATCACGTAAAGGAAAATTAGCCGAATCGCCCGGTCGACCACTAAAATCATCTTTTCTGGTTACCAGTGCTTCGCGCGCTACTCTACCATTGTTCAATATGACAAATGTTCCCACAGGTAGAGTCAACGCGTATATTTCCCCATATTTCTTGTGAATTCTCTCCATAGAAAACGGGGGATTTGTGCCCATTTGATGGGCATTTCCTATGATAGGCAAGGGGAATGGACCAGGTGGAGTAGACCGACGACGAAGGTGCGTCGTGATCAGAAACCATAGCAACCAACAAACAGAAAGTGATAAGGAAACTTCGACAAACATTTTAATCAGATCGTCAGCTAGAGGAACCTACAATTGCAAATGATATGGAGGCACGCACAACAAATCTTCAAACTGATTAGATTCAGTTTGCTTTGTCGCCTGGACTTCCTTATTATGTCTCATTTTAAAGAGGTTTTTGTATAAACCAGAAATAAATAGGCCTCGTGAAAAACAACTGAATGTTGATTTAGACTAGCGTCTAAAGAAAGTTTATATATGTATGTAAATAAAGAGCTTTATACATGCAGTCAAATCTTCACATCGCTGAATAGACATAGGGATCTATTACAAATATTACTACAACTCTACAAGTGTTTGCTGGCAAATCAAATTTTTCGGGGTCGCCGGTCGCGTATTTCTTCGTCTTCGCACAAAGATGAGAGTAAATGCGGGGAGAAAATCGCCCTTGCTCAAACAGATTTTCCAATTGAACCGCCTTTTCAAAAATTACAAAACTAAAGCATTCATGGTATACACTACTAAGTTTTCCTATCCGCGCTGTCAAGTTCGAGAGTCTAAAATTTATGTTACTTTACAGTTGCCACTTCCTGTACCCAATTCCCCATTTGAAGCAATAAAGATTTTAAAATGGTGGGAATAATATCAGTCTTGGCCACCGGATGAACCTTTATAATTTGATTTTATTGTACCTGGTACAGATACAAATGTTTCAAAGTACAGAAATTACAGGGCGGCAAAATAGCTTATATCATTAAATAATCATCATAATTAAACCCATAGCATGAGTTCATCTTATGTATGTTTATAACATAAAGACCATATATAATCGACTGTTGACAATAGTTCCACGTTTAATAGCAATATTTCTACATCAAATTTTACGTAAGTATTCATCAGTTTACACCCTTACCTGAACTTCAGAGTGAACTCGCTAGGTGTTATATAATGGGCGTATATATAATAGCTGTTTTATTAATACTGCTCGATGACTTGCATGCAGCTATAGTCTTTAAAGGTAAACCAGCCAGTTTTTACTACAAAATGAAAAGATAAGCTTCTCTAAATCATTTGTAAAACATAACAAAGACAAAGCACGTATACCAGTGAGTCCTACTAGCATACGTTGCAAGCGACGGGTAAAATTGCAGTGTATTTCAATAATTTGAATCTTTTATACTTACCTCACTCGCTCAGTTGTTAAAAATGATTTGCAGCTCTCCGTTAGGGCTACTGGCAACTGTGTGGTTTCTACTCGTCATCGTCAGTCGAAGTTTGATCACAAACAAAAGATAACAAAGCTTGGAAAAACGATAAGAGTTCTAAGACGCCAAATACGTTTATCGTTTTTTCCAACTGATTTTTGTATTCAAAGCAGCTACGGTATGGTACATATCTCTTTGTTCGAGACTTTTTTATTTACTGCACTTATAGGAGCTGTTTGCATGATCATGATCCCGCTTAGCCAAGTTTTATTAAACGAGGCGTGAAATGACTTCAAGCCATTGAAATGACGTCGTCGCATTTTGGTCGCGTGGTCGCATTACCAATTCAAATGGTAATAAGGTTTGATCATGACAAAAATGCGATGGTATAAGGCCTGTTTCAAACGACGTGTTTCTCATTCGCATGTACCTATCTGAAGTATCCCTTATATTGATTAATTAACTATTGTTTTAAATGCGTTCTTCACTAGACCTGTGATGGGTAATCTTCCCCTTAGGTAAGCCTTATTCTTCAATTTTCCGCGGTATTTATTATTATCATTGTTATCATCAGTTAAAACGTGTTAAATCATGAAGCTGGAAGGTTGTACAGCAGTTGTGACAGGTGGAGCTAGAGGAATTGGAAAAGCTATCGTTAAAGCGTTGTTGCAGAACAAAGTAAAGGTAATGTTGACACAAATGTTGACATAGTACTGTAGATATGTTACAAACTTGATCTGGAACATCACTAGCGAATAGATTTAACATGTAGTCGTAGTAATAACGATGATTTACCAACTGAAACAATTTTATTAATCTAAATGAATAGCAGAATGGTAGGAAATGCTCTCTTGGCAAAATAATATTTTATTGTATTACGTTACTAAAGGGTGCATTGGTCCTCCCCCAAAAAACTGCAATGAATGAATCCAAACTCCTTGAATATTTCCACAGGTATATATTTTGGATATTGATATGGCAGAAGGGAAAAACGTCAAACAAAAACTGGATGAAGAATATGGTAAAGGACTTGCAACATTTTGTTGCTGTGATGTTACAAATACAAATGAATTTAAAGGTAGCTATTACTCAGTGAAGTACATGTTACTTAATATTTTCCAATGTTCAACTCACATTCTATAAAACATTCCTCATAAACGACCTGCATGGCTGGAAGTCACCAATCAGCACCTTTTGAATTGTGCTTGCACCAACCACACTATTTCAGGGACGAAGTTTGAAAGTGCGCATACAGGTTCTGCGTACATTTGTTCTTAACTTCCCTGTTATTATCAACTCAGGTACCTTAACACGAATCGCAGAAGAAAATGGAGGTTTAGACATTTTGTGCAACAACGCTGGCATAGGTCCAACGGACGATTTTCAAAAGCTCATTAACATTAACTTGGTAAGTAAGGAGAGAGTGAGAATGTAAAAATGCTGGATGCATCCATGCAATGTGTAAGGCTTATCCCTGTGTATACACTGAATAAACATCGACTGCTATTAATTGGCAAGTTTGAACACATGCATTTTGCCTGGAATTTCTTTGATGTGTGCTGGAGGCATTGATATGAGCTCGCCTTTGATATGAGCTCACGGTTACTTTCCTGTTCATTCATTGTGAACACCTGAACGAATTCGAGCAGGGTCGGTCCGGTGTGTAGCCTCAGTCTTACATTGTAAGCTCGGAAGTAAGATTATCCAGGAATTTTTTAACTGAACGCCAAAAATTGTGATATTTCTCTTTCTGTTTACCCAACTAAATTGACGAAAGCGTGACCGTGAAGCTAGTAACTTGTTACAGCCTTTGATATTCAATATTATTTCACTCACTACAGACAGGGATGATATATGGCACAATATTTGCAATTGAGCTCATGGACACAAGTAAAGGGGGCAGAGGAGGGAATGTTATAAACATTAGCTCAGTTGCAGGTATATCATTACGCTTTGTGTTGAAATTTAGAGAACTGCAAACATTTTCATTATCAGTCGCATATTTTCATCATGCTGGGACAATTTATGTTTCATTATATCTTAGATCAAATAACCTCTAACATCAACGACCACTAAATTATAATAGTAACCACATATACGCGGTGCATGATCAATAAATTAACGTATAACAAGACACGGGTGTGTGAATGAACTAATGATCGTAATACTTTTAGGCTTAACATTTTTTCCAACATCTGATCTGTCTTACACTGCTGCAAAACATGGGATTGTTGGTTTCACTAGAAGTATGGCACAAGTAAGTTAAATTAAATGTAGACTCATTCCATAATTGATTTAGCGTCCCCCCCTGGTGATGTTGTATTCACTTTTGAAGAGCACACACGACATATTACGTATATGATAACTTTCCGAATAAAATAAATTCAGCAAAGAAATAGAAACACGTGAATAGCTCTGCCTAAATGTGCAAGTACTCTCTAATAATGACACTTTTTAATATAGACTGCCATAAAGGTTGGAGTAAGGCTAAACTGCATATGTCCAAGTGCTGTTGATACGAGAATGTTGAAAGAATGTTTCAAAATCATGGAAAAAACTTTCGCTTCTTTGGGAACAACCATACAAAGGTTGGGAACAACCATTCAATATACTTTTACATCATATGCAAGCAATATTCATATTGCGAATATATACGCCGCATATCTGATGCAGAAAGAAAGAAAATTGTTTTTTCACATTGCTTGATGGACATTGTGATAAACGTGGTATTAAATCCAGGTGTAATAAGCGTGGTGTAACGTATCACTTTATTTTGTTTTGTTTAGCCCAGAATTTGTCGCAAAAGGGTTTCTCCAGTTGTTGGAGGATGAAAACCAAGTTGGAGAGGCAATGCGGATTACATCTCAGAAAGGAATCGACTATCATCCATTTCCACAGGAACAAGTTCCATATTAGCCTTAATTGAAATACACACATACAATGACATATTACCTAGTGATTACATTAAAATTGATAACATTTAAATGCTTCACAAAATATTAGTCTTCAATGATCTCGCTATAGTCCTAAAGATAATTCTTCAGCATAATGTCTTATGAAAAAGACGAAAACGATCCAACCTTTTTTTAATTGCTTTATCAGTCAATTCGCGCATACAAATTTGCAGTCTCGCAGTGATGGAAAATGGGCTTTTGACATTGCATGCCTAAATTGCCCGGGGGTCTTTACCTGTATTCAGTAATGTATCCTTTCCACATTTCCGCTAAAACTTGCTCACTTAGATGATAGATGGATGACCAAAGTAACCGGGTACAGCATAGCACATCATGGTACAGAGCAAATAAAGGCACTGCGGAGTGTTTTTGGGCGCTTTCTTATAGCGTTCCTGTTTTATTGTATTAGTATTCAAGTCTATGTCATGTATAATGCATTAAATGGCGAAAAAAGAGTGAGTCTAATGGAAGAAATAGATATCAGTACACTGGAACGTGATGTACAGGACACAAGAGCTGAAATGATTGAAGATGTGGAAAATATATACAACTTAAAAACACGTTTCAAGCATTTTCATGATCATTATATCAACGAAGACCCTCTCGCAAAGGTTTATGGAAAGGATGAAGTAAACTTGTTTCATAAGTTTTGGACTTTTTACCTTCAGACACATGACACCAACACAAGTATACACTCTGTAACTCATTTTCCTTCCTGGGTAAAACTCGCAATGAACGCAACTGCTATGACGAGATTCGGGAAGATTGATGTCAACATGACGGTCTGGTTGAAACTTAGTAATGTTAGTGGTTCAGAGAAGATTGTTCACATGACAGAAGAATGGAATGATGTGCCGCTAATAGACAAAGATAATACTTTGTTTCCTATTGGCTGGACAGCTGAGACGATGAGAATTGTATTTGGTCAGACTGTGGTATCAATTGCCAGTTGGACCTGCTAATTATTATTTACAAACGTTAATTATTAATTAACATGAACGTTAATTACATCCGGAAAAACCATTTACAAGCTATTCTAAAATAATTACAACACTCTTGTTATTAAATTACAGCAGTGCCAATAAATATAATTTGAAAATTGGTTGGCAGGGTTTTTTTTCTGGACCTTTATCACCTTCATTCCTTTATGCAATTTTCGTACAATAATTTGCAAAATTTTAAAAACTCTTCTATCTTTGATGATGGCAATATTGAAGTACTGGATTCTGCCTCAGACGGTGGCATGGTATCCAAAGTGTCCTCGACAAACTTTCTTTTGGTTAACATTGTTAGACTCCTGAACAGAGCTTTCTCGTGTAATTCCTGATCAACTGGGTGTAGCTTGAATTATTACAGAAAAAGTTTTTTTCGACTTCGATTAGACATAACATGCATTGAGAATCAAACATTGTGTAATTCACGCACAACTTACCCTGAAAATAGTTGCCAATAAACATTCAAAAGTTCCTCTTTGCGACTAAATAAAACAAACCTCAAGATCTTCAAATATCATGATGTAAATTTATATAAATAATACACAAAACAAAACCGTGCAAACTGTTCTTTCGCAGCGTGAGACGGTTACGACCAGGTTAAAACCACTAACTAGTTGTACTTTTGGAGTAGGTAAATCTCGTAAATCGTGGTTTCTAAAAACTGCATGATCCTAATTGCATGGTCAACACAGCCTGGCATATACAACCCGGCATATACAATGCCAACACAGTTTGGCATATACAACCCGGCATATACAATGCCAACACAGTTTGGCATATACAACCCGGCATATACAATGCCAACACAGTTTGGCATATACAACCCGGCATATACAATGCCAACACAGTTTGGCATATACAACCCGGCATATACAATGCCAACACAGTTTGGCATATACAACCCGGCATATACAATGCCAACACAGTTTGGCATATACAACCCGGCATATACAATGCCAACACAGTTTGGCATATACAACCCGGCATATACAATGCCAACACAGTTTGGCATATACAACCCGGCATTAATTGTTTTGTTACATATCAGCCGAAGCAAGACAACTTACTTTGGTTAGGTGCAACAGCGCTTCCCTTGGATTTTCTGAATTCTGTATCAGTGTTTCTACATCATGTTTACTTAATATTGGCTCCTGGATTAAAGAGAAATGGAAATTGATGCAAATAAATTAGTAATTAAAATATTTGGAAACAATCGTTTGGTATAAGAAAGATGATTCAATATGCTACGGCCTACTTTATATACGCCATGCACGCGTGTGCCTTAATAAAGGTAATCTTACCGTTAAGCAATCTATCCACGAAACCATTAACGCGGTTAATACACTAGGACTTGCTTCTTCTTCGATAAATTTCCAGGCCTCGTTTGACTCATTAAGAAGTTTCTATAAATCATGAGCAAAAATAACAAAAACAAAATGAAGAATGAGCAATAAAGATACCAGAATACATGAACCAGACAATAAACACGCATGCAGTATGAGAAATTCATACCCGTAGTTTTTCAACTTTATCAATATCAACGTCTTTGATATCCTCAGAAAATGCAGCGGCTACATCTTCTACTGTAGCATGTTTATTGAGCAATGTCAGCAAACCTCTTTGCTTTTTATGTGATTCATTACTTCCTTCAGTTTGGTTACATATTTCACCGTTTTTTTCCTCCTTCTTTTGTTTGTCATTTTCTCTACCAGATTCTAGTTCACCTCTTGTGTTTAGTTTATGTGCTTCACACAAAGAAGAATATTGCGGCAACGCGTCTGATAGATGAGCCTCGTTATGATACCCAGACGGTTGTGAGTTTGATAATTCGTGACTAAAGCCATCGCATTTTTCATTTAAAGGTTCATTTTCCGTATCAAATTCACCTTTGAGATCTTCTACACTTGCAGAAATATTACATGAACTTTCGTTGCTATTATTTTCTGATCTCTCGGCCTCATCTTCACCATCTGTTGAATCAATTTCATCATCGAACTTTCCTGTAAGGCGATCGTTGGTCAACCTAAGTTTGCTTGCATCCAAACCACATAACTCCAGAAGACGTTTGCAAGGAGCAAAAATAATCTAAACAAGACAAGGAAAAAATTTAAAATCAATTTGATAATAAAATTGCTTCAATGTAATATACTCTGATATACGTAGAAGCGAAAGTACTAAGTACTGTATGCATATCGTTATATAGTGTATGCACGTTCTACACGTATGGGGCATTCCTGCAGTCAGTCCAACTATAAACCGAGGTCTTCGAGATTTTAAGAGCATATTGTTCCACATCTTTTGAAATTGTCCTGAGGTTTTCTTGGACTTCTCCTGAGGTTCTCTTGGATTTTTCCTGAGATTGGTTCTCTTCGAGTTCTCCTGAGGTTCTCTTGGAGTTCTTCCGAGGTTCTCTTCGAGTTCTCCTGAGGTTCTTTTAGACTTCACTTGAGGTTCTCTTGGACTTCTCCTGAGGTTCTCTTCGAGTTCTCCTGAGGTTCTTTTAGTCTTCACTTGAGGTTCTCTTGGACTTCTCCTGAAGTTCTCTTCGAGTTCTTCCTAGGTTCTGTTGGACGTCTCCTGAGGTTCTCTTGGAGTTCATCCGAGGTTTTCTTGGGCTTCTCCTGAGGTTCTCTTCGAGTTCTCAGGACTGAGCTTCTCTTGTACGAAACGGTGCAAACATATTTTCAGTAAGACAACAACGCGTTTTAAGGACTCGTTTTAAGGTTCACGGTTCAGGTTATTGCAAAAATTGTTTTTTCATACCTTCGGAATAAATTTCAACTCTCTGGCTTCATATCCATGTAACAAACGTTTTTGGCGCTTAAGATATCTTTGTAGATTAAAGGACTTCTTTTCTCCAATGTCGTAGCTATTTCATGTAAGTTGATGAAGATAATTATCAAATATATATTATATACCGTAGTTAACACTATCTTTTAACTTTCAATTGTATGATTTTGTTAACATATTGGATTAAAATATTCTTCACATGAAATGGGGGATGGAGTTGAAAATAGTCACCTCAGACAAAGAATGATTTGAATAAAAAACTTTCCTTACCAGCACGAAGGGAAAATAATCCACGCTGGTTTCAAAAATTTTGCGAAATCGTGGACACAGGAAATCTGACCTCTGGTCTGCACAGATCTTGGCCTTAAGAATTAGAAAATTGTGTCAATAGATTACTTACAAAGTAAGAACAAAATTAGGTTAAACAGGAATGCATGAGAAATGGCATGCCTGCTAATATATCATGCGTATTATTAATAAAAACTAACACAACGAAATGAGAATATTAAAGGTGGTACGTACTGCATGTATGTGATACTGGAATCTAGCTGACTGAAATATATTCTTAATTTTGAGTAAAGAAGTCCTTTAAATATTCACAATGGAATGATATTCACAGATGTGCACAGTTGCAAGAAATAAATTGTGTTGTTCATATTGCAGTAATCATTTCACATCGTATACTAACCTTTTCATTCGTACTGTGTGAATAGCCTATAAAATATAATGCAATTATTTTAATTTCTACCTGGTGGATACAATTGTTATTAATATGAATACCGGTATTGTTATGGTGATTTTTTGTGAGATTCAAAGAAGTGCAGTACAATATTTGATAAAAAGTTAGATGTTACCTGTTCAGGGGATATTCGTAAAGAGTAGATAAGGTAACAAGCGATGAGAACACCAGTCCGGCCTGCAGATTCAATAAAATTGCATTTAGATATTTTACATTACAAAATAAAACAGGTACCTGAATGATTTGAAGTATAAGATAATAAAGATTCAAAATTTATTCACCTAATCCTGCATGGCAATGAACAGCAACCTGTAATTTAAAATTTAATGAAGTTAAAAAAGTAAAGAAAGATAGAATCCAAATATCCAATTTAGGAAAATTTATCTACCTTTCCATTTTGAAGGGCAAAATCCATCACCTTGACAATATTCAAAACTGATTCCAATGAACAAATGCCATAATCCTTCCTGAATTAATATAATACTATCTTGTAGTGACAATATGATATATATATATATACACATTCCAACTTAATTCCTTATGATGATTATCATTATAATCAACTTTTGGAACTTCAGAAAGTTAATTACCTTTAAAATTATAAATTAACTTTCACTATTAACTACTAAATGATAGAGTTTGAAAAGTAATTAGAATTTACAATGTTATTTAATTAATTAGTTAATTTACAATTAAACTAATTGTTATATAATATATAATATATTAATCCATAATATTAGCATAGAATATGCTTCCAAATTAGTTCAAAAGAATGCATGGTACAAATTTATACCTTAATACCACATCTGTACTTACCAAATATAGTTAAAGAAAAATACTAGAGGAAAAAAAACAATACTGCTGATTTAATAACAATATTCGAAACTGATATTGAATTATCAAAGAACAGCTAGTGCAGTGCATGGTTTATTGATAGAGAGCTATATATTGAGTAGTATGTATATAAATATAACCATACTTCCATTATCCATAAAATCTTGAGGGTTGTAGGTAAACCCACTTTTTTCCAAGCCAAAACCACAGTTAGCATGTTCCCCTAGATGTTGTAAATTGATGACTGCTGTAATGTTCCATCTAGAAATAATCAAATAGGTATTGGAACTATATCCTACTAACAAAAAACTAAATCAACTATGTACACCTTTGTAACAAATACATACTAAACACTCCTATATACATACCTAAACATATACCTACCTTTGAAACTGTTGTATAATGTTGAATTTCTTTATGGTTCTTGTTGATGGCCTGGCCATTGCAAGAATGTTATCTGTAACCCTAAAACATATTATACTTAGAACTTATACATCAATGAATTCAGTATATATTACACATGTATACAGCTAGATCATGAAGTCTCACAAATTACCACATATTATTGAGTCCTGGCTGGACTTTATTGTGCAAATCCTGGTTCAATAAATACTCTACTCTATTTTCAGAAGTGTTCAGTATGTGTGACAAGCTATATCAATATCATAATACACAAAGTAGGTTACTTTGCCATGTGGCATTGGCTGAAGCCTAATGTCTCAATTATTACGAAAGCCAGCCCTCCAGCCAGTGACAAACATTCTGAAAGGTCAGGTGTTTAGAATAAGAAACATACAGCCATTAAATTTTAGATTAATACAACACTCTACTAAGTATAGTACAATTTTATTATTATTTAAAAAATGTTTAACCCTCATGACTAAGTAACAAATCCGCAAGGCTCCATTTTCCTTCGCAGTACTTAAATTAATTAAATCTAACAATGTAAATAATTGTATATCACTGTACATATGTATGTACATTTCTATATGAAATGGAACACATTTAAACAATTTAAATTATTGCTTATACATCTTCTAAAATATTCTTTCGAAGAACTCGATTAAATGGCAGAGACGCGAAAATTAAAAGAGAAACTTACCAGGAGGAATATAAGCCTTTGATAACCATATCGCTGTCATTCCACTTTGCTTGTCCTTCGTATTTACACTGTCTTCCGCCACAAAACATCGAACATTGAACTGATCCAGACGTTACATAACGTAGAGATTCCGAAACTTTCGAATATTTAGGCCCACAGTCCATTTCATTAGTAGATTTTACTCCTACAATGCTTTCTTTCGGAGTTTTTTACCTGGTTTATTGACATGTCTATTTTTAAAAATTAAAACTAGTGTTCAGTTCACCTGCGAAACATGAGACGCCACTTCCATGGCAACGCATGTTGGATATCTTGCGCAGTTGCCAGTTGGATTTCTTCCGCAGTTGGATTTCAGTACGTCGTGGGACTAATTTTTAGAGAGAGGGAACTTCCTAGTAAGGGCCCCTGGCCCAAACGTCTTACAATAAAAAACAACGAAGCCTAATTTTCAATTTCCCCAAAGAGTGAGTTGGTAAATTTGGCAGTCGAACCGTGCGCAAACCACATTACTAGCGGAATTATATTAAAGTTGATTAGTTTATTGCTTTTAATTTCACTCCTCAAGTCAAAACCGTCCGAAAAAAAATTTGATCACAAATTTCAGTACAGTAAAGTGGTATTATTTATTCGTATTTACGCCTCTGTCTCTGAATATATTGAGTGCCTTACTGACATAATATTAATTACTCTACAAGTTAAATTTCAATTCCACAATAATTCACACATCTTCCCTTTAGAAATAAACAACAAAGCAGAAGCCTACAAACCAAAACAATGAATTGTATTTTAACGCAGGGTTTGCACTAATCAGTCTAGGTTCCCCCTCAAGCGATCTGACGGCCAATTTCGCAGCTTCTTCCTCAGCTAGTCGCTCGCTTACCAATGACTTCTTCAAGTTATTATAACTTAAACTAAGCTTTATTTCTGAATTCTGATTGTAATAGAAGGTTCCGACTGTCTTGACATGTGCTGCAAATAATATTTTAACACGATTTAGCATAATATTTATACAAGATTGTATGATTTCATTGATTTGTATCAATGATAGTGATAAATTGATGGTAACTTACTCTTCCTGAAGTTCTTCTTGTTAACGTCTTCTTCCATATGCAACAAAGAAAGGTGAGCATTAAGAACTCCACGTCTTTCTGAAAATTTTGACGTATAGCCACTCATGCCTATAATTTTTCAAAAAAATTCATTATTGACGGGTTTACAGTGACGAATAATGAAGAAACGACTGGGTAATGACTAATACAACAGTAATGACTAATTATGGACTAATACAACAGTAATGACCATAGTTATTCTAATGACTAATGATCCTATTCTTTGTTCTCCCTCTCGATTTCGAGTTAACCACCACTGACTGGAATCTATGACGCCACATGAAACCGAGGAATTAGTCAGGTAATGACATATCAAACGAAGAAGAAGAACCATTTTGACCAAGAGTTCCCATGTTGCATCCTTTCTGCTGGCTCACCTTCATACGAATGACTTCTAAATTCTTCGACAACATTGTTAGAAGTAACTGTGGCATTTCTTTCGAGTAGTCGATGTAGCGACAATGCATACTGATAAACGGCATCGTACAAAGCACAAGCAATTTCGCTGATTTCTGTTTCACCCTAAGAGAAGAAAGCGAAATTATCATGATGTCATTACCGTCATGAAAACAAACACATATACGAATTCAGAGCAATTATTTATTTATAATCTGATACACTATCTCAGAATATAATGATCTTGAGTCTTTGTCGTATTGTCTTTTTGAAGTCTTTGTAAACACTTATTGACGAATGACAATATTGTGTGCAGTATTTATCATATATTTTTAATTTTTATAGTGCGATAAGGGAAGTCTTTTTTCGACCAAATTCAAAATTCAAAAGTGTCTACAGAGTACAGTGTCTATATACTAGTTCAAACTTCAAACGCAAAGCCAAAGCCGCGCGATGGTTTTAATTTTAAATAAACCACACAGATTTAAAAAATATTTTCTTATGCAAGCAAACTAGGTACCTCATATGATCTGTGATATGATAAATGATAAATATTTGCACAAAATGCGAAATTATATAAGATGCAAGGCAAGATTAAGACCGCCATGTAGCATTTCAAATTATAGTCATAGACCGCGGAAAACTGTATTTGCATACGTGAGATTAAATCCACCCGTACACATCCTTTTTATATGGGCATGCATGGTTATACAAAAATTATATATGGCTAGGAAACACAGACAATTGCTACGATAAGATAGATAAGCAAAAAAAATGAAAAAGGCAGATAAAGGCAAAATCAAATAAACAAAACAACATCCCATAGTAATAAGATCCCATATACATGAAAAGAAAACACTTCTCAAATCTAAATATGAATGACAAACATATTCATTATGAGAAGACAGAATAAGTGACATCCGGTAATTCCGTTATAACACTTCAAATAGGAATAATTCAGAAAAACATGATATTGGCATGACCGGGGGTATAAAACAAGATATTAAATAACTTCCCAAGAAAGGAAAGTAAATTCAAATGAGACAAAAACATATAGATCCATTTTATAATATAAAGATCAAAAGTGTCGTTTTGTTAGATGAAAAGCTACTAAGTGAACTATAGAATCGCTGCCACTATAACTGTATGTCGTTGAAAAAGAGGGAAGCCGCATAATGGTGGCCTTACAGCTTTGCCTACCCCTATATACACATTTTAGCAGTTCTTTTAATTATCCAAAAAATGCCCTTAAAACGGCCGGAAGCTTGTACTTCCCTGTTATACTCACTGTCAAAGGATCGAAAATAGCTTCATCTTTGAACGGTCCGTCATTCTCGGTTTTCTTCACTAACAGATTTCGAAACCTTTCGTAACGGGCATTATTCACCGGGTCCTCAGCAGAAATAATCAGTAGTGATCTTGCTCCTTTCTTCGCACGAAACATAACGTCGAGTACAGGTTCTGCGTATGGACTGAAAAAAATTTCAGGATATTGCACGTAGTTTTTTCTGCGAATTTTTGCATCGGGTTGGAAGCCGATAAAAACTCGAGGCCTTTCGTTGAGGTCGGGCTTAAAGCCTGCAAGACCCAGATCATAAGCTTCAGCCATGATTTCAATCAATACGTCAAATGAAGTCAGAAGTACAAAAACTATAAAAGATAATCAGACACTAATTTATAAGGTCAAGGTTCATTGATCAAGGTTCATTGGTGCCGCACGGAATAACACAACAAAAAGACGTTTGGAACCTGCACGAAATCGTTTTCAAAAGTGATTGCGATTTAAATTGAAACCCCCCCCCTCTGAGATTGGGAGTTGAACGATTATGTATAAGTTGGGCCATATGTAAAAAGACGTCACAATTTACTAGCACAAGTCTTTCGGTATCTATATGAGTAACTATAATACTTCAAAAAGATACTTCTGTTGAAATCTTTTCAATATTGACTGTTCACGTTTTTCGAAATAAACACGGAAAGACATGGTGGAAACATGTGAAAACAATTGGATAGAGTACGGTCAAGCTTTTGTTTACCTTCTACTTGTTTCTCATGTGCCATATATGTCAATATATCGTTTACTTTAGCCAACGACATATTTCTTTGCTTCAATCTTGGAAATTCCAAAAAATATTCACCATATTGGTCGAATTTATTCACCTTCGGTACCTGCATGCTGGTGACAATATCAATGTTAGTCCTGGTCAACATGGTGCTCTTTAAATTTGTCCAGTACTCGTTCCCTTCCTCGTAAATAATTCCGATTCTTCTCCAGCCTTGCTTTTCCAAAAGGGCGAACAACGCTGAAGCTGCTTGGGTGTTTGTGTTTTGATAGGTTTGAATAAACAGAGGGAATTCTTGCTTTGTAAAATAGCCACTTTCTGCGCAGAGCTGGGAGTTAATTAATAAAAGAAGGTTAGAAGAAGAGTCTGTTCAGTGGTTACCTACTAAAAACTCTGCTTCAATATTTCATAGCATCTTAGTATTTGTACATAGCATCTATTCATAGAATCTATATGATACAAAAGTCTTGTGATTGGGTTATGGTTTATTGACCGGCAAGTTATATTTCATAGTTAGATTTCCTAATTATATATGCTTATATTATCAAGGCCCCGTTTGATAACAGTGCTTGGATTTATCACTGATTAGATTTATTGTGGCTTAATCGTCATGCATGGGTACGATTGCATTTATATAAAGAGATTATGATTTAGGATTTCGATTAACTTGGTGAAATTGCTTACATAAGATATCATTGGTATATCTAACGCCTCTGCGACTTTGGCAGGAGTCGAACAGTTGAATGCTGGTCCAATGAACACATCAACAGATTCATTTTGCGGTAAACCCTGAATTTCCTGCATGGCTTGCGATACCACGTTATTGTTAGTGCTGTCAATCCAACTGTACGTCAGTCGATGACCGGGGAGGATCTTGGGATCGTTGTTCACGTCATCCACTGCAATAGTCAATGCATGAGCGAAGCCTTTTCCTGACTCGCAATCACCTAAACTCAGGTCTTCGTAGTTCAATGGAACGAAAAACTTTAGGTGATATGCAAGGGAAAATTGCATGAAAGTTGAAAGAATGAGTGTTGCTCCTATCATGATGCGACACTTGCTGGAAAATTTAGGTTTCTTGATGTAAGATAGCAGGATTAAGTAACAACTGCAAATATTAAAAAAAATATTTGTAATGTTAGAATTATAGCATTTAATAGATACCGATAAATTACGAAAAAAAACTGATAGAAACGTTTGGGATGCGATAAGTGCCTTGTCAGTCTTAAAAGTTGTCGTTAAGCGTACTGGTAAATCATGCAGATTTCTAAAATAAATGAAAAACTGAGCGTCTTCGATCGTCATGCGGTCATGGGATTTGTTACCAAACTAACCCTCGTGACGAAGGCCGGACCTTAGGTCGAAACATCGAGAAGTTTCTTGTCTATTTTAGGTAGTTTTCAGCCATGTAATTTTATCGAAATGTATGTATACTAACAACATTGCTTTGACTAGGGGACTGCGGTGAATTAAAGGTTCTTTTATACTGGTTTTATTGCTGACATCGACTGAATTTATTTGCTGTCGACGCCATTTATATTTTGCGTGATAAAAGATGGGAAGAAATACAGTCGAGGAAAGAACGATATTCGTCAGTAACGGACACTCAATATATAAGAGAAGCATGAAATATCTTTGGGTATGTAATATAATATTTTTCATATCAGAGCTATTTCAAACGCGCCCCTTTTTTCAAGAACAGTTTGAGCATTAGAAAAATGGTTATATTATCTATTGTTTTCGTAAGTGCTTGCGTTTAAAAGTACAAAATATATATGCGACATCTAAATAGGACCTCTCGCGTTTCCTGAAATGGCGCAATTTGAAAACATTAAACCTCCGAAATAAAGAGAAATATTTTGTGATCAGTATTCGTATAGAGAATTATTTTCCAAAACTGGCAAACTTACTAAGCAAGAACTTGTGTACTTACATATGGCCAAAAAATAACGGTTCACGCACTTTACTGATCCGCAACTTGTTTACATTTCTGTGTATATATAGCCTCTCTGTTCCCCAAAACTCCAAAAAGCTTTAGTTTTGCGATATATTCCGTCAAGCAGTGCTTTTGAGCGTCCGAAATCATATGATCAATGGTCAATGTTACACTAGTATATTTAGTGAAGTCTGACCTTCCTGTGCAGGTAGTTATTTTACGTCATTTTAAATGACTAATTTAAAATATTGTTGCCTGTTGGCATGTTCAAAGAGTGCCTGGAAGCGAGTCGAGTATTCTATCGAGGTATGCCGAATGGACTCGAGCATAATTTATGAACAACCTTATGTCAGAGTAATATCAGTTGAACTTTTTCAAATGTAAGTTCTCTGCGTATGAAGGCGAGGTGTTAGCGTATTTTCTGTCAGGCGACGCCAAACATGACGTAGGTGCCAATCTATTGTAAACTGTATGATGTAAATATGAACGTTCTTTAGCGCTGCTTTCCACCGTCGCGTTTTTGCACGCACGTACACGCACGTAAAAGTTTAAATGCTTTTAAATTTTTGTTATTGAACATCTAGGTAAAAAAATGCGTACTTAAACTACACGGAAAACCAATTTCTTTCGATCTATTCACTTTTAAAAGATAACTTACATAAGATATTGAGACTTTTACGTGCGATGAAAAACGCGTAAGTGGAAAGCAGCCCTGATACTAATGCATTTAATGATGGATTCATGAAACATGCATATAACTCGAAGCATCGCACCTTGGTAACTCAAGATTTATATACATATCATCAAGAAAGACAAATAGAGATATCTCATCTCCGCCTCTGACTCAAAACGTGCAATATCGACAGGTTTGCGGTTTTAACTTGGTTGAGTTTTCAAGACGTTTTTCCGTTACGAATATATTATGCATGCATTCTGTTGCTGTCTGCCTTATCATCAGTAAAGGTCATATATCAATGAAGCCAGTTGATAAAAATGAGGTTCGGCACATGCTGAAAAGTGACCTACGAAACGGACCTCACGTTTAGCCATGAATTGGGAGTAGCGTGTTTCCCTAGTTGAGGCATTAACTGTGGTTGAGAGAACCAAAATCACTTGTGAGACTATCTTAAACTCGCTAAACGTAGATGGGAAATACGTTATGATGATTGAACTAGCTTCTTCTCCACACTTCTATAGGATTTATAGGATTATAGTTTGATATTCTAGATCTGGCTGGACTGGAACTTTTATCCCACATTTGCCAGCGACGCTCATCATTTCATATATTTCTTAAAATCATTTATAGATTTCATGCGTTGAGGATCTATACACTGAGTTTCTTTATAGGGCGGTTCGGTCGCTCGGCAGAATGCAAAATAAGTTGAAAAAGTACTATACGGTTCAATTCCTTTTTAGATGATAGAAAGTCCTTGTTACCAAAGTGGTCAGAGAAAGTATTAAACTATATAAGGAACAGTTTTAATCGATAGCTAGGATGAAATCAGTTTATTTAAAACTTTATAATTTAAAATTAATATGCACTGCCTGCGCATGCTTGCATCATTGTCCGCACAGTATGAAACTGCATGTGTGAACGTTTCAGGTAATTTTCTATTACTACCTACAGAGGTTAAAGGATAATATTATAACGAAAAAACGGAGCATAAATTCAAGTCAATTGGGATCTTCAACGTATATATTGCTCTTATATAGATATCTGGCATATTGCCTGGAGACAATAATAGTTTTAGACACGTTCTGTCGAAACACTCCAGGAAACGGTCGCCTACTCTTATTGACATAAACGATGAAGGACTTTTAAATACCAGGATTTTTTTGGTGAAGTTTATACCTCTCGCTCTGGTACGTTTGTTAACAACGCCATCACTTATGCGCATGCAGTCGAAGGTTAATAAAACGACAGTTATATACGAGGCTAGGAGGAGATGATGCGTTTGACGTCACAATATGAAAGAATTAAGCATTATAAAGACAACTATTACGTAGACAGAGTCCAGAAGCAGGTCACGAATGCAAAATATAGGCGCATGTCTTGTGATATAAAATACAAAGAAAGGTAGCTACTTCCTCTTCTTTGATTCCAGACGCAAAGTCTGGATTTTCACTATTCATTTCCTCTAGGTCAAAAACTATTTCATCTACGCGACCTATATTAACATTTTAATCGAGTGTTTGAAATAAGAAGGGCTTTAAATGATATGGATTTAGCAAGCAGTCGGTTCCTGGTAACGTAGTTCGTTCCTGTTCATGTTCGTTAACGATGGATGATTGTACAATATCTTCAAAAGCTCATCAAAAGCCAATATGTAGCTGCGTCATAATATTAGTTTATACAAATACCTCTTAATTCACGAGCTATATAATCCTAAATTATCATTCTGCTATGGTAAAAGATTCGTTAATCTTCATTATTGCTGCATTAAAATAAAGAATCAATCAATGAATTAGCTATATATCGAAAGTTGCAAATTAGCAAATAGTTTGCAATCTAGGGTTGCACGATAGCACGTTCCTGGGGAATAAGATTGCGAAAAAACAGTCGTGTAGACAGCTTACCTGTTGCCTATTACAATGCTATTAATTAAGTTATAAATAAATTTATGTGTTTCAGATTCTGAACTTACTGACGTTTTTGGCCCGAGCCAAATCATTATAATGCAGTATTCATGCTCAGGTAAGTTTTGAGGTTCAAAATTAACGCCACGAAAGCGGACGGACAAGCGGTTTGTATCGTGTAGTCGAAGGCCGAGTTACAGATCTTAAAAAGCCTCATTTATCTCTTTTTAAAGAGACTGAAATATTTTATCATATTTCCATTCTTCGCTGTTCAAAGACCGAGAAGATCATATTTCCACTTCTGATTGCATCTCACATCTCACATTCGAAACAGGCTGAAAATGTTTCATAGAAATTAGCAATGCTGTCGACATCCTTTCTCTTTTACAGAATAATTTCTCCTCGTCGTTATCATCCTCAGTTACAATTCCATTTTCCTCTAAACATAAGTCCTCAACAACACACTGAGAAGGTCGAACTTTATTCTTCTTTTCTGATGATCGTCGTAAGAACACGAACCATATAAAGCATAGACCAAGACTAATCCCAATAATAAAAGTTGTAATTGCTATGGCGATAACTGTAATGGTAGGAAAGTGGCTACTTTTCTCCAATCCAAATCTTTTAGTCGGTGTAGTTTTTCCATATTCTGTTGTCTTTGGTCTTTTTGTTATATTCGCAGTTGTCGTTATGTTTGTTTTCGTTGCGTTATTTCCAGCTTTTGTTGCCGTTGATTTTTGTTTTGCTGTTGTCTTGGTTTGGGCTGTTATAATTTTAGCCATTGTTGTTGTTGTTGTTGTTACTGCCTTCTCCTCTGCAATAAATACACCAAAAAAATTGTCATTTTAAATCGATGAAGGTTGCAATTTAAAATAGTAAATTTGCAGCGATAATATAATCTAAATATAATATGTTTAAAATTGATCTATTCGACTTATTTATTCATAGTTAATCATGTGCCGACCTTGACATTCAAAACCATTTCCATGAAATCCTTGCAAACAAGAACATCCAAAAGATCCAATATGATTGACACATGTCGCGTTATCATGACATGGAGATTTATCACATTCGTTCAAGTCTAAGAAAACAATCAACTGTGAATATGTCGTATGAATACTTTACCACTGAATCACGTAAAAGAAAGCCTAAAATCTAATATCATTTGCCAAATGAATCCATCCCTGAAAATCCAATCGAACATGATAAAATTACTGGATGCTCATTGGTAGAGATGAGTAAGTCGATGTATTTATCCCCTATTCAACTCAGTATCTATAAATAATAATTATCCTTGTACCAACCTTGACATTCAAAACCATTTCCATGAAATCCTTGCAAACAAGAACATCCAAAAGATCCAATATGATTGATACATGTCGCGTTATCATGACATGGAAAGTTATCACATTCGTTCAAGTCTAAGAAAACAATCAACTGCATGTAAAGAACTCTATTCCTAATATAAACATGTTTCTTAGTGAACGACGTGAAAGAAGATATAAAAGTATACCTTTGCAGATAAATCCATCCCCCGAAAAACCGTTCGAACATGAACATTTGAATGATCCAGGTATGTTAATGCAGCTTGCATGTAGATGACAAGGTATGGAGTCACATTCGTTACTATCTAAAATGGTGATATTTATCGTATGAATATGTCGTATGAATACTTTACCACTGAATCACGTAAAAGAAAGCCTAAAATCTAATATCATTTGCCAAATGAATCCATCTCTGAAAATCCAATCGAATATGATAAAATTACTGGATGCTCATTGGTAGAGATGAGTAAGTCGATGTATTTATCCCCTATTCAACTCAGTATCTATAAATAATAATTATCCTTGTACCAACCTTGACATTCAAAACCATTTCCATGAAATCCTTGCAAACAAGAACACACAAAAGATCCAATATGATTGACACATGTCGCGTTATCATGACATGGAGAGTTATCACATTCGTTCAAGTCTGAAAACAATCAGCTGCATGTAAAGAACTCTATTCCTAATATAAACATGTTTCTTAGTGAACGACGTGAAATAAAACATAAAAGTATACCTTGGCAGATAAATCCATCCCCTGAAAAACCATTCAAACATGAACATTTGAACGATCCAGGTATGTTAATGCAGCTTGCATTTAAATGACAAGGTATGGAGTCACATTCGTTACTATCTAAAATAGCCGATATTTATCGTATGAATATATGTCGTATGAATACTTTAAATAGACTGACTTTTTTTAGATTTAGGTTTTTACCGTCCATGCACATGCAAGAATACCAAATGATGATACAACGTAATTTCAAACAAAAAAGTTTGATTTATATATTAACTCGTACAATAATCAAAATTACTTCATACCCAAACAATTTAGACCATCTCCGTCGAAACCCTCCAAGCAAGAACATTTAAAAGACGCAATTTGATTGATGCACTTCGCGTTGACATCACACGGGAAATGATCACATTCATTGACGTCTACAGCATAGCAGGATATGGATAAACATTCTTCAGTATATATAGTTAGTATGATATCATACAAGGAAGACCATTATTAATAAAAAAGCTCCATCTTTTATGTATATTATATTAATCATATAATTTCCTAAAGAGGGGAGCGTTCATGTCTGTTATATGAAAAACCGCGCAAAAAGCCTAAAAACCGAGGGCCAATTGCAAGAAAAGATATTGAAACTGAAGCTTGAAACTGAAGAGCCACTATCATTTGACGGAAAAGCCCAACGTCCTTCTATTTAAACAATACTGAATACCTGCACAAAATGTGCCATTTCCAGAGAAACCATTCTTACAAGAACAATTATATGATCCTTGAAAGTTTACACATATGGCATTGGAATGACAAGGTAGTTGGTTACATTCATTTTCATCTAAAAAAAAAACATTAAGGCATGGAAATATTAACTACGGTAAACTACCAAGTCGATATGATCGTTAAGAGTGCACTAAGTTGTATTGTATTTTCTTGATCTTTTCTTGATTTTTTGTACATGTTTTCAATATCAAACTGATCAAAGTGTTTACCTAAACATTGGAAACCATTCCCAGCAAATCCTTGTGAGCAAGAACATTTAAAAGAACCAATATTGTTGATACACTTCGCATTGACATCGCAAGGAAATTGATCACATTCATTTAAGTCTATAAAATTTAGAGCAAGTTTACAATCTTTATCTCGTAAAGCGATGATTTAAATCATTGGTAATGTGTACCGGTACAATCTTTTCCATCTCCGAAAAAGCCAGATTTACAAGAACAGTTGTAAAATTCTTCAGTATCAATGCATGTTGCTCCAACGTGACAATCATGAACGTTGGCCAAGCATTCATTAAAATCTAATAGAATAGAGAATGCAGAAATGTAAGGTAAAGAAATATCCTGAAGAAAGTTAGCGCGTGAACTCAAAAGAAGTCGGTGTTAAGGTAGAATTAAAGTAAAAGTGATGCTGAAAAGATATATTGGAAGATGAAAATTGACAGTAAAGTCAAAAATAGCTAAATTGAAAAAAAAATTGATAGCGAAAAAGAAAATGCGATAAAAAGAAAGTCTAAAGTAAATGTAAATAATTGCAATTAAAATTACCAGTAATGGCGATCGTACGAAAGTAAATTACTTCATTTATATTGAAAGGAAAAGGAAAGGATATATAGCGATAAAATACACCTAAAACAAACAGTTGCTCTGGAAAAATCGTCTTTCCTCCTCCGTTTCTAGAGATATCAATAGGGAATTCCCTAGCCACGATGGCATCGTTCATTTTCTTAAGTTTCTGGAAAATTTCAGCTGTGCTTGATCCTCGGACACTCAGTTTCATAGAATTCTACAAAACGTCAATTGCCGTTAACTCTAAGCTGAAATTGGCAGGATTCCCGATAAACAATTTTATGGACATGTACGCCATTACAGACTTTTACAGGGTTTTACAGGGTTAGCTGGTCCTTTGGTCTGGTATTAAATTTGTTTAAATTTGACTGCGACACAACGCACTACCTCTTCAAAGCTTATTTCCTGAACATGATTTTCCAGGTTTTCACCAAGAGTTTTGTAAATCGTCTGTTGTAAATTCTTCTTCACTATTCCTTTTACAGTTTGGTTTGTGATCTCCGGAATTAATGTAGTCAGGTCAGAAGTAAACATTAGACCAATACGTTGGCTAAATATAAAAAATGATCAGTGCTCACACCACTAAACCTGGGAGTCAGCGAAAAGTAACTTGGGTATTTTAGGGGTACAAGTCATGCATAATTTCTGCATGGTAATCTATTTATGGTAAAAGTTGTTCGTCAATGAATAGGCACCAAATTGCACCAGAGGCACTAAAATATTCATGAAGCACTTTATGTTAACAGCCCAGATGGTTTAAATTGCAAGTGAAGCTTGTTCATACAACTACCTGTAATTAAACGGACAGAAACTCTCACAAGACTCAATAAAATTTTCACACCACACACAGTGAGACATTTCAGAGCAATGTTCGTTGTTCAATCTATATGATATTGGAGAAAAACATCGTATGTCAGAGCAGTGATGTGTGAACTAGACAAAGGGAGAATTTTTTTTCTCAAAAGCACGCCATGTGATTGGTTTAATGTTTCGGAGGAAACATTAATGCCCCCTCCCCTACATTCCGAATACGACAAAATTGTTCATCTACATCTATATATTTGTAAAGAAAGGTTATAACATACAGTAAAGGAAGTAAAATCACCACGTATTTTTAAGAATCTTTTGAAGCAAAAGTATTTCTTGGGTGTGCGTCATGTATTTGATGTGGATGTCTTTTGTACGTGGCGTTCTATTTGTCTTAAATGTAACTCTATACGTAATCTTTCTTCAGATAACCTCAGACTATGTTGTTAATCGTCTGAATCCACGTTTGTATTGTGTGTATATCTTGTCCAAATTTGTAAATAGTTATATATGTTAACCTTGTAGCTATTGGGAGAATGCCTTGGTTAGGGTTGTGCTCTGTCGCAATCTCCCTTGTTGTCAAGTGTAATATTTAGACTTCACAACTGAAATAAAGTATATATATATATATACAGTAACTTACGCGGTATTGCAAACTTTATCGCATTCTGGAATCGTGGTAGAGTTTCGAACTATCTGATCGGGCATGCGCACCGCAGCGTTGACAAGATTAATACTGGGACTCGGAGCTAAAAGAATAATTAATTAAATTGTTGAATATACATGGACGACAGGATTCGTGTTTTTTTTATTTTGGTTTGACAATTCTTGTTTTATAGTCATGACATTAAAAGCTTCTGATCCAAACATCGCAAATCTAAAATAATTATATAACAAAACTAATTTGTCAAGTATAAAAGTTAAACGAAAAAATACTCTCTCGCATAAAATATTAAAAATTTAATATAAAATACAACACTATAAGAAAAGAATTTTCACTTCATTCATCTTTAAATGCGGCTTTTACTTGACATCTAAGTCTTTACACGCGGCTCGATCGCAAATGAAACTGATCATAGATCTCACCTGGACAAGTTATCTCTGTGAATGTGTTCATTAATGAATTACTACAACGATCAAACGACATTGGACAGGAACACGGTGTCTACACGAGAGGTTCGAGAGGTTATTATTATCAGGGATGGAATAACTATCATTTTAACAATTATTATATTATTAAATAACTATCACTGCATGTCAGAATTATTTCAAATATCTAGCCTTTTTGAAACTGCCGGTGTGATCATAAGAACCTACTCGCCATATCCGTCTGACGTTATTCGTCCATCATACTCAGATGTCTACACATGTTACTGCACTAATATTATCGCTGAGGTCCTGAGCAAATTACTACATTTGTCTGCTACCTCTCCCCTCTTTATGCTAGGCCTATTCTTGACTAACACATGCATGGAATTGCATAGTACTCTGTTGTGCAATGTTTGTTTGCTCTGCTTTCTATCATCGGAAATAATTTTGAAGGCAAACAATATTTTAATTAGGAATCCTTTGATGTTTCAAAATGAGATAAAGCTTGCCTAAAGTTGTTTATTTCCTATTAAAATAATAATACCTGACATTCAATGACATCTTGAGAACATGTTTTACAGGTCTGGAAAAAATAAATTGAATATTCGAATTCAGTTATTTTCCATTTCTTAACTGACAGCTGGTTTTCACCTAGCAACTTAATTTGTTATTTTTTTAATTGGGCAATTTGTTCAACATATAGTTGCAACTCAGTTGACATCCATAAAGCAAAAGAAGAATGTGGGTCTGCGTGGAAATGATCACAAGTGAAAACCGGCTTCCCCATGAACAAATATGTTGTTGTCAATTGCTCCTGTCCAGCTCTCTCGCCCTCCCTCGGGCTGTGCTGAAACGTTTCGTTAATAAGTCTATACACAGACATAACAACGATATTCGTCACCGTCGTGTGTGTTAATGTCCACATAGAATACAACTAAGTAATTTAAGATTGCTTAAATATAAGTACAGACTACAGTATATGAATCATCAACATTTTTAATAACGAAAATACCTCTGAATAGTTGCTCTGCAGTCTGTCTTGGCAATTTAAGTTTATTTTCCTGGATGGTATAACAAGTAATGAAGAGCTGACATTTGGTAGAGGAACCAGTATATATTGACGACACACAAGTGGCGATTGAGAAACGACTGTGTCGGTTACAATAGCTTCGTAAGAAAAGACAATCCTGAAATTCACAAAGTCGTTGCACCATTTGGTCTAAATATAAAATAAATGTCATACAATTCGATAAGATTGAAAGGTTGATTGCTTTGGTTACGCGATGTTATTAATTAAAAACATTGATAAATTATAATATTTATGTACTTTAAAAATCTGCCTAGTTTCAAAAAGCTCCTTCCCAATCCAATAAAATTTCTCCGTAACATGGACTTGTGGTTCTGGTTCATTTAAGTTGACATATAAATATCTAGAACAAACCGGCTCATTTTAACATCATTATTAAGATAAAACGCCTTGGTCAGAAAATGCATGATGAAAAAATCTTATGATGACATTGAGATTTTATATGAATGCAAGCTAGACGAAGAAAAGTTCAGCACGTACCCACTTTGGTCCATTAAGAAACAGTCATACTCGTTCGAACAGCCAGGCATCTGTAAAATTGATATATATATATATCAACAAATACGAATAATCACGAAAGAATTTATGTAAATTACCGCATTCATTGCCAGCCGTCTGAAAGAACTGAGCGTCATGTCTATACCAGACACCCCCATGATCCAGGTTGTCCAGCTCTTTGTGTTGTCTTGACGATCTTGCCCTCTAGAATAAATGAATGAATAATGTTGCTCGTCCGTACAGTATCCAGTTAGGATTCATGATTACACAAAAAGCTATGCATTGCCGAATTTTGAAACTATGAAATATGAACCTGCTCTTCTGAACTGCTTTACTAATTGAAATAACTTGTCCTCGACCATAAGGATCTTTGAAAGGATGCGACAAAAATGCTTTTCCAGAATTCATTACAGCTTGACGATACCTGTTAATAAAAAACCAAATTTGCCACAACACCTCATAACCTTGTCTCAGGCATACCATGCTCTTTCTTTCTTCTCGATCTTTCGCATACATTTTACGTTTCTCATTGTTCCTCCGTGATTTACTCCGGCAGTTTTTACAATTGGATCTTAGGAGGCAATACTGAACAAATCTTGCGAGATCAAAACTGTACCTACCATGGACGTGTTTTGTAATTAAGATTCTCACTCAATGTGCTTCCAGGATAGCGTCGATAAACTCCAGAGTCTGTGCCAACATATCTGAAAAAGAAAGGAAGAAACTAAGGTTAAGCAATAGTACAACTAATTATAATGCATGGGGCTGAATTCGTGTGATGATTGGCCTCTGCGGCATCTAGATTTGGGCAGCTTTTGGAGGGATGTTTCCCAAGACATTGTTTTCCAAGCCTTTTTTGTATAATTGCATCATGATCTCACCTCCACATGACAGATTCATCATCTTTCTTGTCGCTGTCCCTCCAGTTGTTTTCAAGATAACCAGTTAAGACCACGTCCGACACGACACCAGGGTGAGAGGCTGAAACCCAATAGAAAACAAACATGTCTTTTATCCTCCAAACTGTTCATATTTAACAAACGTTTAACCCTTAAAATACCTTCTATTTCTTCATGGATATCAATCACAGGTTTAGCTCCGATATAAACATCTGATTCTATTCTATTTTTATCGAAGGAAAGCTGTAGAGAAAGTGCGGAAGAATTTAATGTACTTGGGTCAAGTATATGATTATACGCTAGGCGGACAGGAATATAATGTGCGTGTCAAAGTTAGGTTTTGTCGCTCTACTTACCTTCACAGTAGAAAGTTCATTAAAGAATGGAGTGCCATTAAATTGACATATATTAAAATATCTGTCATCAACCTTATTATTTTCCTTGGTTGAATTCTTCTTCTTTACTTGTTTCGTTGTCTAAATGGATAACTTCAATTGAATTGGTGTAAATAACAATATATTTAAGGCACAAGAATTTCGTCTGTACGAAAGTTCATTGTCTTTGGCTGTGCAAAGGAAAGTGCTCTGCCTTTTTACGAAAAACATGATTTAAATCCCTGAAATGAATTGGAAAATCTTCATCAGGTGGTATATGTACATGCATATGTATTGTTAGAAAACCACTCCATGCACCGCTTACCAGCCAGACATTAAAGTCATCCTCCACAACAAGAATTATCAAAATAAACATATTTCTAAGTCTTTTCCAATTAAGTGTGCCGTTTACTGCCTTCGTTTTCATGCTATCAGTGCTAGCATATCCTTGAGGAAATTGTAGGAGAACCTGTAAAACGAAAATACTTTTTAAAACAGTTGCGAAGTTCTCTGACTATAGGCATGTAAAACAAACTTAATTTAGAGGATAACCTTCGACTTCCTACTGTACACGAGTAATAAATTTCATCATGACCTACAAAACAAGCAACAAACCTTATTTAATGTAATTTGCCCATTAGGTTCATTCAGAATGCGTTTAATGATATCTTTGTTCGCCCAAGATTCATATATTTGTAAAGGTAGTAGCGATGGTCCTAAGGAACTTTCTTCAGGATTTGGTGCTCTCGGGTGAATCCATACTCTCCCTTTGACAAGAGAAAAAACTATTTAACATGTTTTTCGTCCATGATGACTTTACCTTAATTTTACCTTTCACATCAATGACCATAGCATAGGAGTATTTTCCATAGGAAAACAAGAGAATTTGCGAGAAAACATAGTTTAATGACATATCAACTGCAGTGACTCCAAATATCGTTCCATTTTCATCCGTGCAAGGCATTGACAGCGTCAACGATGGAACTAAAGTTGGAACATTGACATAATAAAACTTTGCGAATAGTAAATATATTCTGCATGCGGACATTTTCGATGCAATAAGGTAACCATGCATGCAGTGGTTTAACGTGGGACTAAGTCTCTTGGAAATAAGTTTATGAACGAATATCATCTGGCATTAAACTTATCCTAAATTGCATTATAAGTATTGTTTTCACTTTTCATACTCAATAGGGGCAGGACTGCCACTAGTCTGCCCCAGTCCACACCACATACTTTCCGTGGTATGGCCACCTCTTTTGGACCCAATCAAACTGTAAATGACACTTTCATCCGGCGTTTAAAATCTTACCAAAGACTGTCCTCATTTACCTAGAACTTGATACACCCTTATTTCGCAAATCGAAAGAGTCTCGTTTCGTCCTGGAATACTCATATGAACGTAACGACCTGTCGTGCCAGATTCACAAAACATAATGTGGTCTTCATTGTCTTTTAAGAAATCCATCCAACCGCATATCTTGTTAAATTCTCTGTTTTCATTATCACCAACACGAATTTCTACATTTTTCATCACATTCTTACAGCAGTTTGAAATACCAACGGCCATTATATCATAATGATTTTGTAAATCAACTGACCACCAAGGATTCTCTTCATAATTTGTTCGTGAACATTTACCATCAACCAAGCCATTTACACCAACATTTGGATTTTGCTTGAACTTTACACTCGATTGCTTTGTTTGTTTACCTAAAGCAATGTTACCTGGAAAAATATTGACATCCAGTTTAATGAAATTCCAATTATAAAGTTGAAGCGATTAAAATGAACGACAGGACAGGTTTACAGATTTTCAACACCGGCTTGGAGAATGCTGCGACCTGTTCAAGTCGGCCGCTTGTATTCAGGAACTGCATGCAAATTGTTAATATAATACAGCATGGATTAAACCGATCATTCGTCCACATGTTTTAAAAAATCAAGCCAAAATGGGGGCACTTGCAAACCAACTAAAACATTGTTTAGAGTGTCAAAAGATCAGTCGCTAAAAATGAGAGAGTTGTTTAAAAAAACTAATTTACTTACCACTGGCAGCGGTGAAAAACTGGTAGTAACGTCCAAAAGCTGAGTTCAATTTTTCCTTGCTTCCATCGTTTATGATACTAAATTGTCCTCTATTTTGTGTTGCAATATTTGTTAAAACAGTTTTGGCTTTTTCATTTCCACTTATACCCGCACCAAGACCGTACGCCAGAATACTTACTGAGTTATTCTAATAAAAAATAAATTAAGAAAGTATATTCTGCAGGCTAAACTATATGAGGATGAAGTAACGTGATCGGTCATTGAAAGCGTTGAAAGTAGTGATTCATATCGAGATTCATATTAAAATTGAGGAACAATAGTTAAAATAAGTTTTTGCTATATAGCTATAATAATGATGCATTAATGCAGCCCTTGCAATTAATTGACGTCATGGCTCGTAATTCAGGGGCCTTCTGCTATTTGGGTGGCAAATAGATTGTAGCACTGTGTTCATAAGTACTAGACGTGTAGTATTTATAAAATTAAGTTTGTAGCAATCGACTGAATAAAAGAACTCTAGCTACCCAAGATGGCGGACTAATTGTGTGATGCCACATATTTCAAGGACCTAATAACAGGCGACTAAGTTTTCAATCAAAACTATCACTGGTATCGCAAATATGCGAAATTTGAGGAAATCTATAAAGTACTTCATGCACTGACCATTTGTTGTTGTCCTTGAGATATGGATGGATATATTTGCTTGTTAGGATCGTCACTTGGTACACCATCAGTGAGAAATAGTATGATGTTTTTCCCCTAAATTAATTGTGAAAAATACATATTTTGTATATATGTGTTACATCTATATCATCAATATTAATATTTTCCTGATTATATCATATTTGCAAATAACAAGCCGGACCAGCCGATAATCTCGGCAAATATAGAATAAAAGTTCAGAATAATATTCTTGTATGAAGATGAATCAGAATTGATGTATGAAATATACAGTTTTAATTTAAATGTTTTATGGGTTTTAATATGCACTTTTTTTCTATATACATGCATGTTAGATTAATTAAAAATGGTTTACTGAATCAATAGCATGCATGCATGGACATCATCCACCTAAACATTACATTACCTTATCCATTGTCGCAGAGGAAGAATTAATGAAACAACCAAATGATGCCTGAAACGCCAATGAATACATAGTCCCTCCTAAATGAAGAGTGGTTAGAATGCTCTCGGTTACGTATGTTTTGGAGCGGGATGTGCCTCGTCACGTAATCAAGATCGAAAAACAGAAAAAGCTGTAATTGGCAAATTCTGTTTAATTTGCATGTATGCGTTCCCAAAGAATAGACCTTTTGCGTTATAGACTATCTTTTTATTTATGAATTACCACATTTGGTTGCGAAATGTTGAAAAATGCGGAAATATAACCTTGCAAAGTTTACAAATTTGAATACTTTTTTACGAGAAACGGAAATTGTTTTATTTTGCCTGAATGTGGTAAAAATCTCCGTGCGTGGAAGAAAGTATACAAATTTTCAAACTTTGCAAGGCTATATTTTCCGCATTTTACATTATAACCACATTTTGCATTTCGACTAATTTTAGCACGCTCTTTTCAGCAGGGGTAATTTGGTTGAATTTTCATGCATATATAAGATAAAAAATTAGTCTATGATGCGCGGAAGGTTTATTGGTAACCCGTCGATAGTGTTGGCGAACATATTCTTAAATCGCTCGTTCCTGTGTTTGGTCCTAATTTGTGTAGAATGCCTTATTCGTGAGTGCTTCGCCTTCGGATTCCATGAATTCTTCCAGCCCCGGCAGTCCGGGATCATGCTTCGGGCTAGAGAACGTCTCGACGATGAAATAATGCTCAAGGTAGCGACCTTTTTGACTTTTGAACTTGTATTAACAGCAACGTTATTGTTAATTCAGTGAACAGCAAAACATTAGCAAATACAATGTGACGCATAAGACGCCATGAAAATGGCGTAATCACAACCCAGTGAACCCCACTAAATACTGCATGTATACCGTCGAGTTGACTGTCACCATAGACAATCCAGAAGACATTTGCCTTCTAGATTGTCTATGCTGTCACAATCATAGATGCACACATCGCGCCATTTTCGCTGTATATTTATCTATTCAATGATCTAAGTGACACACTTAGATCATTAAATGATAAATCTAGCTTACCACCAGGATTTAAGCTCCGAATCCAATCTTTAAGAACTTGTAGGTTTGAAGCAGTTGCTTTGGCAAAAGAGCGTCCAAAACATCCAGGAGGGAACTGAACTGAATTTGAAAATGCTATTGTAGTTACCTGTGAAAAATTAGTTTAGTAAGTCATTTCGTTGTCGAACCAAGTTAGTACACGATATATTCCCTTATTACATAAGATCATGTTTATATCACTGCCATGCAGTCTCCTTCGCCACCGCTGCTTTAAACAGAAAGAACGAAGGAGACTAGATTCAGATAAACGTAATCCTCATATAGAAACAAGACTTATTGAATGCGTTCATGCACCAATGCTTGAGTAGCCAATCAGAATGTAGGCCGTAGAACTGGCAAACTAAATTACTATTAAAATCGTAGCCCTGGATCAGTGCACTTTCCGTACTCACATAATCATCTGGTGTCAGAGTATCCAAAACAGTCAGGGCTGCATCTTTAGCAAGGCTCATTCGCTGCTCTCTTCCCATTGATCCACTTCGGTCAATTATAATAACAAGTTTTTTTCTTGCAGACATTGCCGCATTCACATACCAGGAACTAAGACATTACAAAAAATATCATGGCCAGAAATTGCGGACATGGAATATGTAGATTGCCGTAGCAAATTTGCATATCTGCTCAAATATTATTCGTTTGCAGAACTATAAATTATATTGCGCATTCTTAAATTTCGCAAAATTTAAGAAAATCATTGCATCTTTGCAATTTGCCCTGGTTGTTTCTTGTAATTCGTGTCATATTACCGATCCTAAGGTAATATTTTGCTGGTAAAGGTTTATGTCGGCTCTGCATTTTAATTTTATTTCTACGCTATTACGGTTTTCGTTGTATAATTTATGGTATTCAACGTGATAAATGACCAAAACTTTGTTTTGAAAATGCAGGACGAATACTGATAAAACATTTTGAAATACTATGTAAAAATATTAAGATTAACTTGCTCTGCAACGAGCAATTAAGGCAAATTATAATCGACCTACCTACAGGTGTATTTTTAGCGTTTAGTACTGTGCACATTTCAGTTTACTATAAACTCACGAAGCTTTATTTTGACACCATATATGCAAATTTAGGCGGAAGTAGAATGTTAATTACGTCCGAATTTTCTGGCCATGTGTTGCTAAACCTAGAGAAAAGTTATGGGATCATGGCATCTCGGAAAGAGGGAGAAGCCAAAGGAGAAAATATTCCCCAGGCCACACAAACTAAAGAAAGTATCAGAATATTGAAGGTATTGGTATGATATTATGATATACATAAAAGGGTGGTAAACATTTCCCATTGAGAAAGGGCCCACCTTTCTTCTTCTACCTAACAGCCGTATATAACGATATTACATGAACGGCGTAAGAACCAACAGGAAGAGAGTTTACTGATATAAGATTCAATATGGTTTTTACAGTTATACTGATATAATCAGTCAAAGTTTACAGAAACAGAATAATGTCGTAGGCACTACCGGCCACCCCATGCAGGCAGTGAGATTATACGCCTGCCCTAAGCATGTAGGTAAAAGAGTTGTTATATTCTCATTTCGTAACCAAAAGAAACGATGCGAAGGCGATAGTATCAACTGATGCACTATCCTACTAATGTTTTTCGTTTTCAATGCACATTTTTTTCTCGTCAAAATAATATTCTTAATTGCCTATCATTTTACTATTGATTGGATGCGTGCACAGTATCACTTTTAATTGTTTACATTTCATCGGTGTAATGGAAAAACAATACGGTCTCTAACAAACAATATTTGGAATTTTTTTAAATCAAAGCAACTGCAAATGTAAACAGGCCGGATTTCGTCCGGTTAGTTCAGCAAATTTCCGTATTATCCTACGGGAACATGATAATAAAATTGCGCAAATACGCACTCCTCTCTAAGTCTATCCTGGTGAATACGCGCAATGAGACACTATAATTTAAAAATCAAATCTAAAATGGAATCATTTTTGAAGCTTTGCCAGAAATTTCGGACAAGACAGTGACACGCGACAGAGACCCAATATAAACTGAAGTTCAAATCAAACGATGATTCATTTTGTCGTTGCTACACTAGATCTATGACTTCAGCACAGACTAGGCAACAATGATGACTAAAAATTAATTTAGGGACAATTTTACAGGCGACACAAAATGCCAGACTCGCAAGCGATGCATCGATCAGTCTGCATGCAATTTGTGCTAAATAATGCCTAAAGACAAATGTCTTGCTATGCCGTTGTGGGACAAGTTACACTAGGCGTTGCACGAATTAAAAGCCAGTTATACTTTGTGCAATGCTTGTTTAACTTGCCTCGCCAAATTGCAATCAGGCTTGCTAAACGACGAGGTAACTTGTGCAACTGACATTTAACAATTATTCGTATTTGAAGCTTAAATGATAATGGTGTGCCAATGTCGCAGTATAGATAACAAGTTCGAGTAGAGATTGACAAATTCCAGTTAAATTGGTGTGAATTACCTTAATTGCGGGTCGAATATTTCATTTTCAAGACAATGTTGTTGAGAACTGGGATATTGATGATAAGATCCGTTACTAGAGCCAAAATACTGCCATTTGATTGTCTTTGAAGATAAAATGTTTGTTTTGTAATTTTTTTCTAAACTTGATGTAAAATATGAGTTTGCTCCATTTGTAATAACGCAAGATGAATTTCTATCAACGCTGCTTCTAAACCTTGCATCATATCTCAAATTGCTTCTTGAACCACAGCACGGCTGAGCACTTGTATATGATCGATGTTTCTGATGCAATTCAGATTCTAAAAACATCTTATTTGAAATCAATGTTTTTAAAACCTCTTGCAACTTTCCATCTACAGCAATAGAAATATTATCCAGGAGTTCGGTGGCTTGTAAAGAAGTTGTCTTAAATAAAGCTTCATCGATCAGCTTGTGGAACTTTCTTAGACCAAAGTTTTTCTCCAAAATTGTTTCTAATTTTATTGAAAGTTGCTCTGCCCAACCTTCAATTCTTTCAATATTTTGACGAATGTTAGCTTCTGAGGTCGCAGACATCAGTAGACATAGAAAAAGTGTTGTAACCACCAAGATTGTCGCCATGATGGTAAATGTCAGAAACTTATACACTCGTCCGGTACAATAAATTAATTCCTGTCGTGCCTCAGCAGATTATCCCAACACTAGCACGACGTATGTTGTCGAAGTATTAGCTCATGTTACCATATATAACCTTATTTGTTTAAAATAATTGGATCCGGAAGATACGATTACACCTTGACATAACAAAGACAGAAGTCAACTAATCGGCAGGCAGGGGGAGTTAATTGGCTGAACGCGGTATCCTCGTGCCCAGGGTATTTTCCTCACCACAGACACGGCGGCCGTTCGCGGGAAAGGTTACAATTGGTTAACACGCAGAAATTGGCGTTAATGAAGTTTCAAACCGAAAATCTAATCACTGGTTTACAATTGTGCATTACTGTATTGCTATCAAAAAGAACTTTTTTCCTGGTTACACATATTCTACAATCTTTTGACAGCTCATCATACACATCTGACAGCTAGCAGCTTCGAAATGCCCACTTTGGGGCTTAAAGTATACAAAAGGTTATTAATTCAGACGATTCGTTTCTGCCGTGTGCACGCTTCAAATCTTTTCTGAGAGACATATTTTGTTGAGTATTGATAATTCTTTTCTCACTAAGTTTGAAGCCTAAATATTGAGAAGTCTTACAAATTTCCGCGATGTCTATATTCTAATTGGTTCCTGCTGCATGCGTCCCGATGTTGTTGAGAGAAAAAAAACACATACGTGATATGTTTTTATCAAACCATTAAAATGGTTAACGATTCTGGAATTAGATTTGTGATCCAAGGCAGCATATATATCGGATGCATTTTCCAAACATAAAACTGCATTTGTTTCTCAATAATAGAATAAATTATGGTTGTATGTCTGCAATGAATACGCCTGATTCTGGCTGTGTTTTCAACAGTCACATTTATTTAGAAAGCAAATGATTACATGCAGTTACAACTTCAATTACTATGAAATATTTAGTTTCAAAGTTCTGTCAGTACAAAATTCATTACACGGCTGGACCAATTCCTCCTCCTGACACAGGAACTATACCACCATTACCACCAGAAGAATTAGACTCGCAGATCACAGATATATATGGATGTTGAAATGAATATGCAGATTTACTATAAAAACGGAAATCTCTACCTTGACGGACTTCGTTTGTCGCTCGGATTAGAAGACCAAAGTTTGATTGACCATTTTTCCAATTTCGAACAGCACTTGTGACGTCGATAGGATAAAAACCAGGATGGTTTACTCCAGGGGTGATGGTAACACCAGAACTTGTTGGATAAAAAAATGCATCAGTCCCGAGATTTAACCATTGTTTATCCCAATAGTGATTTCCATAACGCTTTGTGCTGGTTGCTTGAGATTCACTCCAATATTTTACCACTTGATGGGCTACAATTTGACGTGGGAAACTAGGTACCTGAGCGTTGGACATGAAGCTTGCTTTGTGGGCGTATGCATAGTAAAGAAAAAGATAAGCCCTCTTCACATGGTCACAGCCATGGACCTGCAGGGGATGGAATTGGACGAGACTGCGTTTCAGGGGGTAATTAGGATGAGTTCCAACAATGAGGTACTTCAGGTAATCAAAATTCACGTTGCCTCTTTCCAAAGTAACGTCTTGAACAACTCGAAGTCTAGTGCTGAATTCCCTTCCTGCCACAATTTCACAAGCGGCCAGAGCGAATATTATGGTCACTATTGATGTCATCTCTCAAAACGATCGACCTACAAATTATTTTCAAATATATAGTAAAGGATCTGAAGTGATTTTGTATTTTTTTTCCTTTTTGTGCCTATTTCGCGGAAAGGTCAGTACCCTAATTTTGTTTGTAAATATTTAATCGTGTATTTATGAAAGGGTACAATAAATTGTTCTCGTTGTTTATCAGTTTTGGGAAAAGCAAAATGGATAGAAGTATCATAATCGATAAACTACATTCAACTACTCTGGAAACTATTGAAACTATACCTAAAAAGAAATGTCAATTTATTAGTATACTTACAAATTGTAGGACTATTTTATTCTTTTATCTTTTTACTTGATCCGATATGTTTTCCAAAGTGCCTTTGACTTTTTGCCTGATACTAAGATATGGAGCATGATCCCAGCCTTATATATCCATTTTCCGCGGATGTTAATTTCCACAGACTCGTAAAGATAATGACGTCACATCGCGTGATCATCCCAACTGGAAGTTTCACTTCTTCTTATTTTGGCCGCAAATGACGTAAATCCGGTCTTTGATTTGGTAGCCTGGACGCTAATGAGATTGGGTACGGGTACAGATTTTAGCCGTGCCGTGCCAATAAATTGGGTGTAAATGGGCTAAAAGATGCATGTCAATCTCGGAAGAGGGTTGTTGAAGTTACGTATGTTGTTTTCAGGGGATATCCGATTTTGAATACTAACAACAAGTGATCGGATCCCCCAGTGCCTGACGTCAAGGAAGAGCTGAAAGAAAGACGTGCAACAAAGACGACAAATACAAACCCTGGTTGAAATATACTGGATGAAAAATATTGAATAGTTGCTGTAAAAACGGGATAATGTAAATTTTGCTGTGTAAATTGAACATTGACGTTTAGCCCGCGGCTTTTGTTTAGGCCTTCTTAAAACTAAATCTATCCTTAATTTCCACACTTGTCCGCTAAAATAAGCTACATGCTCAAGACAAAACATATTTATTCTTGCTGACAACTCTATTGTTATAACACGTAGGGTGTCCCAAAAAACCCCAAAACTATTGAAATCACCCAAAACAATGTAATATAGTTAGAGTTTGAATGCCTAAGCACCCTGTTGGGACCCACAAGTGTATAAATGTTTGACATAAGCATTTTTATGCATGATGACAGTAAAGTTTGTTTGTATCCACAAATGATTTCTATTACCAATAAAAAAGGCGAATTATGGATTGCAAAATTTAAATTTACAACTCAAGCACCATCACCTTTGCCAAGTCCCCTCTTGTCTAGAAAATTTTAAATTTTTGTTTTTAGCATTTTATAAGTTGCGTTATTCTATATTCAAATTTTAAAAACTAACTAGAGGTGATTCAATAGTTTTGGGGGGCACCCTGCATGTATAGCGTCATTCCCGTCTGCCTTCTGGTATTGATAAAAAAGGAAGAGTGTTTACTAGCTCTTGTCAGTTTGCATAATATATGAAATGCCATAAAAAAAGAAATCGCCAGAAAGGGCAATGAAAAATTTGTTGAATATTGCTGTAGTGATAAAACTTTGATTGCCCCTACCATATTGTCCTACCTCGTTACCTAGGACTAGTCTAAGTATGGAATGGCGTAATCCCAATATCATTGTCATGGGTTCTATGATATTCATCCGTTGTTGAGTTTTGCTGGGATGGTCTTTATTCTTTGAGGCCCATGCACTGGCGTTATCATATATAAGAGGGTGCAATATAGGGAGCATAAAGAAAGAATACAAGTTAAATGACAGCTTTGTGATGAATGCTGACTTTAACTTCCCCTCGTCAAATATATTTGTAGTCGTGAAAATTAAATTCTGACTACGCATAAATGCATGATAGAAATAATAGACATTTTATTGTGTTTTTTACAAAGCTAGACAACAAAATCCTACCAAATTTACATCCAAATTTCTGTATAATCGGCGTTTTTGAAAAATAAAGCCTTATCGCAAAGGATGGTGTGGGGATTCCCTGTCTTACTTCTCTGCAGATTCTATAACTGCATGTTAAATGACACACATTGTTTATTTTATATTTTGACATAGGTAATTGGAACCATATTGTAGTTCTTATATAGTTATAGGTTAATTTGTAACAATTGTCTGAATTAAACCAACTAGAGAAAAAGGTTAGGACGTTATGTTATTGTGGGCAAAAGGGGAACATAATGAGTAATTTGTTGAATAGTTAATTGCGAATTAAGGGGCGCAGAAACAGAAATAAAAATAACCAGATGGGGTAGTTGGGAATTTGTCGGACAACGCCATGTGGTGTGTTTGAAATAAATTTTTTTGTAAAAAGGTTTTGTTTGTGTATGATGGAGTTCTTCAAGAAACTATGTAGTTACGTGTGTAGTAATAGATTATGTAGTGTTGTTGGTGGTGTTCAAATCAAAGTTATGTAAGGAGGTAGGTAAAAAAGTAAAACACAGGACAAGATAGTCAAGAGGGCGAATCAGTATCCCCGTACGTACGCGGCGTTTCATCCTTTTGCGGACTCGTCAGCAAGGAGCAGGGTTGGCTTTGTGTAAAAGAACCATGAAGATAAGAAGTTCATGAAGATAAGACAGTTCTGACCATGCAATGTAAGCGAATTTTAAAATGCATGCCTAATACTAGTAAAAGTATATTCTGAATAGCAAGTACCGTATTAATAATGCTAGTGTTACACTACTTTTGGATTCAAGAATGAAAGGGTTAAAATAAATAGAAAATAAAAAAAAGCATTTTATTATATACATACTCACTCTTGTAGCTTTTATTTCGTTAATTAAATAAAAAATCTCTCGCAAAAAGTGAACTACTAAAGTCTAAAGGTTACTGAATTTTCGTGAGAGGACTGTATAGTGAAGTTTTCCTGCAAAAAATTACTTAGGCTTTCCGGCGTAGTTATTTAGATTAGCAGCTGCAAGTGAAGGAGTGACGTACATGAACAAAGATTCGTTCTTCCCGCAGGCTCCCTGGAACAACTTACTAAGTACATTATGATGTCATACGCAGGAAATTAACCTGCATGCATGATTGGTTGCGCAGGATAATAGCAGGGCAGGGGAAATAAACTATATAAGTTGAACTTGAACCCTTCGTGTCTGTCATCTGTTCAAGCCACAAGTTGGATTGATGTTCTAAAACAACCTACAGTTCTATTTGGACATATCGTTCTGTTCTATTGACAAGTCACAAAAAGTTCCTGTGAATAAAATAGTGTAAGGGAAAAATGTACTCTAAATATTGACCCGTTCGAGGTGGTTACCCAAAGCATGTGCATGCCAGTTCAGATATGAAATTTACTAATTAATTTACATATAAAAATCACTAAGATTGTTATAGTTCGTGCATGTACTGCATGCATGTATATTGGTAGTATAGAGTGCAACTGTACTTCTCTTAATGATATATATTTTAATGGTATATATCTGTATTTATTTACTGTAGATACTCCGATATGACCTCAGTTCAGATTATCGTGTTATTTATCTTCTGTGCAACATTGGCGTCATGTACACGTCTACAGCTCACCCAAGATGTAACCGTAACTGACGATGATAGAAATAACAACCATATTCCTTATCTAATAGTCGGTCTTCATCCTGGGTTTGCAAATAAACGTAGCTTGCTCCAGTTTACCAACCCACCTAGCAACTGCCAAGTTAGCTCAGCAAAACTCTACATCTACCTTGTCTACACCCACAGAGGAAGCGCATTCACCTGGAGACAAGCTCCCCTATTTCCTCGCACAATTATAGCCCACCGTGTGTTAAAACCATGGAAAGAATCCGAGGCGACGGCCTTTAAAGCGCGCTCCGACCTAAATTGGAGTCATCGTTTCCTAGGCTTAGGCCCAGATGTTTTATCTAGCCCCACAAGTACTGGAGTTGTCGTGTACCCTCCGTTTCAGAAAGGACAGAAATGGTATAGTATAGACGTCACAAGTGCAGTACGAGATTGGAAAAACGGGCAGCCTAACTATGGACTTTTAATTCGAGCACTTCACGAGGACAGACCAGGGCATGATTTTCGTTTTGCTCGAGACAATGCATTCATCCAGGTTTCATGTGCTGGCAGGTCATCTAACCCGGGTGGGAAGATTTCTCCGCCTTTGGGTAATGGAAGAGTTGGGCCTGACGGAGAAATTCAGGCTATTTAAATCATATAGCTAATTGTTATAAACGCACTGCATGCATAATCAATCTTCATGGGAACATACGAACTTCAATATATGTAATGTATAATGCAACTTCCAGGCTTGCAGTTATTATTGAATAAATTTAAGTTTGTTAATGTGGTCTATTACAAAGCATTGATTTTTGACGCATCTAGTGTTGTGAAACTATAAATATGGTAACAAGGTTACCCAGTTGAAATTCAATCTAATTATTCCCCGGATCAATCCACCACTGTCCACTCTGTCAAACGTTTTATCCACGTCAAAAATATTGGCATGCATACAGTGGTAAAATTCAATTGAGTGCATGCATGGCAACGGAAAACGACAATACAACGAGGGGGTTAGGAGGCTCTACTTGTACATGTATATATATTCGTGCCATTTAAAGTATTCTCTACTGAGCCTAATTTCCTCTTTTAAGTTTACTCCACGCAAACAGCTTTCAAATAAAAACCCCATCGAAGTATAATTCTAAAGCTTAATTTTCTTTTTCATGCCAAAACGGTTTCAAACACCATCAATTTACAATAGAAGTTGAAGCTAATTTAACATATTGAGCATATTTCCCCTTGGATGGAGCGGACAAACGATAAACTACTTTGAAAAACAAAAGACAGAAAAATCAAACGGACGGACGCGAGTTTCAGCTGTGCTATTATTGCCGCGCGTAGTCATGCATGCATTATGAAAAAGTTCAGACAATTAAGCAACAATTAAGTTAACAACGTCGGATCAAAGTATCGACAAGAAATGATTAAGAATAATAGCAGCTAGTTGCCGAAAGCTGTTCTTTAATTCCCTCGTTTTTTATAAAGTCCTCAAAAGTCCTCAAATGCTTTGACATTCTCGCATTCATAGCATGCAAGCGCTTGTCTTATCTGTTTGATTTAAATACCAAATTGTTGAAAATATCCTTAATGATAGCAGGTAAAATTTTTTTAAGGCGCCCATGGGCCATGCAGACATTTCTGCAGCTGCTGTGCTAACAGAATCAGGCATTATTTCGCCTTGAAATAAGCCAAATTGCCCATATGACCCATTTCAAATCACATGGTCTGAAATGGTTAAGTTTTATTGACTATATTCCATGCATTCCATATGTCACAACATCTGAAATGGGTTAAACTGCATGCAAGCTGAAATGGTCTATTCTTCTTTTTTCAGTTCAGTTATGATTCAACTGAGATGGTTGATAATCTTCTCAGTTTTATACATAACTCTCCTCCTCTCGCGCACGATTTCCTTTCCAATAATCTGAACTACCACCGTCAGATATTAGTTTACGACTCAATTTACGTCCGGTTACCCTGGAAACTAAATGATTCAAAAAACTTCGATAACCTTTTCTAAATTGTTTGTCTCCCACACCATATATAAAAGGGTTTACTGTACAACTTCCAATATATGAAAATACCACAAACAATTTACTAAGTTTGGATAGTTTTTCTTCATCCATTCCCTGAAAGTCAGCTATGATCCATAGTAATTGATAAGGCAACATAAATACTGAAAACACTATCACGACCGTAATGATAGTTTTCAAAGCTTTCCTATTGCGTTGATCACGTTCTACTTCACACCGAGTTTTCGTTCTCCCACCTGAGTATAGCGATATTCTCCTGCGTGGACCATTTCTCGAGAGATTTACACGTTGCGTCTTTCTCGTGAGATGCCGTGCGATGCTCGTGTAGACGACAGTCATTATAACTAGCGGCACAGTGTATTGAATTAAGAAAAGAAAAACTGTGTATAATTGTCTGTAGCGAAACTTTGACCAACTCTCAAAACACTCGTCCCCTTCAAGTTTCAAATTTAACGAATAAGGAACAACTGAAGCAATTGAAAACACATAAACAAATGCAATAAGTTTTTTTGCTTGGCTACGACGTAGCTTAGCTTTGAATGTTTGCACGAACACTCGATATCGGTCAAGAGAGATAACGGTCAAAATAAGAGCTCCGGATATATAAAACACAGTACTTATTGGATATAATAATCTACACATGAAGTTACCAAATAACCATTGACTGCCGTTCACAAGGGTATGTATATCGAACGGAATATTGACCACCACTAAACTGATATCCGAGACAGCAAGATGAAGAAGCAGAAAATTGCAAGTAGTTTGAAGTTTTTTCTCATGAATGATCGTAAAAATTACCAGGAAATTTCCCAAAACACTTACTGCCAATATAATAACGTCAAAAACAATGTTAGCGATCACAAGTTCCTTGCTCATCCAGTCTTCAGACGTTGTTGAATTGTTACTTGAATTCATATTTATCAATGCTTCAACCAATTTTACTGTAACCAATATTGAAGAAATTTTAACGAAGATCTATAACAGCGCGAAATTATCTCGAGCCAAAAACAAAATATTTCGCCGGGTTGGCTCAGTGAAACAACCGTATGCTGACGAAAGCCTGGAACACTTCAAGTTTTATAAGTGCATATGTATATCTATGGCTTCGCAAACCAATTTACACACTTTGTCAACCGCCCTTTACTATATTTTCAGTATCTGACGTTTTATTCTTTTATAAGCGTATATGCCTTATGTAAACATGCGTGCAAATTGTCATGAATAAATAACTAGGTTAATCATAATGCAAGGAAGAGTGGAAGATTATAAGGAAATAAAAAATACATGTTCTCAGGATAGATTATCTTAATTTTTGTCAAAACAATTACACATGCGGGACCTCAAGAAGTGGACGATATACTTTCAAAACCGTAGAAATAAAAAAATGTTTTTCTGAAACTTTCACTCCTTCATTTTAGAAGTACTTTGAATATTTTTATCGTCTGCATGGCGATAGAGGATAAATATTTGAGTTTAAGTGGACAACAACATGTTGTCACTCATGTTGTCATAAAATAATTTTGCGAGGCATTGTCTTTCAAATGAAGACATTGTATAGTACATTAACCCTGCAAAAGTCTAGAAATTATACTTGGAAATTGTAAATGAAGACACACGGAATATCTCTTGCCGGGCGGTTTCAAATTTTTCCAGATATGAGCATTCCACTATATATAGAGCATATGCAGGAAGCAGCTGTGGGAATATGTGCAGAAAACACAGAAACAAAACATCAAAACAACACAAAATTAAGGCTCACTTTTCAAATAACACAAAATAATTTATGACACATTTTAGTCGACAGAATATACTAGATAACTATACACAATTCTTGCACCTATAACTAACACTGCACAGAACTCATGTTTATAAGAAATGTGATTGTATTTTATATATATGTATAGACTATAGACTGAAAAATCAACATCGTTTCGCAACATTTTAAAACTTATCATTTAAGCAGATCTTGATACACGTATTTCAGTATATAGACTGTAGATTATTGATATTGCAGCTGTAGAAAATCGAAGAAAACAAAATCAACTTCAATAATATGTTTGCATACTTTATATTTTTATGAGTCTAAGGCAGAAATATTATATGTCTTCATCTACAAGCAATCTCCACAAATTTTAAACTCAAAAATACTTCAAAAACTTTGAGTAGGATCGATGTCAAGTTTTTATCCATTTATACGAACAATCAAATGTTGTTAGCTACATAACTATCAGTCGCTTACTAACGTGCAGAAAAAATATACGAATAATTCGCTAGATCCATTCAAAGTTTGTTGGCATTGAACACACTACGCGCTACAGAGTGCTTTTTACATTTATGGCAGGCATTTATATCGCAGATGAAAGACTTGAATTAAGAAAGCAAGCTATTTTGCTATTATCAATAACACAACCAAGTATAAATTTCTAGGACAGAAAATTAATCAATTTTTTAAAGACGTTTGGACGACCACGAAAATCACAGGAACTAAAATGAGTCGGAGTAGATAAAATGGTCCGTTGCAAGTTCGTATTCAACGCAGATTTGCATGCATTTGCTATTGTAGAATAACCTGATGTCCTTAAATTAATTCACGGCAGTAACATCAAAAGATTTGACTTAGTTTCCGACATTGAATGTATATAGATATCTTCAATAAAAAACAGCGGAAAAGCAATTTCCCTGATTTTACATCCGCCGACTTGAAAACGCACCAAAGACAAAAATAGAATGAAGCGTAAAAACGACGTCTTTGTAGAAACTTTTAACATTTTGTTAGCCTTTCACATAGCGACAATACTAAAACCATGTTAGAACTATAACCACACCATTTGAATTAGCTAACATTCTGATATCACTTTAACAAAAAGAGGTCAACCGTCAAAACACTACAAGTTATGGCAGGTTGAAAATCTTGATTCGTATCATATTTCAAAAAATACGAACTGTTTTTGAAGAGGACTAGATTCTAAGTAGGTTTCTTAACATCAATCAATAATGAGACGGTCTATCGAATATCACTCACTGAAAAGAAACAGCACTGCATATGCAACAGCTCCAGAACTGTCATGGCAGACGGAAACTTTAAAGCAATAAAAATAGCTGCGGAGGCATATTGACTGGATATTCATTAGTCTGTGTTCAACATAAAATAAAAGCGTCTGACGTGCATGGCAACATAAACGATAAAACGTGCAGTGCATATATTTGCCCGCAAGAAAATAGCAGTTAAACCAAAAGTAACGAACTTGAACAAAGTGATTATCTAGTAGACAGTGCGTCAGAAGAAATCTTTCTTACTGCAGGGAAACTTTACTGAATAAAGTAGAATAATTTCCGAACTAAACAAAGTGAAGCCTGCATGCATTTGATGATGCGATTACTAAAACAATATAGCGTGAATTTTATGGCGACAAATCGATTACATATTGCATGCGATCTTCTGTGATAGGCTATTATACTCAAAAAGGTCATTAATCAACTTTTGAACATCTTTGATTAAAGTAATTATTGGACAGAAGAGAAAAGAATTTCATATTCAGAAAAACTTTAGAAAAATAATTATGTTATCCAAGAGAATTTCGCGATACAATAAGAAAAGCAAACGATTGGCATCTCTATTTCGTTTGTGTACAGACTTTATAAAAGTGCGGTGAAAAACAATGTTTTCTACACATGTGACGTCACTAGTTCATCGCTGACTCGCGCAACACGAAATAACCAAATGAGAATAAGCCAAAGTTTCAATTAGCAGAAGTTTTTTCTACTTTTTCTGACACATGTCTATTCTTAAAGTACTAAGAAATGAATATATGAAACACATTGTTCGACATCCAAAATACATATTGATTGACTGACTTGTGTGTTTAGGACTGGTCGGAGTTTTGCTCCCACTTCATACATCTCTGGACAGCAAGTTTCCATTTTGAGTAATGCGCCTCTCGTTCTAAAAACAACAATACACTCGTTTACCTCAGCTTGAACTAAGATAAAGTGCACTATCCCCGCATATTTATTCAGCCATGTTTGTGAGGGGGCGTATCAAGAAGCTTAATAGCCCAGAAGTTTACCCGGGGTGAAATCCGTAAATTCCACACACAAATTTGTTAATCTAGCTTTTGTATGTCTTTCACTAGAGATGGTCGGTGCTAACGGTGAATTACAAGTAAACTTAGGTACAACCAGACGTAGGTACAGTATATCAACGCAAGATGATGCCTAAAAACGATGAGGCCTGATAGATACGTCAGTTTGGGAGATGAATGTTTACCCCAAAATAAGATTACTAAAGAATACGATTTGCGAATAATTTTTCTAAACAATTACTCACAAGCACTCAGAAAATTACATGCCGGATTTCGAAGCCCCAATATGTTATTTTTGGGTAAATACTAAGCTTAAGAACATCCCTCGTAACGTATTCCTTTGTATCAGAATATTGTTATATACGTTGTGTGCAGCCAAAAATGACCGATTTAAATACGGTATAAATGACAGAAAAATAAATATAAATTTACAACTTTACCGGACGATTTCAGATTGGTATAATAATGACCTGTTCACAAAATGCAAACTAGACCCATTTGATGCCCTCTGCTTATTCGCGAGAGCAACGAGAGTGCTGAAGCTACACTGAAAATTTAAATACATGTTTTCATACCACTTTCATCCACTTTTGGTTGAAATATTGTTACATCACTACTTTCTTTCTTTGTCTTGATATCCCATAATGCAATTCCTTCTGCAGAACCAGCTGCAACAGCAGCACCCAACGCTGTTGTTTCTGTCATTGATGGACGCACTATGGCAAACATATTTCACTATTACCTTACGTCATGCAATTTTACCAATTTAATTTTACCTGTTGACAAGCAAGATTACTATAACTTGACTGATAGTCAATAGTTGTGAACCAGAAAAGTGACAGTGAAAAAATATCGTTGAGAATGAATAAAATTTGGATGTGAAGTGTCCAACAGTTTATCTGCAATTTCGGGTTGAAAAATATGCAGGTCATGCGGCAGAACGCAACAATTGAATAATATTTACTCACTGATTAGTTTCAGCGAGATAGTTTCTTGTCAAAACACTGTTCAGACAGACTTCTTATCTAACATTTCGTACTTTTTCCAGTATATACATTGATTGTATTGCAGTATATTGATTGTAAAGCAGTATGAAATCACTGAACTGTAACCTCTCTCAAGCAGTCAGCGTTCAGCAATTTTATCATGGTATTTTTATCATCTTAACTTAATTCTAGATCATGTATCAATACTGTCACTTTCTTGTTTTTCAACTTTAACTATTACCGAATTTTAAACAATTTGAAATAATAGGACCTTACCTACTGGTATTCCCAATAAGTCTGCTTGAATCTGCATAAGTAATGAGTTGGCTGTCATACCACCGTCCACTTTAAGCGAGGTCAGAGGAATGCCAGAATCCTGATTCATAGCATCCAAAAGCTGCAAAAGAAGAAATATTTATCGCGAGTTGAAAATGATGGACGGACTGTAAATAAATAGAATTTTTTTCGCGATACCAGATAAAGTTAAGCACGAATGCAGAAATCGCAACAATATGGAAACTGGGCAAAGACAATTTACTTTCTCAATTAATAGCCTTAAAGTGGAAGTCAAGTCCCTTCTGCGCATAGGTTCTGCTCATAACAAGTGAGGGCTCTCTGATGTGAAAATTGACTAAATTTCGCATGTGTCTTATTTTTTCTTAACATAAACTAGTTCTAGTTCATACTAATTAGAAGCGTAGCGAACCTAAATAGTGTTAGATATTCAGACAGCACATCGTATTTTAAAAAATAGTGAAGTTCAAAATGTTAACAAACCGTTTGTTTACATAGGGACTTGACTTCCACTTTAAATCAATATTTCAGTGATGAATTTTGCGACAAAGTATTTTCCTGATTGGACAACTGTGTGCATTGACCAATCAAACGTGCTTAGTCATTAAACTACTTCATAACGCAGACTTTATGTACATGCAGGTCTACATTGAAAAGTCAGAATAAAAACAGAACTGACCTCGCGGGTTTGAAACGAGACTGCTTCCAGTGTTGCACGTGCAATATGAGCTTTGTTTGTGAACTGGGTCAGACCAATTATTATCCTGGATAAAATAGTTAACTTGTCTTTGAATAATTGTATTTAGTTCAAAATAACAATGGCTGCCAGATAAAGATATAGAATGAAAGAAAACAATTATATATAACCAACAAACTTACCCCCTCGCATCCGTTTGCCAATAAGGAGCATAAAGACCAGAGAAAGCTGGTACAAAATATGCACCGCCACTATTAGGTACGGATGTTGCTAAAGCCTCTGAAAATGTGAAAAGTAAAGATTGAAGTGGGGGCAGTTAACTGGGGTAGTTAAAGCAGTTTTTTACAAGAAGGGGTTTTAAGCAAAAAGAAAGCCGTTTATTGACAACAATTGCTTTCTAATCATGATTAGTTTCAGTTATCATGCGGTTACGTCATGTTATTCTTATAAACGAGGATAATCATATACAACGAGACACATAAATTTGATACGTATGGTCCATGTGACCACTGTAGATTAGGGTTTTTTGAGAACGAAGCTAGGCATACCTATATCCGACGATTTTTCAATCAGCCCCAATCCATCTCTCAACCACTTGACCGCATCACCAGCAACAGCAACAGAGCCCTAATGCACAGTACATCTCCCATTAGAATATGAAGCAGGAAACGTAGAAACAATAAAGTCCAGTCACTCGATTTCTACACTGGTTATGCACAATATAAGCTCACCTCTAAAGCATAAACAGTCGGACTATTTGGACCAAATTTATAGCCAACAGTTGTAAGCAATCCGTGATGGGACGTAATCGACTAAATTTTAAAAACCCATAAAATTAATACCGTAAAAAGGTTTAAAAGATAATTAAAAATCAATACCAAAATACGTTTATATTTATAAACATTAGAAATAAGTATAATTTGAAATTTATCTACCTCTACACCTGTATTGTAAAGGAGAAAACATCCTGTACCATACCTAAGTAAATAACATCGAAAATCATAGACACATGCAGATTGATTTTACAGGTAGTACGAGTTAAATATAAGTTATAACTATGTACATATGTAGAGAAAGATTAAGTTCCAAAAAAGGGTTTTCTCAACGCATCCAATCACACATCCAATAAATTTGTACAAGACTGGCCCTTAATAAGGAACTTTATGCAAACTTCAACCATTGTTTAATCAATCGTCGATCATATTATTATTCATGAAGTTATCTCGATTAAGTACAATGCAAAATATTACTAAACTCGAAAGAGGACAATGATTAACAGCGTTCTGGTGTGAATAGCCTAAGATTGAATGTCGAAGCATTCTTGAAGCATTCTCCCCAACTTGCTTCGGTCTATTTATATACCACTACTGTCTACAGCTAACAGCTTACTAACGCTTTGCTAATACTAACGTATTTTTCGCTTGTCCTTTTTCAAAGCAGGACTGTCCAACTAGCGCAGCCTGTTGATCACCAAGACACTGTAAATGCAACGTGAATATAAATTGCTCTGAGATTTGCTATAGAGAACATATACTGTACATATTGGAAATACAGTAATACAGACTGTAATAGATTAACGATCAGATTGTAATATCATAACATATTTGATACACTGTTAGTCCCGTTTCAGGCGCGATTATTTCTGTGATTTTGTGAGCGGTTTTCATCTTCTTATTGATGAGAAGAGCGGATGAGTTATGAGTGTTCATATAAGGACAGATTCATTGCAGGACATATTGAAAGTGTAAACGGGCCTGTATAAGGAAAAGAATTACTCACCCCTGACAGAGGTATGCCTTTAAAAGCACCGTCAGTCTTAAATAGAAAGTGATTTTAAAAATACCTTTGTGTATTTTTTCAGCAATAAATTACAAGCATGTAGGATGTATACACTAGCTGGGAAGGAGGTTGATAGAGAGAGTCGGTCGTGTTGATAAAACTAAAAAGAAACACGAGAACTTCCCGCGGCATGTAAAAATTTAAAAGCTATAAACACTTACAATATGAGCATAAATCTCAGAAGAACTTTTTATAGTTGGAAGTATTTTCATAGGAATATCAAAAAATCTAAAACAAAATGTCGTTGGTTGCCATTAGCTTGGAGAAGGGTAAAGGGGTTATCACTACGGAGCGCGGGGCACGGAGCACGGGGCACAGGGCAAGGGGAGCGGGCACTATTACTTATGTTACTCAGGATTTTGAATAACTCACAAGTCAAAAATTAAGAGACTACGATTCACAAAATGTTATCACAGATTATACCCAGCTTACTTGCACAACGTTTCATCCCAATTTGTCGTTTTAATATTCATTAACATTGTTCTACTAGCATTCGTGACGTCAGTGACATAAATTCCAGCATTCGTACCCCCAGTCAAATTCTGAAAACAAATAGAAGAAACGAAGATGCACCTTAATGTCACTCTACATTAGCTCAAGCAGTATACTGGCCAAAAGGATCGTGAACATCAAGTCTCTGTGTATTGTATTGCACAGGTATAATTCCAATCAATATGATACTACCGAATGATTATCATCAGGTGATAAAATTAGAGAGGATACGTCACAGTTGACGTACAACACGTGCACTATAGGACCTCCTAGCCCCAGAGTCACGCACTTACATAACTATATCCAGCAAATAAAGCCCTGTTTATACTACACCCAATTTAATGGCACAGCCGGCACGGCTAAAATCGGTACCGGTGCCCAATTTTATCGGTGTTCAGGCTACCAAAACAAAGGCCGAGCAGGGATAAAGTAGGCACGGGTACTCATTTTAGCCGTGCCGTGCCAATAAATTGGGTGTAGTGTAAACGGGGCTGTTAAACACTTATTTAATGTTAAACACTTTTTTGACACTAACATAAATAAGCCAGGTATCCACAGTTCCAACCATCAAGCGATCCTCTTTTACAGCATTTTTTACAGCTTCAATATTATCAAGTAACCATCTAATCTTCACAGCACTAAAATATGTGCTTAGTGGAAGACCACATAATTTCTATATAATCAAAAGAAGCAAACGTTAACTGTTGTCAATATATGTATATCAAAAGTAATGAATATCAAAAGTATGTTACGCATTAAAGTATCTTAATATGATAATATCAAAATAAGTTACGCGTATGTCAGATGATTACTAGAGAACATACTGTATAATTATTAGTGTGTCTTAGCCGTTCAACTCTGCCATTTTATTTATATTTCAATTTTAGAATTGTGCATTTGGTTAAAATTTATTTTAAAATAGTCTTTTTCGGCTAAATTTCTTTTTCAAGTCTACCTCTCTATCTTTGTCCCCAAGTCCCGCTAATTTCCCGCTCGAATCAAAGCGGGTTGATCATGTCTCCAGCAGATATTTAGATCACCTAAAATCACTACAATAAATAAACCTACCCGAATATCTTCTAGCTCACTTTCTGGCACCTTTGCCTTGAAATTATCAACGGTCGACTTTGTTCTTGCATCCAGCCAAACTAAAAATTACCACAAGCACGATAAAGACAAAAAATTGTGGGTGAGGCTTCTTTGTATCCCATTTAAGGCAAACGGTGAATAAGACGAACAAATCGATAGACTCTACACATTTATCAAACCACCAAGCTGACACAGTTCAACTTCAGTTGAACATTTTGCTATACTTTGCTACTAGCCTACTACATCTTGAAGACTATTGCCGAATCGCCCTCAGTCACACACAATATGTGCGAACAGAACTGTTTTGACAGAAAACCTAGCCCCTTTAACAGAAACTACAATTATATAACACTTGCATGAGAGTACCTATAGCATTATGTAACGGGACTCCAGTCTTTTTGTCCCAGGTAACGGTTGTTTCTCTTTGGTTTGTTATTCCTACAGCTGTAGGAAAGAGCACTTGATGATTACTCGGAGTGGATATAATTTTGAGCTTACTCTAGGAAAGGCATATATATAGTTGTTGGTGTGAAAGTGAATCAAACTAAATCATTAGATTTTAATCACCCTCGAAATGGACACTCTGGATGATGACTGGCCTATGAGAGTCCTTATTTGCTAGTGAATTTGGACTCTGTCTGAGGTTCCAGAGTGGTTGAAGAAAACTGAGAGATGTCACACAGTGCAAATTTTAGGGCAAGAAATAGTTTTTTTGACATGCAGACTAACAGTTGTCCAACATGTTGCCCACAAGTTGCAAAAATGATGTCTTGAGAGCATTATTTTCCTTCTGGAACATGACACAAAATCAGGGGGTTCCTGAGAAAATCAAATCAGATTACCAAGATTCCCCTGGGAGGAAACCCTTTAATTACAGAAATAAAGTGTTTTCCAGCAAGGTTGCAGGCAATTCCACTCTTCTTAGCCTATTAATTCAACTGCCTTGGTGATCTTTGCCTTCTTTACTACAATACCAATATACAATTTGCCTCGTTTGCTACGTACAATACCACTATTCGCATAAACATTTATTTGTTAATTTAGTAGATTTGATTTTGGTGAATCAATGGTTATTTTACAAGACAAATTGTTAAATAATCTTATTTAACCCCGGTTAATAATAAAAGAAAAGTATTTACCTTTTATATTTTTGATGTCAAGGTTAAGATTTTTTAATTTCTCAACAACTTTTTCCATACATTCTTTAACTGTAGATAAAATCTCACATGGATCTTGCTCGACCCATCTGAAAGTTTATTAAATATTAGAAAAATTTTACAACTCTGATAGGATTTACATACTAGCTGGCTGCAATACACACTGACTAAATTATTGTCGACCCAATAAATTGTGATTGACAGACTATACCCTTCATGTGGATAGTGACTTTTAAGTTCAATTTGATGAAATGTAACCACTTTTCCTGTTGCTGCAGAAAATATCTAAAACCATAGACAATAAAATTAAATTGATAAATATTAATGTTGAGATTACTAAACAGATGGAAAAACTACTATAAGGAGTCAGACAGGATGAACCCAGGTGCCTTAGGTTAACATATGGTAATGGAATTGGCCCTTGGCCTTACAGTATTTTGGCCCTGTGGTGTTATGCCAATGGGTTAGGCTCTTTTATTTATAATCATTTTATCAATAAGCCAAATTGTTGAATGAATAAAATAAATTTTCACCAATTCAAAATGTGTTTCAAAAATTGAAAGAATGTGCAATGAATCCAGCCGTGAAACAAATAATAGACTACTGTGAAATGAGGTACATCTGCCATTTTCGTCATATTAATTGTGGATTAAATTTCATAACCCTGGTTGCATGGACCAGGATAACATTCTCAAATATAATTGTTTAGGATACACAAACTCTAGGTGGCTGAGCCAAAAGTGATTAAACATAGCCATAGGTATGTGATAGACAATAGCATGAAATCAAGCAAATAATTATACTGCAAAGAATGGAAATACAATACATCCTTGTGTAACTTGTGTTTTGAAACACTTACAAGTATATTATTAGTACCATAAAAATTCAAAAGTGATAAAAACATAATTTTCCTTACCAATACTCTGGTACTTGATGTACCTTGGTCAATTGCTGCAATCAGGGAGCTTGTTTTATTCATATTGCAACGTCAGTATTGACAATATACCTCGCGTCTCGTTGTTCATGCAAAAAAAGGTGTCATATTTCACTGTTAAAAGCTTTTAAATGTTTTCGTAAATATTATGGTAATTCGAGTCATAATAAAGCGGTTATAATCTAATCTCTATGGTGCTATCCATGGTATCCGACTATCCGTATCACATTCTATAAATTCTTCCCCTTCACCACTTTTACTCCCTTTTATCCCTATCCTATATCCTATATACTATAGCGGCAGAGACGCCGGAGAAGGGGGCGCCGGGCGCGGAGAGGCAATCGGCCCCTTTCCCCTTGATTTTCACTTGTTCTTATAAATTTTCACCCTATAAATGCCCTAGCCTCCTCGGCAGGCATCCCTTATGTATTAACCTGTGTAACGGGCTATAAATTCGCTGCGAATATTTAATTTGATCAGTGGAACTAGACCGGTGAATTATTTCACCCTGACATTTGTTTTTTTCCAATTTTTTGGCAGTTAGTTTTTCCAGATTTATAACTATAGTAACGCTAATTTAATTTCTGACAGAGATCCCACTGGCATTTTTCGCAATATTCCTGGTTAGGTCTTAAAAATCGTATACTCTGCCTTCGTCCCCCTGCAAAAATTCAAGATTTAATTTATAGGATTTAATTTTGTTCTGTTTTTGTTCTCCTAAAAAAACCTTTAACCTTTAATGTAAGTCACTAAAGGGACAATCGTAAAATGTTGGTATTTTGTGTGCTTATGCAACTTTGAGTTCATAGGTCGTTTTTTTTTATATCGAAAGATATATTACACCGCGGGGTGTAATCCTTTCCGGAATTGAACACTAGCTTGTTTAATCCTTTCATGTTTAGTTAGCCGGCAGTGCAGCTACTCACTGTGCTATTATCTTGTTTTATTGCTGTGGAAATTATAAGCTCTTTGAAGCAAGTTTTATTTAAAATACTACAGATACTACAATATACCTCCATGTTCAAATTTTTTTAAATAATTGCAATTGCCCAGAAGATGTTTTCCTCAGCTGCGAAAGAATGAACAATGAAAATGAAAGTAAGTTAAACGATATATATTTCAGTGTTACCAGTGTATATTCCCTATACAATACATCAAACACGTATTAGTCCATATAGTGAGGCTGCGTCCATCCCTCCACTGTTTCATACAGCCTTTGGGGTCGTTGCGGTAGAGACGATTGTGCGGGCGATGCTGATAATGCGTTTGTGGTCAACAAACAAACGAAAGAACTCTCGCAAATTTCTATTGACAGTATCATTGTAGTACATCATTTTGGTTTATCTCATTCTGGTTTATCATATAGACTACAACTTTATAACTGATATATTCAATCCCCTTTATAGATCTGCTAACCTACATAAGATTACTCCTTTTATTGCCATTGGAAACTGGTTTACGATCTGATTCTATGAGTCAGCCAGTTGAAATTCCCACATTTGCATAGAAGAGACTGATAACACAGTCAAATTTACGCAGGTAAATTAGAAGGTTTCGAACCCATAATACGCAAGATATATCTTTTCTTATAAGAAATACAAATTGATACCACAAACGTTTTAGATATCTTTCATGGTATTGTTTGCAACAGTAAAATTAAGACGCTAGAACACCGCCGGATTGAAGTGATATCTAATATTGTTACAGGCTTACAGTGTCGTGTCTTAGCCAAAAGTGGATGCAAATAATTAATTTTGAACTTTCAGACAACATGTAAGCCAACCGTTTGGCCTACAAGTTGGCAAATAAAAGTGTTTGGCCAAAACCTCTCGTTTCATAATCTTAATGCCGGGTAAAACAATAATGCAAGTTTATACAAGTTGATGCAGGTTAATGCGAGTTCCAAGTCTCTCTGACGTTTGTTTGCCAACAAAACAGCACTGATCTCAAACGTTGATACAAGTCGATAAGCAGAATCAAGTGTTTTTGTCGCTATTTAGACAAAAGCCTGGTACATCAATTTCGTCTATGAGAAATATCATATGGACGATTTGATGCTTGAAGTCAAAAACAATTTCGGGAAGGGGGGGGGCTTTCTTTGTCCCTGCTGCAGCCTGCAGCAAAAATGAGACTTCCCGGGTATTTGCCATTTGCCCAAAATATCAGGTAAATCTCAACGCTTCGTTTTGGTCCTCCAAAACTCTGTTTTCTAAAAACTGGCGATGGTTAATTGGCTTTTGTTTCACTGACGAATAAATTGTTATTTTTAATTACTTTTTTTCGTAGCAACGATATATCGCCTACTGTCCTGACATATGAGAACAAGGCTGCTTTTCTGCCTTTTCATATATATCGTACTTCAGTCGACGATGTCCACTTTCGGACCATTTATTTACATCAGCTCAGCGATTATAAGTAATTTAATAACCTCTGTTTCAGTGATGGATCAATGGTGGAAAAGCCTAAAGGATCTTTTTAGCAGTGTTAGTAGTCGACTGAGTGATTCTGAAAACGAATCATCAGAAGAATTTTTAGCAAGCGATGACACAATCTTCAACAAGTCATCTCACCAGTCCTCAACAAGTCACGAGAATTCGGAAAAGGGTGAGGATCCCGAAACCACTGCAGCTATTGATCGTACTGAATTAGAGGTTGTAGAGTTAAACGAGCTTAGCATTGGACCTCGAGTGAGAGAAGCAGAATACACTAATTTATTAAACTACCTTAACTTAAGCCCTGACGATAAATTTACTTTAAAAAAAGCTAGGATGGTGGATAACAACACTATTAATGATAAAGCTTTAACATCAATTAATGAAGTTCCTAAGTATATTGTTGAAAAATTAATGATAGTTGATTATCATGCACGAGCATTTAAACTAAAACCGCGCGATGAGAGCGTTAAGAAAGCTGCAGCAGCAACTTTTGATGAAAGTGATGATGAAGACAGAGAGCAGGCAATGGAAGACGAAAGACTAAAAGAAACAGTGAACCCTATGGATGCATTTATTGCCATATTTCATTGCTCTGATGATTTTCTGCGTCAGGATCTCGCTATCAAATTATCTAGTTGTCAACTCAGCGTTCCTTTTCTCCTTCCTGATCCTGTAGAACCTTCTGAGAAAATCACAATGTTGATATGGGCTTTAGAAGGAATAAAGAAATCATGGAAATCAGCAAGTAAGACCAGCGAGCGTCCAAAAGCTCAACATGTCTTTGTTTTGGAACATCCCTTTCCAGTTGTCACCTTTGTCCGTATTGAAAAAAACGGATTCTCCAAATCCGTTCTGTTGAACAAGGTTATAAGTGACGTAAATGGATATCATGATTTCTTCTTCCACAAAGATTGCAAAGGGGGCGGAGTTAAACGACAAATCGTTGATGGATTGGTAGAACTGTGTTGGTACCTACCTGAAGAAAGAAATAGTCAGGCATTCCAAAATGAAATTTGCTTCGCGAACTTGAGAGGAGACGTTAGGAATTTCAAGAAACAATTGAGTGTCATGACAAAAATTTCATCCGTCATATTCTTGATTCTTCCGTCTGAATATCCAAATGAATCGACGAATGGCATTTTGATCGAGATGGCAAAAGCAGAAACCAAATTTGTTCTTATCTTCAATGACAAGCCAAGAGAAGACGCGAAGCAATATTTTGATGACTTCAAACGAAAACATCGAGGTAGGTTTTCTTCCTTAAACAGGAGCGCACAAGCAAATGAAGACGACTTCGTTGAAACTATTCGGGAAAAAATTCAAAGGAATATCAACACATCCAAAGGCACGCCGTTGAAGGAAATCAGTGCTACGTTGGCAAATGAATGTAACATTTACCTCGACGAAGACTCTGATAACAACTCTATTTGGCGGGAAAGCATAAGCCCGTGGATGAACATGGGTCCCAAAGATGCTAAAATGCAATTAAAGTTACAGACTCAAGTCCCTGTGATTGCAAGTTTAGAACGAGAGAATTTTTGCCCAAAGCCACAGGCAAATAAGTCTGAAAATGAACGCATTGACGACAATTTTAAGAAGAAGAAGGAAGCAAGAGATTCTCAAAAAGAATCGTTTTTTTGAAATGGAGAAAGAAATACGCAGATGTCTCAATCGAATAGCAGTGATGAATGATGTCGAACGACGGTATGCTTTGGCGATATTGAAACATGATCTAGATAAGATGTCTCTGAATGTTATAGGATCCTTACAAGTACAATACCGTGATGTGTGGCTCAAGATGCAGAAAAAGAAGAAACAAAAGCAACTGGATATCTCTGACGATCGTTTCATTTCGGAAGAAAAGGAACATCTTAAACAATTAGAAGATACAATTATAGAAAGTTCGTTTGGTTTGGAACATTTAATTCGAGAAATCGCCCAGATGTTCGAACTTACAGAAATCAGTCTGCTTAACTATGCAGGAGCTGCTGCGGACATGTTGCTTTCAGGACAGCCTCTTGAGCTGATGGACGGTGATTCCTCGTACATTCCGCTAAAATGGTTTAATGCTGTATACAGTAAACTTGCGCTTAAAACAAACAACGCAAAAATCTTTGTAATTTCCGTTCTAGGCATTCAAAGTTCAGGTAAGTCGACGATGTTAAACACAATGTTTGGCTTGGAGTTTCCAGTCAGTGCAGGCAGGTGCACGCGTGGAGCTTTTGCCAGTCTTATTCCAGTTAGTGATTCTCTAATGTCTTCGTCAAACTTTGATTATGTTTTGATCATCGATACTGAAGGTCTTAGAGGATCTGCAGATCCAGAAGTTCGACAACATGATAATGAATTGGCAACGTTTGCAATTGGCATAGCTGATCTCACTATAGTCAATATCTTTGGTGAGAATTACAATGATATGAAAGAATTCTTGGAAATTGCCGTTCACGCCTTCTTGAAGATGAAACTGGTCAAGGAAAAAAGAATATGTCAAATTGTTCATCAAAATGTTGCAGCTGTTGAAGCCTCAGACGTTCTGGCGACTGAGCGCATTTCTCTCAAAAAGAAACTGGATGAAATGGCCAAACTAGCTGCTATTGAAGAAAACTGTGAAGACACGTTTCAAGAATTGAACGATATCCTTTCATTTGATGAAAACGATGACGTGTTTTACATACCGAACCTTCTCCAAGGAAGTCCACCAATGGCACCGATGAATCCTGATTATGGAAGAGCTGTTCAAAGAGTAAAGGAAAAAATTATTTCATTAATGTGTTCACCAGAACGCTCTCATCATCCTATTTCTCAGTTTAAAAAGCGTGTCTGTGATCTCTGGAAGGCCATCCTACGCGAAAATTTCATTTTTAGCTTTCGGAACACAATCGAGGTGCGCGCTTATACATCTTTAGATCAAAAATATTTTGAGGAATCCATGAAAATAGTGACTGGCATGACCGAACTTGAAAAAAAAATTCAAGTATTATTAATGAGAGGTTCAGCAGAGGATCGAGAAGATATTTGGTCTGTCGGTAAAATGGAGATTAGAGAACGAGGAGATGAACTTGGCAAAAAAATGGGGAAAGCTATGGAAGATTTCTTCGAAACGAATGAAGACAAGGCAACTCTTGAGCAATGGAAAGAAAATATCATGAATAAAATCAATTACCTTATGGATTGCCAGATCACAGAGGTCATGAAAAATTGCAAAGCTAGTTTTCTTTATTGGCAAAACCGACAGGAGGTGGACATAAAGAAACAAACGTGTGAAAACGAGTTACTTGCAAAGGCTAGAAAGTTTATTTCCTCAGTTGAAGATACAGATGATGTGGAAAAGTGCGCTGCTAAATTCGAGCAAGAATGGCAACATTGGATTGAAGATGTTCAACCATGCATCGACAAACGTGTTGACGTTAATCGAGAAATGATGATTGTCCTACTTCACACAGACGGTAGGCTGACTGGAAAAATGAAAGAAAAATACAACGCACAAGGATGCAATTTGTTGAATTTTAGGAACATTTGCCCATCCATTCAGAATCAGCTTCAAGTAGGTGGTTTAGAAAGATTTCTGCAAATGTTTCGAAATAATCCGCAGCTGGTTATGGATGCAGAGAAAATCCGGGATGATGCGATAAATGCAGCATTTAATTTTGTAAGCGAGACATCGAAGACCAATAAGTCCACAGGACCAGATAGAATTCCTAATATACTGCTCAAAATGTTTGCTATCGAATTTGCTCCTGTTCTGGCTGATATATACAATTCATCAATACAACAAGGAATTTTTCCACATCAACTAAAGCGTGCTGTCGTTATTCCAGTTCCGAAAGTGTCACCCCCAGCAACCCTCGAGAACGATCTGCGTCCAATTTCTCTAACATCCCAAGTGGCAAAGGTTTTAGAAGGTTTTACCCTTAAATCCTTGTTGTCGCAAGTTGCTAACAAAATGGACCCTAAACAATTTTCCCTTCCGAGAAAATCCACAACCCATGCCTTGGTCTACCTATTACACTCAGTCTTAGCAGCTCTCGAGTCAGGCCAGTGCTCTATTAGAATATTCTTTGCAGATTTTAGAAAAGGTTTTGACCTGGTTGACCATAATATTATAATTGAAGAATTAAAGCGTCTCGATGTCCATCCTTCTATTGTTCGGTGGATCAAGGATTTTCTTACTGGCCGCGAACAACGTGTAAAAATTGACAATTGCTATTCCTCATGGAAGAAAACTAATGGTGGTTTACCGCAAGGTACCAAACTTGGACCCATTTTGTTTGCAATTCTCGTCAACCAGCTTCTAAATAACTGGCAGGGCCGTATCAAATTTGTAGACGATTCGACAGCTTTTGAGATCATTCCGCGGGGTTCGCCTAGTTTTCTACCCTAATGTAAATGAGATTTCCCTGTTCCGCCATGAAAAAGAGGAATGGAACTCAATCCAAAAAAATGTAAGGAGATGATTATAAGCTTCTTGAAATATAACCATACCTCCTTCAGTCCTATCTACGTTGCAGGCGTTCCTATAGAGCTTGTGTCTACATTCAAGTTACTCGGCGTTCATTTGTCTAATGATCTTACATGGATACCCACGTTGATTATATAATTAAAAAGGCTAATTCACGATTATATTCTCTTCGCAAATTACGGAAAGCTGGTTTAAAACAATCCGACCTGTCCATGGTATATTGTTCCTTCGTCCGTTCGCTACTGGAGTATGCATCGCCATCGTGGGCTACCTTGTCATCCGCATTGTCAGATGAAATTGAATCTATCCAACGGCGTGCTCTCAAATTATTTACCCGACGTTGTCATATGCTGATGCGCTTGTTGTTACAGGACTTGATAAATTGATAAATCGTAGAGACGTGGCTTGCAAACTGTTCGTTCATAGGTTAAGGGAATCCAAGACACACTTTTGTAATCCATTAGAATCTATTGTTAAAGTAGAATCTCAAGAACCCGCTCATGATTATTATCTACGAAATCAAAACAATATTCGATCTCCACCGCTTATATGCACTGAGCGGTTTCGTAACTTTGTTACAGTTAAGTATAATATTTAAAAAAATAATATTGAACTACAATATTCAAATTCCATTTTAATCTAGCTAAGTATGTAAATAAGTCATTTTACCGTTGTATATATAACTTCTCAATTAGGCCTACCTATGTAGACTATATTGATGATTATTTTATAAATTATTAATATTCTGTAACACTTTACAATATTTAATACCCTATGTAACGATAATCGTGTAATTCAGTTTGTACTGCGATACGATTTTAATAAACTAATAATAATAATAATAATAATAATAAGTCAGGTGTCAGATGCAGACCTGCTGATTTGAAACGGATGTACTTTCTTGTTATCTCCACAATTAAAGATTTAACAAAAAATCATAAGTTTAATTTTCCCTACAGCTTGTTGTGTGATACGTTACTTTTCGTCTTTGCCAATACGTACAACGATTTCTGTCAGATGGAAGAACGTTACATCCAGGAGCGGGACATAAGAGGAGATCTGGAGAGAAATTTGCGACCATCCCTCGAAAAATATTTCTTAAACACGTGTAAAGAGATGAAAAAAGAAGTGCTTGCTGCCACTTTGATGGTAGACGTTCTTCAAAAGGCAATCGAGTCTGATTTGAATAAAAGCATGGGATCAGCAGTTGCTGGGGAAATCCTGAAAAAAAATGAATTCCAAAGTAAAGGACAGTTTCATGCAAGTGTACTAATTCAACTTGGAGAGGATTGCCAGTTTAAACCCTACACAGAGTATCTTTTAAACCCTGTCAAGTTTCTCAAAGATAAGTTAATTGAATCCATTGAATACTATTGCCTCACTAATGCAGACAACTCAGTTAACTTACTTCTTGAAAATGAGGTGAGAAGAATCCAGGAACAAGTGATTGCGGCCATTTTATCCTCAAACAGAAGAGTGGGATCGTCCCAGGGAGCAACGTTTTCTTTCTGGATAGAGAACTTTGTTGATAGCTGTTCGACGCTCGAGATTACCACAGAAATGTTCGCTGTCGCAGCAATTGATAATGATTTAAAAGATTTTGAGATGTTTGAGAGTCAGGCCATTAAATTGGTAAAGGAATTTTTACAGCTTTTAATCGACCGAGGTGTGAATCAGAAATTTTACAAAGCATGGAATCCAACACCTCATTCAAAATTACTCGATATGATGTTCGGCTGTCAGGAGTGTTGTCCATTCTGCAAGGGTTTATGTGATCAAACCGTTCGAAATCATGCGGGTGGACACTCAACAAGGATTCACCGTCCTCAGGGAATAACTGGTTATAGAAATGTACACACGAATATTTTAGTAACTAAAATATGCACAACCTTGGTTGATAGCGACGGCTCATTCAAAAATGTGGATACATCTGATCAGTGGCATCGTTATAAAGAGTACCAAACAGTTAACGACTATTACAAATCCTGGGCAATTCCACCTGACCAATCTTTTGAGGCATCCGCATATTGGAAGTGGTTTATTGCGACATACGCAAACGAGCTAGCGACTTACTATAGTGCAGAACCACCAGAGGTGCCTCTAGCATGGAAAAACATTTCTTTTGACGAAGCAAAGCAGCAACTTCGTGAAGAATTTAACCTAGTATAATTTATCTAGCTTCACCTAACCTTTCATAATACAAATAATTATCAGTACATCAATATATGGTCAACCTTTCGCTTCTTTTCCAAATTTTTAAAACATTGCTAAGCATATATAAGAACTGGCATAATGTATATAGCTAACCTAAAATACAGGGTGTCCCAAAAAAAAAGCAACCACTTAAATATGCAGAACATTAATACAGCTCTAAAGCGCAATAGATAAGCACCTCTGGGAATTGAAAATGGCTCTTAATCCTTCATTTACAATGCTAAAAGTCATTTTAGCTGAACTATGGTGCAAACCCGAACAATATTAATATTCTTGCATATTTAAGTGGTTGCGTTTTTTTTGGGACACCCTGTATACCTAATCGCATTATTTCTATTGCAATTAAGTGTTTGCTATCCCTCGATAAGGTTTAAACAAAGCTGTTTGATATGGCTGACCGCATATACAAAACATGTGAAAATAGTTGTAATTTTTAAATTCATCTTTAATTTAGTAAACAATTAATCCAAATTATAATTAGGGCGTTGCCGTAGATATAATAATTAGACCGTAAATCGCATCTTGAACTTCAAAAAAACATACGCCTGTATCCTAAAAAGCTCACTAACACTCACACTCGATCAGTGTGACATATAAATTTTGTTACTTATATTATCAGAAAGCTGTTTCTTACTCAATGAGTGCGCGTGACCTCATGCATGCGATAGTGTCTACTTTGAGTGTATGATATTCCAGTAATGCATTTAGTTCTACTATATAGAAAATTATAATGGTATATGCTTAATACAAAAATCAGTGGTCTGAATTAGTTGAAGCTTGTCGATAAAGCAATTGTTGACATAATTTATATTAACTGAACCCTCGGGCTCGGGACGACTGAGCACATGCCAAACCCGAGGTACGAGGTGAGCACATGCATGGAAAAATCGGCTGATTTGTTGTCATATGACTAAATATCTAAAACCCCATAAAATGTTAGAAAATGAACCGTACTTCATTTTTTTTATATACTTTCAACTTATCAATTATAAATATCTTTATGCAGACAAGCAACAGGCTAAAAATACAAATAAATTTTATGCAGCCGGAAGAACATTGACATCGTACCATTTTACCATGTATATATGTGGATCAAATTTTGCGTAAAAAAATTGAATTCTACCAAATGCAACAAACTGGATGAGATCAGAAATAAAAGGTCGAGCTTCACAGAAAGGAGAAAAAGGCCGAATCGGTAGCAATAATGGACAACAAAACAATATGCAATGCAGTACAGTACAGGAAGTTGTAAATGATCGCAGCATGGCAAAGCCTCCAGTTAAATCAACTTCTGAAAAAGTCAAAGATGACAGAAAATAGACCGAAGATTCATGAACTCAAATCATCGCGCACATTATACCGTATACTGTTAGTTTAATTTCAACAGTTCGGTCTGTGGAGAGAAAATATCAACGCCAAAAGAAAACGAAGTTTTAAATTCATTAACACAAGAACGCAATCAAGAACACAACTACACCAATTTCTCAAACTAACTGACTGATGTCTATGTTAATGTCCGACGAAAAATGTGATGCGTTGAACCTATTACTTTAATAAATAATGATGTTAAAATGGTGGCTGGAGCCTGAGAAGCTCGACCTCAAAACGAGATGGAAATCCTGTAAGTTTGCAACTCAGAACACGACGACAGTCAAAAAACAAAACGAATTATAATTAAATATATTGATATCCGGTATAGAAAAATTTTGGATTGCAACAGCCTTTCATGCGTTGCATTGATGAAGTTTACCCGAGATATTGCATTAGCCATTATACGGAGAGGTGGAGAAAACGCTTAAACAATGAACAAACTGAAAACTGAAAGAACGGACGAAACGTTAAAACGTTAAATGCACATGAAAGATGGGCGTGAGCTGGTAGAATGCAATTTTTTTCACAGCAGAATTTTTTTTAAAGTTGTATTAAAAAAATTAGCATTCTTTCGAAAAACTGTATTTAGCAGTATATCAAAATATTTTTAATCTGTTGCTTGTGTTTTTGCGCACTTGTGCATGTCACGGGCGTAAACATAAAAAGATAAAATATTTCAACAAGCAAAAAAAAAATTATTTTCACAAAAGAAAGCAAATCAATTCAAACTCTATAAATTATAATGTCATTTATAGTTATATGACAACAAAGCCAGCCTAAATAAAAAATCATATTAAAACATTCGAGAAGCAACCTCTTATAGCTACCACATTTTATGAATTAATATTTTCACACCACTGATTTTATAATTGCTTGAAATATTGTAGACATTTATATAAACTTTTAATTATAACGCCTACATATGTGGTTATAACTGTAACTGTTGATCTTTGATTGGGATATTTCATATACAGTATATAAACTAGTCTAAAATTTTTTTTTGGAAAAATGAAATTTATAAGCAACTTTCTTTTTTATGTCAAATACATTTTTTCAGGTCAGTCGAGGAAGGGGAGGATAATAGTAATTCTTTCCTAACCATTATTCTTTATATAATGGGGTGACGGTCAAGGGAGGCATATGTCCTATTGTTTTGAATAAATGCCGCGGCCTTTTTGTATAGTGTAGTGTCTATTGAAGGGCTGCTTGTTAGGTAATTTGTTTAACTGTGAGTTTCTTTTCACTCACGTATAAGTTCAGCAGTTTTATCTAACGGCCACTTTTCTAGTGGCAAAAGATACATGCTTCAGCTTCTTCAGAATGCATTGATCACGCCTCAAAATGTATCGCGAGAGTTCAATTGCGTTTATTAAAAGCATTGTAGAAAGAAAGGTAAGATAGTGTTTGCATGTACATCTAGTTCTAGAGTTTAGGCCTTTTTAACTGGATGGCTGGCAAAAGCTTACTAGCTCCTCCTTCAGCCCGCCAGTGATGACTTTCCCCCCAGTGAAGCCCGCCGTGAAGGTCCCTTTTGTGTGTAAATCATAGCAAAATAATCATGTTCAGAAGAAAGCAATGATCTTCTACAAACATCGCTGCGCCGAGATGGTTTGGCAGAAAGTGCCCCCCAAAATATTGTCATATTGAATAGTGTCAAATACAGAAAATATTCATGGGGAGAACCCCATACAACTCCTGAATCTGAATTAACAACTAATCACAGCAAATTAATCACAGCAACGGCTTTATATCAACACTGATATCAACACAGATATAATCTGGTCTTCAGATTACTATTACATCATTCCTTTAGAATATTTCTTAGCAGCCGCCGTCTTTCTGTTATGATTAGCAATCTTTGCTTTATGTTTATCTTTATATGATCTATCACGCTCTGTATTACCACTTCGCACTTGACGTTTGCCTACGTCATTGTTACCAAAGATTTGCTGTCTTTGGTTACCATGACGATGACCACGTTGCTGCTTCTCACCGTCATTACATTCCTTTTGTTCATCCCCCTTTGAAGAAGTTTCCCCAGTGTCCTACATTGATCACATGAAATAAAATCAAAAGCATAAAAAAACCGTTCACCTGAGACAAGCCGAAATATACAATAGATGTTATATTATATAAATTGAATAGGTGGCTGAACAATGCATGCATGGTGATCAAGGATGATGCTGTTCTATATTGCCTTAACTCTATATAGCAAACAATTCACTGACCTGTACATCATCATTCTCATCCCCATCATCATCAGCAACTTCTTTTAAATGCTGCAGAGCACGAGGAGTTGTAAAAGGCCTAGTAATTTATATGAGATCTGTTATTTGATACTATCACCAGAAGCAGCGAGGTTGTTGATTAATAATTGTGGACAATACCTTGACAGAGAACGTAATTTATTTCACTGCCAAAATTCGTTGAAACATAGTTAACATGCAAGTTGTTTGGCCCGAATATTACCGAGCAGAGCACAGATGGTTGTGAAGGACTGAGAAATGACTTTACTAAAAGTAGTGAACAATGATGATCTTGTTTTTTTATCGCTCCCACTGCACTTTTCCCCACCTAAATTTCACACAATGAATCATTACCTTCTCAATGTAATTTCACTTAATTCATCAGCTGAATCAGCATCTTGAGCTCCGACATTTTGTTCATCATAAGTATCATCATATTCGTCTTCATAGTCGTTAAATGTTTCATCATAATTTAAGATTAAATTTTTCGTACTTTCAACATCTCTTTCTTTATCAAATACCGTCTTCATACTTTCCGTAGCGCGAGTCTTTCCTTTGCGTACCCGAGAGAGATCCACGTTTGCATTTGAAAACACATCAAATTCGTCCTTGTCGTAGATATTATGTCTTGAAGACAATACATCCGGTTTCTTCATCGCCTCACTCTTACTTAAATTACGATCAAGATTACTTAATTCCCCAGGAAGAGAGTCTTCAAGTATTAAGTTTATAGTTTTCTCGACATCATAGTTCAAGTTTTGCAAACATAAAAGTATGAATCCTTCGCCACAGTCTGGCAGTAGATCTTTCACATGTGAAATCATTGAACTGAGTGCTACATCACTCATGCTTTCTGAGGACGTCTACAACACAAGAAAACAAATTAGTTTGAGTACATAGGTTCCATCGAACGCCAACCATTTACCGAAGTTGCTTTCACTCTACAGTATAGTTACTTTTAAACACAGACATGCACAATAAACCGTGGTTATGCTCACAGACATCATGCACTGACCATGGTTTCAACCAAGACAACGAAAGCAAACATCACAGAGCGAATCACTCCAATATTTTAACATCATTGTTATCATCACTTACTTCCACAGCTTCCTTAGAGGAAGATGCGTGCATGATGACATCAGCTCCAACAGGTGAGGTTGCAGGCTTTATTTTATCCCAGGAATGTTGGCCCTCTGACTTCGACTTACGAGATTTATCATTTAATTGTTGTGGCCACATCTTCATTGATTTATCGCTGGGAACCCCCAGTTCACTTATGGCAGATATTAGATATTGTAGTCGCGTTTCATCCACAGGTTGCCCAGACGAGTGAATTATATCTATATCCAACTCAATACTATACTGAAGATTGTATACACGTAGAAATCTAATAACAAGACAAGATAAAATTGATTCACTTTCTAAAACTGGTCTTTTATATGGAGATCTTAGTGCCGAACACAAGACAAAATCCTATGTCCAGATAGCCTCAAAAATTATTATCCATATTTCATAACCCCTCCAGCTGTTCGCTGAAATGCTGCTTTACAAAAATATTTTTTACCTTTTAAAAGATAATAACTCCATCATTACTGAAAGGAAATCTTCGATACTGTTCTTTTTAATCTCATTAATACTCTCAATTTCACTATAATGAAAATAAAAATCACATTTACTAGTTAGCTAAGATTTGGGTATGAATGCTTAAATCAACTACAGCAGTATATCGTGCTGATATTTAGTGTTTTATATATAAACTGCATGATTTCTCTATATTGCTCCAATCGTCATTACGACACAAATGCCACAATCAATGTCATAGTACACAAACAACAATTTTCGCTGAAAATACGTAAATTGCTCAAGTGATTTTGTGCCTTAATTAAGAGTTTATAAGAGTCTAAACAGCGAAAGAAGTAACAAAATAATGACAAGCCACTCACCCATTCATTAGTGCAACCAGACAATGAGCATCAATAATAAAACGTGATATTTTTACCAAATTAAACTTTACTCTGTTAAGAAAAGTTCTTTCTGTTTTCAAACTGCGATATCGCTGATCAAATAAAGGTATTGTTTCCTCATAAAATCCAGCAATACGCTGTACAAAGCCGTCATTAAAGAAATATTGACACAATGACGTCAATGTGTGCAGAAATGATATCAATGTTTGTGTGGTATCATGAAGGTATATTATAAAATCATTTAAGGCAGCTGGTTGAAGTTCACTTCGTCGTTCTTTCCCAACTTTAACAGGATTAATGTCGTCTCTAATTTTATCCAGTGTTTGACAAATACTTGGAATTGTTTCACGTAGATCATCAATATACCTGCCATAGAAAATAAAAATACACATTATACTACCATTAAATATTGAATAAAGTGCATTTTCTCGTAGAATCCTGGAAATCACGACTGTTGACGACGTTTGTTTTGCATAAGAACAATGCAATCAATCGCTTCAAGGCCAGTGCTATTAATAATGGTTACAGCATTCTTCAGGAAAAATATTATTTAATATTAGTTACTTACTTTGGCTGTTTTTTAAAAACATTTTCCAGCATTTTGGATAAAAGATTGTTGTTCTTGCTATTCTCGCCGCCATAAAGCGAACATAGATCCAATATTTTAGGGATATCGAACAGGAAATTTTCGTACAATATTTCACCAAATATCTCCGGGGTAAAGAAATCTTCCTAAGCAAAACAAAAAATAACATGCTTTCTGCAACTTGGGACACTATTGACGAGAGAAGTCGATTTGTTTGGTGTGTTTTACCAATATTGTGGAATAAAGAATAAGACTTGTTGACGTAAAAATACGCATCGGTAACAGATGGTTAAAAGATGTGTGAGATTAGTCATAGTAGATACTAATTCCTAGAAGGCCTGTAGACATTGTTTAATCACACTATCACACCTTAAGATTACGTCTCTCGTACACTTTCTCAATCACTATGTGACACTGTAAGAAAGTATTTGACGCCCCTGTGATTATAAAGACTCCTATGCAAAATTGGAATTTTTATAAGTGAACAAGAACTACAAACTTTTGATTCCTTGTGTGTTGCCATTCTCAGGTAGACCATGAATATACTGCGATGTATTTCTTTTTGAAGATTCAATATTCTATCCGGAAGAAATTTCCACAGGTCATGAGATCTAAAGAAAAGGATTTAACATTCATAAAAGTAAGGAAACTTCATTGCAAAAGTGATGACTGATAGCAAATGATTCAAACATAGCAAGCTCAGTCAACAGTTTCAGAGTTCGCTTCTCCGTGCGCTATACGTTATACGTACGGTACAGCTAATCTTACAGTAATATGAACCTATAAACGAGATTTTACAAACCTTGGTGACGATTTCAAAAAAGAATCAAGGCACATATTTATTGATTTATTGAAAATCACCTAAAAAAATAATATACAGCCTATTATACACACCTGTACTGCATATACAATATGCTTTAGCAATGGACAACTCACTGAGTTCTACTTAGAAAAACAAATTTCGCATTCTTTTTTCGAGCTAATGTTTTAACAATGTCCAAGAAGCAAGACATCCTCCTTCTCTAACACATGCATAAAAAAATTATTTTGAACAACAAATGCGGGAATATGCCATAACACAAAAGAGAGGCAGATCTCTGAGACCAGACCTTTTGCCTTTTAATTTTGGCATTCGAAATAAAAAATGCTTTCTATAAAAGGATGCTTTGCTTCTGAAAGTCATTTTCTAAAAATGTGATAATTAATATGATGCAATTTTTGGAATGGTCTGTCCAAGACCGCATACAAAGGTCACTGGAGGTCACCGTACATGATTCCAAAAGCGAGAATGTGACTGACAAAGCAACCAATTGAGATCAGTGTTGATAAATTTTGCTCGATCTTCCCAAGCTTGAAGATCTGTTTCACTGACATTAGAACATGTTTGTTTGAGAATATCCACATTCACAGGAACTGGAACATAACTGATAAATTCTATCTCCTCATTTTCAATCCATTTAGAATCCTTCAAACAATAGAAAAGCAAAAAAATTATATAAAATTTATATTTGGAATTGTTTGGAGAACAAATAATATGACAAGCATTCAAATAATAAAAAATATTATTTGATAAAGTTGAGTGGGACATTCAGAATTACCAAGGCAGAGGATGGCCTTATCTGTGGAAGCTGCAGCCTGAGGAATTTAAACCAACTGAGGTCTTGATTATTTTGATCATTATCACTCAAAACTCAAAGGTCCCCCTCCCCCTGTTCATTCATACTAATCTATAGGCATTTTTATTTGTTAAAAGCCCTCTTCTTCACCACTTTTTGTGATATCTTTTAGTGGCAGTGATTATTACTGTAAATAGTCCTTTACATTTAGTAATTATAAACAAAAATTGAGTAATTGCTTCACAAACCAACAATGGAATGACTGAAGATGTTCCTGTCACTGTGTCATGATATTTATCAGATTTGAGGTCAAGTGGAAGATTTTCCTCCTGGTAACAAATGATACATTAAATGATTGTAATAAATCTAAAGTTTCTAAAGTCTTGAACAATATCTATATATAGGCAAAATGCATTTGGTACTATTAAAAAATCTGAGGAAATTAAGGCTAATATTTTCTTCCCCCCTTTTGCTTTCCTAAACTAAGAGTCCAGTTTTATTTCTGGTTTTTTTTTCAAATTCTGTTCCTAATGTGAAACATACTATGTCAAATTCTCCACTACCAAATGGGAGCAATAGTCAGGCATTCTATGTGGATGGGCCTGTTCATATGAGACAGGCCAGCCTGGTTTAGCCGGGATAGCTTGGCAGTGCCAGGATCTCGCTTCACATATTATTTCACTATATTTGTAGAATTGCATTCATATGGAACCAGGCCAGCATATATATTTTTCTTTCCATATTATAACCAAACATGAATACATGTTATATATAATAAATCATGCATCTTACTTTGAAGGCTGGCATTTTACATGTTTTCTTCTCCCGGGATCTACAAAATTTCTATACAAAATGGAATATCAAACTACATTTCCTTTACTCAAAATATATTATTGTGATTCATGATTTAAATGACCACCTTTTAGGCTTTTGAAACTGGAGGATAATGGATAATGAAGGATAACAGAGGATTTCTGGATATCCTGGAGTACCTAGTGCACATGCGCAGTACGCGAGGTTGGTTCTTTCTTTTTCTCACGCTGAATCAAAATGGTGAGGTTTATTTTTACATGTGGCGTAAAATTTAGAAATATATTCAGTGGTTTTAGATCATTTTCCCTCGGTCTATAAGTCATTTTACCTATTATTTTACCTCAGCTTTCTTACGTTTGACTAGTTCAATATACAAGTGTTTTAAAATTAGTGGAATCTCGATTTTGTTTTGCGGTGTTTGATACATTTTGTAGAACAGAAATTTGTATGATTGTAAAAAGCCCTGAGTGCGAATGTGATCAGTGTGTATTTATTGCTTTACTTTATCAGACTGTAGAGTATAGGGGGCTGAGGCTGGGATTACTGAGTAATGCTAACTCAGTGTCAATCTTATGGAGGTTATAAAGCATGTATGCAACCATAAAAAATACCAAACTCACTTTAATTTTGTCTGATAATATATTTCTCTAGAATTTTATACTAAAAATCTAGTCAGTATGCCCTTGTCAGCTGTAATGAAGGGTCAACACTTCATGAACATGCCTTTGAAGACAAGACACATATATATTTTACACATAACATTAGCAAAAGATATCTTAGTCAATGTTAATAATATCTTGATGACAACTTTTTAAAGTTATATTTCATTTTTTTAGCCGCCTAAAAAGCAAGATACAAAGACCTCCTCCAAACCGAAAAAAGATAAACCAGCTGGGTCGGGTGGTAAAGCTAAAAAGAAGGTAACCTTTTTCCTGTTTATACTGGCCATAGTAGGAAAATTACAGTATAGATCAACATGGAATTAGTGAAGCATTAGAAAGTTGACTCTATGTATGGCTGTGGAATGTTTAAATGAATGTAACACATCTAAGTTTGAACTTTTTTACCACTGTAGAAATGGTCGAAAGGAAAAGTACGTGATAAATTGAACAATTTGGTTTTGTTTGATAAAGCAACATACGATAAGCTGTACAAGGAAGTACCAAGCTACAAATTGATCACTCCAGCTGTGGTTTCCGAACGCCTTAAGATCAGGGGATCCTTAGCAAGACGTGCTTGTGATGAGTTATTAAGTAAAGGCTTGATCAAACTTGTCTCAAAACACAATGCTCAAGTTATCTACACAAGAGCAACTAAAGCTGCTGCAGATGCTTAGGTCATGTATTTTTGATCTTAATAAAGAATGGTTATAAAAACTTCTCGTTTTTGTTTTCATTTATTGCCAAGTTAGATGATGATTACCTCTTGATATCAATAGTTGATATGCATCTGTACTTCTGTATTGATGACTTCCTTTATTTCTTTGGAGAGGAGGATCATGGTTGACCATTTCATTCAACCTTTATCTTCCATTATCTCTTAAAACCTCTATCCCATACAACTACTTTATTAGTGTATCAAAAGTTATCATGTCACAGTTTTCCTTGACCTTCCACTTACTACCCTGTACAACAGACATTTACTATGTTCTTCAATAACTAACAATGAAAAACTGGTGATGGAAGATGAATCAAATAATTTATTTTTCAAGTCTCACACCAAACCAGTAAAATCTGTTGTAAGGATTCTATGTAAAAATTTTAATTATTAATTTTCTGTTACATACATAATGTAGACAAGCTACAATTAACCAAATCTATGTTCCTCTTCCTAATTCGGTAAACGTGTAATTTCACAGAAAATGTATGAAGTTTATTAATCAGTACAGAAGACGACAGCAAGGACATAGTATGCCCCACATCAGAATAAAAAATGGATAAATCTAATCAATTGATCATTGCCATTATTTAGAGAATCCTGCGAAACACAAAAATTACTAGACCCTAAAAACTGAAGTATTGAAGGACATAATTTATTCCTAATAATCTCACCATTTCATTTCTATTAGCTAATTTCATTCTTACATAATATTTCATGCTAGTGTCAGGCACTATTGCCAAGATCTTACTAAATATTAGTAGAAGGGTTGAAATAAATTTTAAAATTCTTCTCTGTTGTATATTAAAATACACGGGCATAAACTACTGCAGAAATATTCGTATTAGTTCCATACACACCACACTGCAATCTTTTACCGCCATGTCCACATTAACATCACGAAGACTGATCTAAAGTGACCGGCCGGCGCACTTTTTTAGCGTTAATAGAGGTTGAATTGCATCGGATAAATGTGCAGTAATTTAGCACGCGCCGCACATCACCCATACTGCCTCTACTGTTGAATGCATGCATGAACGTAATTTAATAATGTAAAATCTACATTTATATTCACTGTACATTTTAATAAAACGAGACTGGTGGACAAACCACTGTAGAGATCACCTATGTTCGTTACCATATAGATAGGTCTTTTAATAGCCAGATTTAGCCAAAAACGTAATTCGGCGTGAGGATATTCGGGACTTCTTACGAGACCTAGTGTTAACTTGACTTTGTTTCTGCTAGAAGGGCTTCAACTGTCAACCATACATTACCAGGATTCTTCTCTTGGACAATATCTGATGTGTTACACAGTTTATCCTTTAAAACAAAACGAAACAAAATTCAAGTTGGTGAAGTCAAGATGGCGACAATTCACGTCCAAACGTCTTCAAGAGTTCTTGTGCAACCACTGGACAGTACACGAGATTGGTACAATAGAAATTACATACTCAATAAATTTCAGAACCCTGAAGTGTCAAACAGATTCTGTAATAACTACACGTGCTGTTTCTTTAATAAATAACTCATGCATACATACCCTTTCTACTCCTAATCTTAAGCAGGCGGCGAGAAAATAGTCCACATTCTTCAGACATTTGCTCATAGTGAGTTTCGGCTAAAATTTAGTAGGTATTCCGTCATTTGTTTTCATCAGTCCTACTGGCAGAATTATTCAAAGTTATAGAGATAAAGACTAAAGACTTACCATATTTGGTGTTGGGACGAATATCGATGGTATTGTCCCTTTTCTTATGTAGTTAACTAGATGACAAAGAACAGTGCCGTCTGCTAAGCACGCCGGGATATCATCTGGTAACCTAACTTTCAACCGACTTTCGATTGCCTAAGAAATGCATGAAATGATATTGAGAAAGAAATTGAATACGAAATACGTACAAGAAATAACGTTGTTATAATGTTTCTTGTGTAAAATCAATATTGTTGGTGAAACGTACTACAAACTTGTTCAGAAGACTTACGTCCCGTAGTAATTCTACTTTCTCGAATTCTTCTCGAGCGCTTTCATACATTCTTCTCACAGTAAAATTTGGCATAGAAGAATATGCTAAACATTTAAATACCATTTTAGTTTATTTTGTTTTAAATCATTCATATGCATGCATGAGGTTAAATACCCTACCTGAGGTGGGTGTTGCAATCTGGCTTCGTTTGTGTATTCCCGGGAACGGTACAAACTATCAATAAAAAAAATAATGTGTTTAAGGAAACGTCCACCCGCGAGACAGAAATTCATCCTTTCCCGCCTATTCACATGGAAACGCTCAATTTTTTTTTCTTCTTTTGTACAACTCTAAGTCTAAGAATAACTATCCACTCTGACGGTATGACCCACGGTGCAACACTAGTTTTAGTCGAAACACATGACGTTACCAAACTATATATTAAAAGTGTGCTAAAACACGAGTACTGAAGTTAATCAAACGGGAAACACAAAGTTTGATTATCACAAACCTCTTTATCGCCATTCTCTTCCTCTGCACTATTCCTATCACTCTGGCGAGGAAATTGATGTAATGACACATAACAAAATTAGGCTGACCACAGTTTTAATACCGATTTCCCACACAACTGTTTAAATGTGGAATATAAAAATATACAAGCCACTTACATCACTTTGCCTTTTTATTTTCTTTTTTTCCGACTCCAATTTCTTCTTCGACAATTTTGCTTCGTTTCGACTGTCTTGCAAATCTTCTTTCTATTTGAAACAAATGCGTTTGGTAACTATAAAGAGCGACCGGGCACATTTGACCTAAGCCTGGTGCAGACAGGTGTAATTCAAACACATGTGGGCAAATAAAAATGACGGTTGCTTTCACTCAGTCTCATGCCGCCAAAATGCATATTTTATATAGCCTGGTTCGCAATGAAAATTGCTGCTGATATTGAACCACGGGAGAAATTCTTTCTCTGTGGTTAGCATGCAACTGAAAACATGGGCTATATTAAAGGGATTGCTCTGAGAATGCGGTATTGTTACTGTCATAAAACGTTCAGATATTAGAATAAAACTAATATAGAGTTAATAAACATCTTTGTACATACCAAGTTATCTGACACTTCGACTTTCTTTACAACGCTTGATTTATTTTCACTGCCAATGCTACAATAAATTGGCACAGTTAAACCTAGGTCGGAAGCTTCTAAACTATTGTGCTAAAAATTACAATTAATTTGTATCATAACTGTATAATATAAATCGAGGACTTAGTAAATATGCAAGTCACTTACACTTTGACAACGGTAGCGGGTTTTTTATTTGTTGGCATTTTTCTTCTGTCCAAAGACCTAGAACTGACGAGTAAAATAACATTTAATTAAGGCTTAGGTTTATTCAGTCGACATAATGATGTTGTACGGGCATGACACCGTGGGACCCGGCAACACAATTAAATTCAGAAAAAAGTTAATCTTAAAATATACTTTTGCGCAATCGTATATATAACATGCAATATGCAAAGATGAACTATGTATAATCTTCACAATCTGACAAAAAACAAGGCTAACGCAGCATCCTGACTGATAAGCCTATATGATTAACCAAGGTGCAGTAGATCTACGAAGGCTAATCTCAAGTCAGTATAACTAGACATCGAAACACGGAATAACAAATATTTACCTATCTTGTTTATATCCACGACTCTCTTCTGCGTGTCTTTGTCTTGCGTTTTCCTTTTGTTTCTCCCGTTGAATTTGAAGTTTTCTCGACGTTTCACGTAACTCGTCACCAGTACTCTACACAAAGGAAATAATTTTCAGCATCACTGCATTAGTATGTTGCATAATGCAGACGAGAAGTCAAGTCCTGGTTCGTGCGAAATAATTAAAAAGAAAAAGTAAACATGCATCAGCGGCTAATTTAATAAAAAAACGTTCATTTGACAGAATGCGTTCCATATAATACTCATACACATTATATTAATCCGAAGTAGACTACTTCGATATATTCAAGTGAACTCGAATGATTACTAGTGACTTTTGAATTTTTTTAACGTATCATGAATTTGTGGAATGTTTATATAATAGTTTATATTATTTTTTTAAATAACAAAGAAAGTATATCTATATTTAAATTTATACCAGAATAATTTATTTTGCATTTATCGCGACGACACTTGAAAAAACAGTAAGAAAGTGCTTGGCTTATATAAGGTAAGATCTCTTGCTTATCTTGCTTGTGCATCTATCTTCACTATTGCGCATTTAAGTTAAAGTAACTAACGTATATCATAAAAATGGCAAAATATATAATGTATGCTGTACAGTATGGAGCAGCTGCTGTCAATTTATAATTTTGCTATTTTCTATCTTTCTGTTTCCTTGTTAAGAAAACAACAGCTGTATAGCAAATTTTGGAAATAAAATTTGGATAGAGTGTTAAGTTTTCAACTAGTCAAAATATTTTCACCTAAATGATCTACGTTTTGGAAATATAGACTATTTTTAATCCAATATTTACCATCTCTGTTGGACAAAAACTAATTTGCATTTAATATTAATTTGGTCATATTATCTTCATAAATTTTTAAATTGAGGTCAAATTTGTTATTTGAGCTAACGAAAGTTTGTAAAAATAATTACACGTATTATATATTGTGTAAAAAAGTTTTAAATATTGATGGCATAAGATTTATGATTCACGAAAATGCTTATCAAGTCCTTTTGTACTTCACCATGATATAATAATCAACTTCCGTTTCATAATTTATCCTGATAGTTTAATCATTACCAGAGGCAGAGCTTTTAAAATTTTATAACATTGGCTTGTGCGGATATTTTATCACACGTTAGTTAAAATATTATATGCCTTTACAAAATAACACAGAAATTTCGGCAGCAAATTCTGATAACTTATAAACTTGATTGGAAAGATATCTCTCTTGAGATGCTATGGGCAACATCATAGAGTTTAATTTAATTACATCAGCCAGTTTAAATATCAAACGCTAGATAAACATCATTATTTTACATGTTTGTACGATAGCGATTATGTCAGGTTTTATAGCGTTGCTGTATATAATTATATATATGTACGATCGTTTACAAATTTTATCATAATTCGTTTATTAGCTCTGAGAATAATTCTTGAACTAAATAATTTAGATGCGTGAACGTATTAAAAAACGTCAATATGTTTAAGACCAAGCAAAATATTAGAAGTCCTATTAAAATAACAGTAATCTCGTGTGAGAATGAAGACGACGCACTCGCTTTAGTTGCCTGGTCATTCTCTATAATCTGCAATAAAATGCAAAGTTTGAATGTTAAATGGCAAGCTTTAAAACACGAGAGGAATCATTTTAGACTTTACAAGCTAATTAAGTAGACGCTAAAAGCAAAATGTCAGATTAAGTTAATTAAGAAACTAATTAGGTTAAATTGTAGCTAAGTTCGTTAGAAAAATATTCCAATATAGCTAATTCAGAAAAACAGAAAAAACAGCACATAAACATATCTTCCAAGAACTAATTAAAAGGACTTATTAGAAATGTATTGTTTAAGAAATGGTATTTAGGCAATTACGATATGGTACGCGAATTACAAAAGTTAGTGTTCTTGATTTTAAATGATACGATAACGTATGTAAATTGTTTTTTTCGTTACAGTTTTTCAGTCATTCTATTACGAAATTCTCTCTCGTATAAAATTCACTTTTTTCTATAGAGAATTACAAATTTTCTCGGAACATTTTGTTTGTGATTATTTCAATATTTGATTTGTACATAATGGAAAATACGATCCTCTGCGTGTACAGAATTGTGCAAATTTCTAAAAACTTTGAGATTGGAAATATACAATGAAAAGCTCTACCAGAGAGAAAACTATCGATTAAATTGCATTAAAAATAATTTCTCTGTTAAACACGGGACGAATTCATCTTGGATTCCAAAATCTATAAAGCTGATCCAGGAGGTGAGCTAGGCTAGAAAAAATAATGGAACATTTTGGGAAATGGCTCTAACATTCCGAGGTAAGTCAATCATTGAATCATTTTTATAAACTAAAGATTATAGCCATTCAATTGCAATCATCTGAGCTTTCTGAAATCAATCAACTAAGCCATGAATGATGTTATGATTAATGTATTACAAATAGCATCAATGCACTGCTGTTGCACACCGAGTGCTAGCTTTACCTTGGGCCAGTTAATACCATCCTATTCTTGCCCGAAAAAAATTTTAAACTGCGTGTTTAAATAATTAAATTTACAGCATATATGAATCGGGTTATAGGGCATAAGACATGAAGTAACCTGCGTCTCGTCCGGCACAGTGATCTTGTCATCATCTCGCAAAAAAATTTTTCCTTGACTGTCAAAATAATTTCTTTACACTCACCAAAGATAAATACCGAGTGTGTCCTAAAACGCTTGTACCGTTTACTGTTTATGCTGCATGTATGAAAGTCGACCATACAATATTACAGACAATTAAATACTGGAAACCTTGCTTTCATTTACCAAAACAGGTGAAGAGTGATTCATTCACGATTAACAAAAAATCTATTGCCGTCAAATGGATTAATAAATATATATAATCAAAAATTTATGCATACTCAAAAATCTATGAAAATTGAGGACGTTGACATCTATATCGCATGTACAGAAGGCAATACCATTATAGAGTCGTTATGATCATTGATAAACATCCTGGATCTTTGATGTAGCTATTATTCTAACAACATCCATAGTTACTATCATATATACCTACCTTAGAATTATCCTCAGTATTGACTGCCTCGTCTAGACCCGTGTGATCAAACTGTCGTTCCACGGAAAGCAAATGATGAGCTTTTGTTAGCTCAGCTTCAAGTGAAGCACTTCTGTTGGAGCTCCTCCTTCCTCTATCACTATTCTTTCTTTCAACCTCAGAACTCTGAAAAAATAAACATAAATTATTAGAAAGAACATCAATATCATAATACAATAGCTGAATATGCAGATATTGCGTGAACTTCTAACTTCTATTAACAGATGCTGGTTATATGTTCACCAATTATTTCATTTAAAACGATCATGGAAAATCTTTATGTAAAATCATAAAACGCTAAAGATTTCTGGCTACATACCTTTGACGATTTTTGTTCCTTTTTCCGAGTTGGAAGAAGATTCGCCTCAGTAAGAATGCTAAAGAGATATAATGTACTTAAAACAATTACCCTGAAACACACACACTCAACAACACAAGGTTAACAAAATCTCCAATATTACATAGATGTTATTGCAATGCAATTGTGCAGAATCCCCTGCAACTATCTACTAAAAAAGAGTAATTTTATGCACGAACTAGTTGATTACAAGTCCTTCCTGACCTCAATCTTATCTTTCAAAATGGTACTAAGTGGTACTAACCTGTTTGCATCCCGATGAGATAAATTGTATTTTTTTGTCGCCTCCTTTCCCTTCAGGAAAACAATTATGCCCAGATTTTGTAAACTTATTATTATGTAAACCCATTATACATTTTTACATACATATAATGAAGCTTATTTTTTTATCAATACTTTCAAATTAATGAAAATATTGTAATACAGTATATTTTCAGACTTTCTACAGCAAGCTCAGCTACAATTGCTTGTCCTGTCTAAACCAACAACCTATGGGTGTCACTTGCTGTGGCTTAAAATATCACGTGTCTACTACTTTCAAACTAACCTTATCTTGCGTTTGAGCTGCTATTGCAAGGTACTTAAAAATATGCCCTCTACCTCTTGTGCATAACTGGAAAAACAAAAAATATCTCATTAAAATACATACAAAAGACATATCCCTACAGAAGGGTCAACCATCTCACATCTCCCACTAAGAGGTTGCATTCCCTGCAGGTCGAATTTTTAGTAGTTATTGTAATTAAAAGAGATGAGTTTTAAAGTTTATAAGTTGCTGTGATTAAAAAGATCTTGATATTCTCTTAATATGGAAACAAATGGGGCAATTATCATACCATATAAATACATAGTATCAAATGTGGTATAACAACTGTAGTTAGTCCTAACTCTCCTGACGAAAGCCTTCAGGTCAAAACATTGAGAAGTGTTTTGTCTATTTTAGGCAGTTGTTATACCACATTTGATGCTAAGTTATTTGAAGACAATGCCATGCTGCCTGGTTATTTTGGAATATATGGCAAATTACACACTTGGAAGAAAAATAGCAGGAAGATTAACTAATTAATCAAGTCTGAGATCAATGGCAAAGAACATGATATGAATAACTCCTTGGTTCAATATTATCTTGTCAAATGAAAGAGTACTATCTTCTTTATAGAACAAAGTAAAAAGATAAATGGCTTATCTCAAATTTTTCTGAAGACATGCTGATGTAATGCTTGGTGAAATGATGACAGTTGTTCCAGAAAAGGGCGATTCATTGAATAAATGTTGTTTCAAAAAAGTAGTGGAACTGCCCCTAGAGCCTTTGGGGTGCAACACACTACACTTATTACTATCAGACAATGTTATTTATAATGATTACCTGAGCTGGTGGTGACTGAAGAGGATTATTGCCTAACACTAAGTCAGTTAACGTTGTTAAAAATCGAAACACAGTTGGTATAACTGTTATTCTGTTGCAGGAGAAATCCAGTTTTTCTAACTTTAATTTGCATATTTCTAGAAAACAGAAAATGTTGGTAGAGCTCATATAATCACCTGGCCAACAAACCAGGGCAACAGCCAAGTAATCATAAAGATGAAACAAACTTTTTCTTTTGTATTTTCATAAAAAATAATTAAGACCTATTGGCCTAAAGGTCACAAAGAAGGTGCCAGCTAGGTCATAGTATTTTTACCTAATTTGGGCAATTGTTATATAATATCTTATGAGAAGTTACTTGCAAGTCCTGCTACGTTGATGCTGCTTCTTGGTTATATTTCCATTTCATTATAATAATTTAAATATTACAGATATTCATTCCATCATCATGCTATCCTTTATCCTTTTTCAGCGCTTTTGCTATAGCAAAAATGGTTCTTCTAAAAAGAACTTACCATCAGGTAGTTGCTCTAACTGATTTTGATGAACATTTAATTCTCTTAATGTTGACAATTCACCAATACTGCTTGGTAGAGATGTCAACTCATTAGAACTTAGATTCTAGAAGAAAAAGATTAACAAGTCTTTAATGAAAAAGCATGATTGCATCAAGCCTACATGGCAAAAAATGCTCAAGTTGTTCCCAGTTGATAAAAACAGGCCTAAACAATTTGTGCTGCACCTATGAACAATGTTGTCAACAATGTGTTGCAATATTGTTAAGCGTAACAAGGTGGAACAACATTGTTGATAACATTGTTCATGGGGTGCAGCAGAACATAGGCATGAGGCCTGTTCTCATCAACCGGGAACATCTTGAGCGTTTTTTGCCATGTACAATATTCTAAAAGACAACCAAATGGAATTTTAAGCAAGATCTCAAAAATGTTCTACTCGAATATACTAAACGGTAACTCACCAAATATTGTATATGCTTTAAATGACAAATTTCATCAGGAATACATGATAATTTATTATTGCTGATAATCAAAACTTGTAGAGGGAGACCACATACATGATCTGGCAATCTTTGTAGTTGATTTTTGCTTAAAAGAAATCATATCATTATGTTAGAACGTATAAATACTATGACCAAGTGTAGATAACATTCAGTAGTCAGTTTAGTATTTTTGTAAGCCTGATATACTAGGCTCAAGGTTAATAGAGCAGGCTAGATAAATTATACTATCTGTTGTTTGTAGAAAGTATGCTACAAAGACAATGGAAATAAATTTTAATGCACTAATGTTTTCTTGCACTGATGATTTAATCACACCCCTCTTTAGCCTTGTGTATGAAAGCCTTGTAGCCATATTTTTAGGATAAGTATTAAAAGTGTGAGAGAATATGCACAAATGTTAAATAATTAATGTAGCCAATTAAAGCTTGAAACAAAAGCAATAACCTTATTGCCTAAAGTAATAAAAATATTCACAGTTTCAAAAAACAAATAAGATGTAAAAAGTTTACATCATTTACATATATGTCATAATGTCAAGTATGCCATGTTGATATCTAATATCATATACACATTTTTAGTTTTTTCAGACAGCTTGAAACAAAAAGGTAATTTTTAATATTTTGTTACTATCGAACTCTTAATAATATTTTTAATTATAATTTATTAATTAACATGTTTTGTTCTGGTCATTATTTTCAAATTACTTATGCACGGCTGTCAACAAATTCATTTTCGGTATTTACTTGAAAAATAAGGGAAATACTTCTCGATTAACTCACCTAAGATTAAGCCATGTAAGAGAAGTGAGACGGCTCGTGTCAGCAATAGTCCTGATAGAATTATGATGACAATTTAATCTTTCCAACATTACAAACTCACATACTACCGCAGGTAATTCGAAAAAGCGATTTTTTGAAATATCTGAAAGGAGTGAAGATATTATAAGTTAATAATTACTTAGACAATGTTAAAATGTGTCCAAGAAAGAGTGCAGAGTACTGACCACATTCAATAACATCTATCAGCTCGCATTCTTCAGGATGTTCGGGAAATTCTTTCAAATTACGAGCACACAACTCAAGTATTCCAGTATCTTCAGCATCGAAAAAACAGCGATCTACACTAATATTCTTCCCTGCCATATTCTTGAGAGCATTTTAAGTAGACCGTGATATTTAAACAATATAAAATGATATTTCACACCGACACACCTTCATCTCTTTTTAGCCGGATTTGACATTCTCTCGGTCGCCATTGTTCTTACGAGACCTCGCTACGAACACCTCAAAACAGCGGTGTTCATATATAGATGACGTCATTCGTTAATGTTTTATTTTAATTTAGTAAAGATATGAACACTCGGGGCAAAATTTTTTTTTGCGAGGCATAAAGTACTTTAACATACAGCGTTGTGCAAAAGTTTTACAAACAAACCTTTTTACAAACAATATCAACATATCTTAGGAATTAAAATGACAATGACTGTCACTCGTACTTTCGACTAGTGTGTGAATACACTCAGCCTAACATTTTCAGTCCGCGAGAAAACGCCGTATTCGACCATGGTCCAGTCTACCCCGGAAAATGGTGAATTCGACCATGGTGGAGACCGCCGGAAAATGGCGTATTCGACCATGGTCGAGTCTACCCAAAAACGGCGTATCGACGATGGTCGAGTGTACCGGAAAATGGCGTATTCCAAACTCAAGGAGGCTCCTTAAATACGCAAACACAAACTAGACCTTAACAAACCGGTTCAGCATTTTAATACTATTTCCCAGTAGTTATAATTTTTTGGGTTGTGTGATGGAAGCCCATTGCCATCGCGCTTTGAGAAGAAGCGGACTATGAGAACACTGGGCCGGATTGTAACATACGAAATTCCATTTAAAAAAAATATTTTGTACTTTTTTTAATTTTTTTGTCTTTCTTCATATATTTTTCTCTTAAATTTTTAATAAATATTTTCACTAGCCTCTGTCAATTTAATGAACAATGGGCCACCATACGATTTAAAATTATCGAGAAAAAATCACTGAAAAAATTCGAAAAACGCACACGTTTCGAGCGTGTCAGCGGATTGTCACGTAAAAGGTGTTACTGACAGCGCATTGGCACAAAAAAATGAGTAGAAATATAAAACCTTGGTTTTATACAATCAGAAAACACCCAAAGAAGTGCATTTTTGCTACCGCTGTAGGCCTATGGGGGGTGAATTTTGCTGTTAAACAGTTTAGGTGAGTCATTTTTTCATTTTGGTAGATGAAAAATTTAAAGTCAAAGTTTCTGCGACACTTTTTTGGTTGTGAAAGGTCCAGATAATTTAATAGGCCATGTTTGCAGGGAGATCTCGGCTAGAGTTGTATTTGAAATATTTTTAAAACCAAATAAATTGTGAAATGTGAAAAGGTCACATATTCCTTCCTAAAGTCTCTACACATTTGTTTATTCTACTTTAGAGATTATTTGCAAAGAAGAGAGTTCTGTTTTAAAGGAAAGGTAAGTACAGTACAGGTTGGGTATGCACATGCATTTTGAATCTATTCAGAATGCACATATTTTAAAAGTACAGTGTATATTATTCTCTTCTACCTAAGAAATATGGAGATGAAAAAATTTTGGCAATAAAAAGGCCAAGAAGATTGCTGCTGTTTCTTAACCCAGAGGCAAATGATGGGTAAGTAGACTGCATGTGCTGTATAATATCTATTGTCATATTAGAAAAAATTGACCAATCTAACAATTTACCACTGTTTACATAATAATTAGTGTTTTTATATGCTAAGTGAACTAGAATGACAAGAGCAAGACTAAAAAAATTATTATACATCATATATATCATATTATATTGTACATATAAGTAGCTCTAATTACTTCAATCATAAATTTCTTGTGTGCAGGAAAGCATTGAAATCATATGAAAGAGATGCTGCTCCTATTTTACATCTTGGAGGAGTAGAAATTACCACAATCAAGGTACAATGATGCTACTATTAGGTATAGGCATACTGGATGGGGATGGGCAGCCTCTAAAAACTTTTGAGTCAGGTAATTTTTACTGAAATCATTTGCCTACCCCCCTCCCCTAAATTTTTAAACTTCTATATATGCCTATGAAGGTGAAATTATTATTACTAATATCCTGGTTAACTTATGATATGATATTTTGCTAATTTAGACTGATTATGAAGGTCAGTGTAAAGCACTCACTCAATATCTTGATCCAAGTATAGATGGAATTGTTATTGCAGGTGGTGATGGTACGTTCTTAGAGGTATGTATAGTGGACTATAGCAGATGCAAATTCTCTATGTGATTCCAGGCCTAATTTAAATATTTTCCTGTCAGGTACTTACTGGTCTGTTAAGAAGAAAAGACCAGGTATTTTGTTATATTTACATGGCTTCCTTTGCTTCACCTAATGGTTTTTTACACTAGCTAGCATCTGATGTCTATGAGTTGAAATTTAAAGTTATAATATATATGTGTATTATGATATTTCAAATGTTTCGCACAGAATGAAATTTCTAAAATTCCTATTGGAATCATTCCTCTTGGTCATGACAACCGCAGTTACAGAAGTATTATTAATGATTCTTCTGATGGAAATGTTGTGTAAGAATTTATAAATAAATAAATAGATAGAATTGTTTCTTTTGATTAATTGAAGAGAGATAACCTGTAACTAAATCATAACATCTGCATCACATGATCATCAACAAAGCCAAATTAAGAAGCATATTTGATGGTCACACAGGTTTCAAAATGCAAGATTTCTTGAGCCCTATAGCTAGTTGATTAAATTTAATTGCATTCTATTAATTATTATTACATGATCACAGTACAATTAAAAACAAGACAAGAATAAATTAGTCTGTAAATAAAGTCTTACAACAATTACTGCATTCAATACTTTCTTAGAGGAGCATAGGCCATCGTCCTTCATTTAGGCTGCCCTCTCTACTGCATACAATAGCTACTACATATGATTATGAGTGGAAACGTACGACAGTAATCTACAAAAACAATTTATAAAAGAAGGGACGTCATAGGTAGAAGGTAGCATTATCAGTATATAAAAGAGGCAGTCTTTATTTTTCCTAGGAAAATAGCGAAGTCCGCCCTCAATATTTTGGACAACAAAACGAAGAATGTAAGCGTGATGGAAATCACAGTAAGTTTCTATTTCAGACAATTTTTTTTTTGAATTCTTTTTGGGAAGAGAATTGATACAAAAATAACGAATGGCCTTCAAAAGAAGAGCATGAGAAGCTTTGACAACAAATGTTGAGTCTTTTTTTATTAAGAATGAGGCACGTTAATTCTTATAGAGCGAAAGCACTAACTGCGATGTCGAAATGCTGGAGCCAGCTGGGCCATAAATGCAATACAATCCGGACTCGTTCTCCATTATTTCCCTCTTAGAGAACGAATAAACAAATTATAGTATTACGGGTGAAAACCCCGATAACTTTTTGCATTCTTGCAATTTTTTTCACCCTCATTCTCGTGAATGATAACCTCTGCGATTATACTCCGAACGAGTACTGGGGTTGAATAATTGACGGTCATTATTAATTAAACATCGCTGTGATATTTTGCAGACAACTGAAGGGAAACCAACCTATGCAGTCAGTCATATTGAATGGGGACCTTTACAAGATGCAAAAGAAAATAAAAGGTATCTCTCTTTTTAGAACAAACTGAAGTTGTATGTAAAATGACTTACACAACAATGTGGTTGCATGATTTTTTTAGATTTTGGTGGACAGGACCATTGAAACGACGTTTACCATACCTTCTAGCAACGTTAAAGGTGATTTATGATTCACCTGTAGCAAGTTGTGAGATTCTAATATGTGTGCATAAGAGGATCAAACTACAGTACCCGGAAAATATAAAATTATTTTTCTAGACTTGACAAAATCGTAGATTAGACAAAACAAACGTAAAACAGAATGTCGAATGTAAACAGGACATGCAGTTTTAGGTGCAAGCATTATTTTTTAGTTTTTGCCATAATTTTCTAACGTGTTAACTTGCAACAGAAATGGCCGCCGTCAGTTTCAGCACAACTATCATACATATCAACAACACAAGATCATGATACGACTTCAAAATTCGACGGAGAGGCTCCAGAACTACTTCATGCCACTACATCAAATCATTCGATTGAACTTAGAGAAACGGTAGAAGAAAAAACGTTGGAAAAAAGCAGCCAAGTTTCCTTAGTTGGATTCTTTGTCAATTTATTCCAAGATACGGTACGTTCATTTAAGAAGACATTAAGGTTATGTACTGTATATATCCTTTGCAGTTGATGAAAATATTGCTTTTTCTTAATGCAGCCAATGTAAAACAAATAAAGCACCATGCATATACTGTATATGTTAATAATACATACAAATATACCATTCTCATCTTACCATATTTTGAATTCCTTTCACATTGTAGAAAGAAACATTTTTGCAGACATCAATGTTTTCGTCAGATTTGAATAAACTTGACTTCATAAAATGCGGGTAAGTTGTGCTTTATTGTAATTTCTAGATTATGTACATAATATTTAGAACATACATAGGCACGAGCGTTTTACCCCTTATAAAGTACGAGACAAAGCGAAGATCTTCGTGTAACAGAGAACTTTTGAAAATGGGCAGCATATGGCATGAAGAATGGTTTATATAATGTAAATTACCATGACCATGCAATAAATTACTTTAATCTTTCCCCTAATTTTTGTATAGTTGGAGACGGGAACGTGAAGGAATCCTCTCTAATCGTATGTATACACTCTGACTCAATTGAATGCCATCCATAACTTGTGATGAAAATATTCTTTACTTTGAGTGAAGAGTGTAGAGTGCATATAGTCGTATCCAAGTCGAATCTCCGTGTAACATTTCCTTCACTTACAGAAGAAATGAAAACAACTGAAACAACGGAATTTTATCTCAGGCCCATGAATGATCAGGTAGAATGTTTTATATCTTCGATGCTGTCATCCATTGTTCGACTTTAGTTTCTCTTACAACCGGCCCTATAGCAGGCTTTTGACTTTTCATAAATCTCTGGCGTTTTTTCATCTATTAATAGATATGTGTACATTCAGCATCACGAGTTATTTTCTTTTTTATGTTTTTTAGACTTCCTGGTACACAATTGATGGTGAAAAATTTGAGGCAAGACCAATTCACGTAAAGATTTTACCAAACAAAATTAGAGTGTTTTGTCCTTCAACGTAGTCGGGTGTGACCAAATGGGGAGAGAGTTAGCCACACAAGAGAGGCGAGGTGTAATTAGAAGTTGCTGTTCAACCTTGCGACTTGTGTTTGCACAGCAAAGCCGCAAACTTTATCACCGTTACTGTCATTGGGTGCTCAGTATGACCTTCGTCAACGTCATCACTGTCCAATGATATTCTCCAATTTTGATGTCGAAAAACGTTTCCCTGCCTTGCAATTTGAAAGTACCTTTTGTGACCGCATGCATGCACATGATGTGAAAAATGTTCAATGTGTCCAATCAAATGTTGCGCTTTTTCAAGAGCTTTTTGTTTGTCATATAATTATTCATCTTGTCCCTATCCTTTTACTAAGTGTTTCCTAAGTATCATCATTCAATATATCGTACGTGTTCATTAGTACAACACACAATAATCCATTCTGGGGTGAACTACGTAAAAATGAAATAATCACAGCAGGTTAGTGTGGAGCTAGAAATAAACTGCATATATTTACAACAAAAATCAGAACAACTCTCAGAACTGAACTTGGGCTACGGCTGGTTGTTCTAATATCCCGGTAGTGCGTTAACCAAACAACAGACGTTTCATTGAGACGAACAGATATTCAAAAAGAGATATATGCAATATAGACGCCTGCATTCGTGTATCCGAATATATGACCAATATTGCCAACCACAATCAGATTTCAACTACTTACTTTTAGCTACAAATAAAAGCCTGCAAAGCGCACGGACACACCTTGTTTCGTGACATGACAACGCCTTGTCAAAAGCATTTCACGCCCAGGAAATAACATAACGCAGACAACTGAAGAGATATTTCATTAGCAAGCCCATTTCTTCTCATTACAAATCTCACATGCTGTCTTAGGCTGGTTCACTCCAAAAGGCAAAACCCTATTTTTACGTGCGAGTCGTGTTGCCCAAATTTCGAAATATTAGCTAAACCTTGACCTTGTCATTTTGTCTTAAAACTTGCGACTTTTTCCTGTACGTTGTTGCTTATAGCCCCGCCCATGGTCATTTTTTATTCTAAGGAAGGGAGGGTGTATTATCAAGTTTGGATGGTCCTGATTTTTCAGAGCAAATATATATTTATGTTGCATAACAGTGATGATGAATGTAATAATTGGGAGTACGGCGATAAAGAGCGATTTTTTAAAGAAACCGATGAAAAGAAAAAGAGTGCATTTTTATTCAGTGTATTTTGAAATATTTGTTTACCCACCCCACCCTAGTGTTTTTCGCGCACTTGGGCGTGGCTTGTTCTGCGGCTTTGTTTAGATGTGAAATAAAAAGAAACGAAGTATGGCGTCGAATAGCAACGACAAAGAAACTATGACTAAACCTAAAGTTAAAATGCAAGACCAAGCTTGCCAGTTTGATTCTTCGTTACTAGAAGGTTGGGAAGTCCTACCTTGATTAATTCCCGTTTGATATTGACTCGCAAATAAACTTATGCTCACATATTTTCCTTTATATAGATGCCCCAACAATGTGTGATGCATGTACATCAGTGCCAAGGTAAGGTTATCTTGTTCATTCAATCTTTTCTAACACGCACCATCTAAAATACGACATTGCGTGTATGAATGTCAGTTTATTTCGCTGTCGAACTTAGAAATACGTGTATGCCAAATTAGAACGTTTAATAAGCTTATGCCTTTTAAATTACAGGACGTTCGTAAAAGTGGCTTAATTCAAAAAAAAATGCTTGAACGTGATTGAAAACCCAAATGTTTTATACGAGTTGGATATAGTATATATAAATTTATGTAATAACGAGATTTCGTTTAGACATAAACCAGCGATTTTACAATTATACTCTATTGAATTAATACGGGCAACCAACTAAAAGTTTTAAAAGGACTGATTGATCCTAAAAATGGCATCATTCACTAATAGCCTCCCGGCTTTTGGTAATATTTTTATTGTCAATTTCTACATAAACGTATCAAGGCAGTATTTTACAAATTTCAATTGTAAATCTTTTAGATACTTTTGAGATACTTTAAATGTATTGAATGTGAAATGATCACCAGATTTTATTTAGTACTAATTAGGAAAAGGCCATTTATGATGGTGTACCTGCATAGGTTTTACCAATTTAGTGACCTTTCTTGTAGTCTTGAGCTCTTGAAGCTTATGAAGTTGTTTTGTTTGCATATTTAGCCTAAATGTGTACAGTAAGGTTATAAGTTACAAGCTTTCTTTCCCTATGTTATTGGTAATTCTCAGCTACCAATGGTGTAAATATGATAATTATATCAGTAACTTATCAGGTGGCAAGATGCCAACCTCTTAATTTTACTCTGTCCAACACCAGAGAACTTCACTGACCTGACACTTGACAACTCTTGATTTAAGTTCTCTTTTGAAATTTTTTTTAATTGTTTGCTTTTGCCTTAGAGTAAAGTTTGTTGTGAGGTTTTGAAGTTTGTTTCAATGATTTGTATCAATATGTGTAGGATAGCCAAATAATTTAATTAGTTGACATTTTATGCTTAGCTAATCACAGTAAATCATGAAGAAACCAATTTTAGAGCTAATTGTGTGTAAGTGAATTGGAGTCATGGTCAAAGAAGGAGAAAAGAATTAAAAAACAGAATTTAAAATTTTAATAAATTTTAAAACATTACAGTCCATAACATGAACAAATGCTTCGATACTATGCAAAATTTGGAGAATTTTAAAACAGGGAGTTATCAGCAGAATCGATATACTGAAGCTGCTATAACCCCTTAAGATATCTTACACAGTTGCACTTGTGTGGTTTCTTATATTGATTCCATATGTACCAATAATAGTATGCTATACAATACTAAAATACAATAAAATACTAAAAAATGTCTAATTACTTTGGAAACCAGGCATATTGTTATTATATTTCCAAAAGCAAATAACAAGCAATCTATGCCTCGATACCTAATACTATTTCTGTATTTAGTCCAACAGATGCTGTAAGAAATTGTCTGCAGAGAATCATTAAGGTAGAAATAATTTGTTTCATATGTAGTTCACCCTATAATTTGGCAGTCTACACCCCACCCTATTATGAAAACTTCTTGTTGAAAATTAAAAGTTATGATTTAATATGCAGGAATAGAGACAGTTGAACATTTCTTACCAGCAATGTATCACATAATATTAGTGTTGCCAACATACAATTATTCTTTTGTACTCAAGTTTGAGTGATTTTCACCTCCCAATATGTCCCTCTTGAACAATTCCACCCAGCTTGTTCCTATTCTATTTTTTTAAAGTACCGTATGATAACTTTACACCAATTTTGAATAGTTAAATTGGCATTTTGTTAAAATGTTAAATGCATTTTCTTAGTATGAAGCAGATCCATATGACAACTGTGTTCCCATAATAAGAGCTGAAGATTTTTCAGAAGAGGTAAAGCATAACTTATATTCACTGCAGGATTATTTGTGATTATAATATCAGTTTGTTTTCAATGTTAAGTGACAGTGATCCTACACTAGATGGCAAATAATGACAAATCTTTTGTTGACACAAAAAAGCTTCATCAGGTTTACCCACTATCAGAACTAAAGCCTGGCATGTGCTTGAGATATAAAAATCACACGAAGCACGCATAAATTGTGTCAACTTTATTCTTTAAAGAAATCACACTAAATTTACAATTAGAAACCTTCCAACATCATTCAGCATTTCTATACTGCACCAACAGCCACAGTAACCCTGCAAATGCGGAGCAAATTTCAATTTCAGAGCTACTAAAGTAGCGAAGTACGCAAAAAATAGAAATACAACGCCAATATTGCCAAAACCAACTGTCACAAATTTCAAGAAAGGATAGAAGAACCTTCCGTTCGTTCCATGTTGCATGTTTAACGTAGAATAACGCCTATCACATGAATCTCATACCTTGCACCCCTGCTACAATTAAATATTAATGTTTCAGAACAAGAGGACAATGGATATAAAACAACTTCGTTCAACTCGCTGAGCGTTCTTCATACCATTTAAAACACGTTTCAAGATAAACCGCAGAGATAGAAAGTGCAAGCACGTTATTGAACTGATACATTTAGTACTTTAACGTAACGTACCGTATTTAATTAAGATGTAATGAAAATTATCTTAAGGTGCATTTTCTTTTTTTCTAAATAAAAGAAAGAACGAAGCACTATGTGCCTCAATGAAAAGATCATAATTTGCTATTCTGGGTAGTATGCTTACTTCACTGAAGGAAAACGTACTGTACTCTGATATTGAATTATAAAAGGGATGCTGTATGTTTTTTCGTTGACCCAAATGAAATCTGTTCTGTAGAATGAAGGTGCAGAAAAATATCATGACCCAGTCAATGGTAATGATAGTCCAGTTTCAATGACAGTCATCAGAAGTATTGGTAATGTTGTAAGCAGTGATCAAGAGCCTGGGGATGATTGGAGTGATAACCCTAACACAGTGACATCATCATTAGCTGGTCTGTCATCGTTGGCTGTTGCTGTAAAAAAGTAAGTTGTAGTTCCTTATTGTTCAAGGTGTTGAAAATCCGTAATAACACAGGATTATCCAATCAAATATACTGATCAATTTGATAATGATAATAATTTGTATCAATAAATGTAGAGTGATACCTCGTCAAGATGATGATGAAACAATGGAAGAGACTGTGATGGCAAATCCACACACACTCGGATTAACTGGGTAGGTCATATACTGTATCCTGTAAGGACCAATTTCACCATGAACAGTTGCTACACAAGAAAGTTCAATTTCTTCAGTTGCAATAATGCTTGACTACTTTTATCTTTATACAACTTGTTGATGCATTATTTACGTTGAGAATTTCTTTTGTTAAGCGATAAATCTCGGCGAAGGATCCACAAATGTGATTTCGCCGGCTGCAGTAAGGTTTACACAAAAAGTTCGCATTTAAAAGCTCATCGGCGAACACATACTGGAGAAAAACCTTACAAGTGCTCATGGGAAGGATGCACGTGGCGATTTGCACGATCAGATGAACTTACCAGACATTTCCGCAAACATACTGGGGCTAAACCTTTCAAATGCCCACATTGTGAACGATCCTTTTCGAGATCAGATCATTTGTCGTTGCACATGAAACGTCACTGACCGTGCATGTCAACTCAACAATCTAGAATGGCCTGAACCATGGGAGGAATCACTCTGGACAGCAATCAGTGAATACATCATATTAAGTAAGAGTTGGGTGAAAGTTAAACCATTCATCCCTAAGTCATCTATTGTCATCAGAAAGTCCATTGTTTTGTCGTGGAACAGCGAGTGCACTCTTAACCTCAGTTTTATTGAGGTGAGTTTAACTGTTAAATAATTCTTGGTGGTAATGTGTATGTATGTGCGATGGCTTAAATGTTAATGTTAGACATAATTGTCATAATTACGATTTCTTAAAATAATATCACACTATAGATGGCGAATGTAAATTGCGTAGCGTATATAGAAGGAACATTAGTTTGTATAATGATTTGTATAATAGTTTGATTCCTAATATAGTAGGTGATAGATAATTAATAGTCGATTAATTAATCTATTACGTCTCGTTCCGTTATGTTTTGTCCGCGAGTAATCATTTATTCATGTGGAAATGAATATAGGTTTGTTTTTATATTTATTCTTCTAACGAATTAAATCAGTAAAATTTAGCAACTAATTAGTCCAAGTGTTACAAGAATATCACTTTTATTATTCATATCTATTTAGTTTTAATCGTCCACTTTATATCCAGAACCGAGGGAGATCTATTGCCTGTTTGTTGCGGTCATTTGGCCTTTAGACTGATGTTTGCAGATGTAACTTAGATGGATTTAGCTTCCACATTGAAATCAGTTAGCTGAGGGAAATTTAGTTTCCAGGGCCAGATATGAACTTTGGCCGAGAAAACCTACCGGGAGTTTGACAGTTGTCGTGTTACTAGAATGAGAGAATATATGCACAATTACAAACTGCAAAATGACTGCAAACAAACCGACAGTACATCTTATCTCGGTAGTTTTGTTGATGTGAACTTAAATACTTTGACCTGTGCCTGGTATCAGAGCATTTATGAGTATTCCTGGTGTGTATTCATATTTGCCATGCCTGAATGCTATATTAAGGTGCTTATTGCAGTACTGTTCTCCTAATAGGATTGTTTATTTGTGAGCAGTTGAAGTAGAAACATGTACGCTTGTGTTGTTCTTGTATACTGTCATGTATACTACTCCAGTTCCCACCAGATTGCATGAAACTTCAACGTATCCCTGTAGTCTGAATCTACCCAATGTTTTTTACCTGTTAGATTCACGCACCGTTCAAAAATTGCTATTATATGTGCATGGAAATACCAGTAGTAGTAGTAATAGTAGCTAGAGTAAAAATGAAACTGCTTAACAAAAAAAAACGTTTTAAAGAGAACAATTATATGCGATCAGAGCAACGAGGTGATTCCGGGTTGTCTGTCTCTGGGCAGAAATGTAGCTACTTGCCTGGTGTAAGTTACTGCGTATGTAAATATAGATAGTTTTTAAACAAAAATATGTAAATTTTCTTGACCTATATATACATATATATGTTAATACATATCTCTTAATATGTCTGTGGAATTATTTACTGTTTTCCAGCAAAAAAAGAAAAAATGAAAAACGGACGCATCATTTTCATGTATCCAACTTTTTTATTGAACCTCAATTCATTAATTTCGCCCACCTGGCCGTAAGATAGTCATTTTTTCAATGTATTCGTTTCAATTCTATATAGTTACTGATGGAAAGAAAACTATTACCGGCCAAATTTATCATCAATAGCGATGTGTCGCTTTTAAACAAGGAAGCGATTTATCAAGGCTCTACGCCATATGTGAAATAATGGCTTTGTATGTCCAAAAAGCATGTAATTCGTTTTGCTCTCATTCCGTTAAAAATAACAGAGTGCATTTCCTAACTGCAAATCAGGGCCAGGAAATTTGATGAGGCCACATGGGAAATTACAACCATGTGGATTAATTTACATTACGGTCACCTATGTTTGGCTTAATTATTCAGTAATCTTGGCGACCCTGATTAGTGCAAGGTAAAGAAAACAAAGGGTTGATGTGATGGTGTTTGTTCTAGTAATTCAGTGAATCGTATGCTGCTGCGACGTCTCAATGATTGATTGCCAAGACGGCCAAAGATGCGGGGATAAGGAAAACGGGTGAAATTATTCTGATTTCGAGATGCAGTCGGTTGCATGAACCTCGTTCATGCAGGATTTTTTTCAAAGACAAATTGCCGTGTGTGTAAGAATATAAAAAATTTGCCATTGATTCGAAAAAAAAATTGCATGCAAAAAGTCCTTAGTCCAGGTCAAGTCTGATGTATGGTGATCGTTAGGTGCATGGTTGATGGTCCCTCGATTGCCTGAACGAGCTTGAATTACCGTATTACGTAGCCTTTTAATATTAACAAAAATAGGCTTAAAATTAATAGCTGAATGCAATATGATTTAATACTATATGAAACTGCTTTTCAATTCTCGAATTATTACGACTGTCGCCGCGACAGACAGGCCACATTCAGTCACAGTCACCTAGATTTCCAAACTCCAAAGGAATCAAAATAGTCGTATCAATAAAAATGGTGTTTCCCTGTCGAGGGTTGAAGTACAAAAATAACCCCTCCATACTAGTATGAGGTTAAGAGCTGTTCAGATTTTTTCGCATTCCAGTTTTCAAAGGTCACCTTGGAAGCGGTCTTGGTCTCTTAGGCAGTGAAGGCTCCAACCTGTATTTATCGTTTTATTTGGTGAGAGGAAATGTTTGGGCTTGCAAACACTTGGAAGGTTAGGAAATTTGTGCTTTTTAGTTACTCATCATTCTTGAGGTTAGCGTTCGTTTGTTATTTTTGCGTTACTCCAGTAGAAAGGTATGCGTACAATCCTTTCTATGACTATGGAATTAGTATTCTTTTGCATCAAGCACACAATTTTTCTTGTGAATTAAATTTACACAAATGCTCTGATTTCGGTGAGTCGTTCTATCAGATTAGTTTAGCAGTAATAATTTGAAATTTATTCAAAAGTTTAGTTTTAGAAACTTATTTGATCCAAAGTTAGCAACGCCATTTTGGCAGGTCAGGGGGGGGCACAGCTTGGTCAAATACAACGCAGTAAAAACTATATAATTCTGATTCTTCCATGAGTAGAAATGTTTAAATAAAAAGAACCCAATTTATATTTGTGAAGTTTATTTTATAAAATACAAAATAAATAAGTTCTTTTCTCTTTAATTTAATTTTACAGTACTATGATTATCATAGATACAATTATATACAATATATCTGAACAACAGGCCTGCTTTTGTTCAATGTTCAAGACAATGTTCAAGAAGCGAATAGAAAAGTAAAGTCTTTGTCTTTACAAATTGAATAAAAAATGAAGTCGCCATTGATAATCCGAGACATGGCTATATACAGGAGCTTGCAGGGATTTTATTGCGTATGTCTTTTCATATGTAATGCAAGATGATCTGATCTGCTAAATGCTCTTTCACAATGTTGACATTTAAATGGCTTGGCCCCAGTATGTTTACGAAAATGTCTGGTAAGTTCATCCGACCGAGCAAAGCGCCATGTACAACCTTCCCATGAGCACTTGTAAGGTTTTTCTCCAGTATGTGTCCTCTGGTGAGCTTTAAGATGTGAGCTCTTTGTGTAGACTTTGGTACATCCAGGATGATCACAATGGTGTATTCTACGGCGTTGCAAGTCATCTGCTGGTGAATTTCGAACCTTGGATAGAGTGGGGTATGCAGGAGGAGGACGTATCAATATTGCAGGCCGAGGAATTGCATTCTCTGGGGATCCTGGGTTTGAACTTGGTGGTGTAGGTGGGTAGACAACCATACAATTTCTGAACTGTGGTGGACGAAAGTGATTAAAATTAATGTCTACAACTTGGCCAGACTCGGCCTGAGATGTGATTATCTTATCATGGTCTCCTAAATTTAGAAAAACACTTTCTTTTAGTTCTCTTTCTTTAACCTCCTCGACTTTCGCTGAGTTGTCAAAACTGAAGAATTCGCTAACGACATTCGCACTTTCTCGTCGGAATTTTCGCCTGCAACTTGGAAATGAAAACGGACTAATCGGCGAGGGAACAGCTGGTAAATATCTCTCCATTTCAGTCCTTACCTAGAAAAAAGTAAACACAATTATCAGTATTGTTTCACGCATGTGATTAACTACACAATATATACGACCGTCAATATTACATATTCTTATATTGAATAGACACTGCAATAACACGAGAGAAGCCAAATTTAGAAAAAGTATAATTTGGCTGGTCAGTATAAAGAACTGACTAGGCACCACGTATTGTCTATGGATCAGTAATATATTGTTTGTTAAAACGTCTCTATCAGTACAGCCTTAAAGTTATAGATTAGTTTATCTTTAGGGAAGCAATGAAATGTCAAATGGTTACAGCAAAATCAATCTGTAGCAAAATTTTGTATATTCGTGTCCTGACTTGGCAATGTCATTTAATATTGATTAGGCGGGATTTCTTTGACTTCAAGTAGTCACAAAAACAACATGAGACCAGCCTTCACTTATATTTATAAACGTGTTTTGAGGTTTTTTGCAATAAATATCGCAGTTCATTATTTCGAAATGCAGACCTAAAATTCACTTGCGCAGTTTGAAAAACAGCGTGTATGAAAGACAAAGAAACATGCGAAACGTGACCTTGTCCTTGCGCATCATAAGTAGATTGTTTTGATTTGAATAAAAAGGCAAATCTATGTAGCTTAGGTTTTAAACGTCAGAATTTAATTCAAAACCAAAATGTGCGGTTTGTTACGTCAAAATATCTCTATTTCGATGGAGTTCAATAGGTAGGAAATCGTTAATTCAATAAACGTAATTCTATCAACCAAACACTCTCGATATTATAAAGTCAATAAAATATATGAAACGTGAACCGTGAAAAACATTTCTTTATATCCATTTTATGACATACAGTTGCTTTTGAATCTTTCAATATAATGTAATTGACTAAACATAATAACTATAAGCCTCCCAGTAGGCTGTGATTTAATAGGATTGATAGAGGAACTAGGATTCTATACAATCATATTAAACTCACACCACATATAAACATAAAGATATTTGTATATCCAATGTATTTCCCATTCAAATGTGTGAACAGAAAGATTCCTCACTAACCGTAACATCGTCGGGAGAGTTTAAATCGACTCCAGAAGATAAATTCAGAGATCTAATCGCGACCACATTGGTATTGGTTAAACTCTGTAGTTGTGCGAATGGATGACCTTCTGCCATTGATGTCGTAGCTGTGGTGGTTTGTGGTTCATCCTTGACCACAGGAGCAGTCATTGCCATGCTATCTCGATATAAAACCCTAACTATATCTCCTTATTGTATATGATTTCCGAGCAAAACAAACCGAACAAAATCACTGCTACGCTCTTCAATAACGTGTTTTATAAGAGCGACTTCACAGTGGGATATGGGTGCGCCATTCTGGCATACCATATATGGTATAATCTCACTCAAGACCTGTCAATTGTGTTATTATCAAACTGACAGATATTCAGACAATACCATAGCATTGCGCTCTTATCCAATCACATCACAAGAAATGAATTTTTTTATGCTTATGACGTCAATGCGTCTTAAACATATTTAAATTTTAAGTACCGTGATTGGCTGTGTGTAATACAGTCCACTTGCGAATTTATGATAATCAGTTGTTAAATCAAAACAAATACTCATCTTTCTTTGTGAATATTTTACAGGATTGCACATTGCCAGAAAGAATTGATGAGGTAAAGAAAAGTTTTCAAGAACAGCAGGTTGTTCTCTGGAAAGTATGGTACATCCTTATATCAGCAACATGCTTTCATTTTTAACCAATATTTAACCCGTGTTCATATCACATGACCGATAGTTACATTGCAATATTTAACGCTTTATTACCCACCACGGTATTAAGGAAGTCCTAAAGTGACTTTGTTTAACAGTTTCCAAACAAAACGTTTACTTGATGATCTTTGTGGGTTAGTATTCTCGAAAACATTTTTTTAGCCTTAGCCTTAAAGGTGCGTTAAATTTTGAATCAAATAACTCTTTCGAGTTGAAGTGCGGTGAACTTGTTCATAGTATCGATAATTTCGTGTGAAAAGTCAACAAAAATACAAAATATTGTAAAAAATTCTCGTTGATCGTGAACTAGGTAAAAAACCCCATAAATATATCTTAAAATGCTGGTTGCTTGTAAGCGTCCTGTATACAAAGCCCTTCAAGTCGGTATATATTGCATACAAGGTACATAGGTTTAGGTGTCTCTGTTATAAGAGGTGATTACTTTTTCAGCGAACAACCGAACAACATTTGCATTTTATGATTCCTGTTTTTGAATGTGAAGCCACATACATACTGGAAGCTGTCAAGCTGTCATCCTGTCATCTCCACCCAATGACCTCTATGTCAAAGTCAATTACATTATTTACCATTCGGCAAATTCCCGCCGAGTTTCGTGGATCTCTGATTGGTGCGGAGATTTCCGACCGCGGGATATCGGAATGTTTCGGTTCTATTGATAGAAAAGACATGCAGCCGACGCCAATACGATTATGATCCGATGATAATATGCCGACTGTCGGTCTCGATGCTGTCCTCGGCGGAGTCCCACTAAATATCATGTTCAACAACCCTATGCGCATTGAAATAATTACCTACAGGGTGCAGATTGGGGCAATTTGGCAACTCGTATTAACCACTGCAATAAAAATATGCGATTATTTCTTGATCGTGCAGTCAGGGTGTCCAGTCAAAACGGCCCCAAGTTAAAACGGCCCCACTACTGCTAGTCAAAACGGCCGCGCGCTTATCGAGCTGCTTCAGTTTAATTGAATGAATATCTTATTTATTCGAAACAAATATATATATGTGTTCTAAATATGTTACAAATATGTTTAAAAAATTCTTTATTTAAGCATTTTGCGAACACATGTATCCATGATGTTGATGAGAATTTATTAGTATTAGTTAATAAGTAGCAAAAGCTTATTAGTAAGGGTTATAGGAAAACGTATATATAAAGTATAATTGCAGTTATTTATATCACACGTAAATATTTTTATTCCCCATATTATTGTCCGCCGTCTACAATCGCTTGAGCATGAGCCATTTTAACTTGGGGCCGTTTTGACTTGGGGCCGTTTTGACTGGTAAGCGCAGTCAGATATCATGTTATGATCCTTTTCGCAAATACCCACTCAACAGCAATGAAAACGATATCTACCCATGGCATGTGCTTACGCTGTCTGCCTGTCTCTAAATATTTCGATTTCATAAATATGTCACACAACGTGTGTCATGAATTTGATAGAAATATATTGAACTACGAGCTCAAAACAAAGAAAAGAGAGAAAGAGAAGAAATCAGTTACGCGATTATACGCAAACCCTTGACTCATTTTCCCGACAGTTAAGAGGTCAGATATTAACAACTGTTTGTAAATTACTGTTGAAAATGTCTTCTATGACAGCTTGTGTATCGCAGAGTAGCAGAATGCTTTTCTAGTATTGTTTTCCGCCTCTCAATATTGTTAGTTCCGGTTTCTATAGTATTTGATATGTTATTTCCTAACACGAGGAACTGCTCACTGCTTGAAATACTGAAGGGGCAAAAATATTATCGTTTTAGGGAAAATACATGTTAAAATTTCAACCAGAGACAAGGATGTGTGTGAAATGAAAAATTGGTGTATTGCCTTACAATCACTCACATAATGTAGTCCTACGATGCATTTCATTCTCACCAATACCAAGTCTTCGCTGCCGAAACTGCCTGAAAGCTAGCATAAGCTTGCTGGATGAAACGTCACGTTACTGATCACTCGCATTGTAAAAGCAGAACACATTCTGAATGCAATCCAGACAAGACATGACTTGTTAGGATACTTTTAATGTTCATCGCGATTTTTAGTAATAAAAACTAAAGCTTTTAGGCTTGGTCTTTGTTATCGCGATTCGTCGTAACAGCGAAAACCGATCTCAAGTCTCAACGCGGAATTGTAACTTTAGCCTAAAAATGTGAGTGTAAAATGTGTCTCCGGCGAGTCTCGCGGAAATATTGTTTATACTTCAAATCACAAGTTCATTCAAGAGGAGAAGCTAATGGGAATGAATGAAATGATACAAATGCTTGATTTTTAAAACCCTCGTAAAAAAACTGCATTAATGGTTTCAAGGCATAATAACATAAGATAAGGATTCTGATAATCCTTAGATTAAAGGCTTTAATATCGAGCAAGTTATTTCGTTGCCGATGACATTTCATCGTTCTTTGTCTCTTTTCGTCACAGACGCAGGCTACAAAAAATGATTATTCAATATTTAGTGCTCGTACCGCAGCTAGTTCGCCTTAAGCGACCGAGCAACGCAGTAGATTGAGCAGACGTGCACATTAGGAAAGAGGTGATTATAGTCCCTAGTATTTGCACAGGTTTCATTCAAATATTGTTTCCTCCTTTTATCTCCATGGCATGTGATATATTCATCATAACTTTATCCCTTCTCTAATAGTAACATTCTGAAGGAATTTAAGGGCATGAATATCATCTGCGTTTAGGCCAATGCCATAACCATGTTCAATTATCCGTGTTGTTAACGATTTTATTGTATTGTAACAAACACAAGTTTGACCAGGAAAATATAAATGACAATCGTTTTAGACATGATAGCCGTTTGTTATTCAATTAAATGTTTGGCAAAAGAACCGCATTCCAAAGCGTCTCCTTGTCGTTATATGAGTCACCTCTATTTAATCTCATGTGATCAAAACATGATATTCTGCTGAGTGGGCGGCTGCACCCTTCCGAAAATAATTATTTAACGATAGAAGCAACATAAAGATAAGTCATAGTAATTTTTTTACACATCTATTTTTTGATAAAACAGCCATTGCATGTAAAAGGTATAATCGTCCCTAAATGTAGATCGATAATTCTCTCATTCTTTATACTTCGACGTCGATCAAAAAAGATGATGCAGCAAACATAGTGCGTACAAAGAAAAGTACTACTTTGTTTATCTATTTATTGCAAGAATGAAAAAGAATAGCTATGATGTCACTGATCATTTTAACGTTAAACTAAATACTGAATGTGGTTGGTAGGTAGGTAGGTAACATTTTAGTAACTTTAAAAATTTAAAAAAGTAATGAAGCTATATCAATAGTCGAACATCAATTAGTCATGGGGCAATGTATTTATTTATGTAATTTTATTATATTCTCACGTTGAGTATTCATTTCTCGCATAGATTTTAACATTGTACACGCGTAAAAACGCACAAGTTGTAACAAGTCTGCAGCAGAAGTCTGTTCACAAGCTTGCAACAAGATTTGTTCGCACTGCCAGCTAGCTCCAATTTGTTGTAACAAGTTTGAGACAAGCTGTTAACAACTTGTAGCAAGTCCGATGGCATTATCAAACTTGTTAAAAGATTGTTCTGACAAGTCTTATATAGATATATGATACGACAACATTGCTACGAACTTGAAGCACAAGATTGTAGCAATATTGTCAGATCATGTTTGTACCAGATTTGTTGGAACAGCCTTGTAGCAAGTCTTTTGATTCAACAAGTTTATTACAACTTGTTAACAAGTTGTCCCATCTCTTCAACAGCTTGGGACAAGCAGTTGTAAGCAAAACAAATCTTGTTGCAAGCTTGTGAACAGACTTGCTACAAGATATGATATTTTTTACACGTGTAATGCACAGGAACTTTGTACCCCCACCAAAAAGTTCCTGCACACACCAGGTTGGCGTGAGCAAGATACAAACTGGATATGGATACTAAGCGCCATTGTGCTGCGTGATTGCTTTCGTATTTGGCTTGCGTCAGTTCGCGTCACACTCTCAAAACATTTCGGACGCAAAATACAAAGAGTGAGACTTCTGCTAGTGTCTATTCTGAGATTCTGTGACGAGTACGAGATTCGTCATTTTTGCGCGTTGTTTGCTTACGCCATCAGCCGGCAAAACTCGTAGTCGTCGAGCTTTCGAGTACGAGTTTGTTGGTAAATTTTATACTCAAAAGCCCAACGACTGTACGAGTACCCAATTTTATTAGCGTCAAGACTAACAATACAAAGGCCGAGCAGGATAAAATGGGCACGGGTACCCATTTTAGCCGTACCGTGCCAATAAATTGAGTGTGGTGTAAACAAGGTTTCTTTGATGCCTCTAAAGAAATTATAGGGATGATAAGGGGTGCGATGTATTAAGAGGAGATATTTTTCTATGTCGCGTAATATATGCTCAAAACCTCAGTTATATCTATCAACAGCACTAAAATTTTCAGCATTAAAAATGTTTTGCAAACCTGAAAAGCATCCACAAAGTATGTTTACTGTATAATCTCAAAATATTGTGAAAATGAAAAGATTTCTCGGGATACGCCGAGAAGAAAATGACACTTGAATCGAAGCTTCTTTTGTATTCATTTCAGTTATAATGGCGTTGACAATATAACATTGTTGATAGCCGCCGCATTATATTTTGTAATAACTCCTTTGTTTGGTGTTTTGCATTCACCAAATACAGTTCAAAACTTAGTTCACAACATAATCTAAAGAATAACGGTAAAATAAATGGATTTTGAGTGGTACGCCGAAAAGATTTTAGGTTTTGAGCGTTTTCCCGCCAAAATACGTGACATAATAAAAAATCTCCTCTTAATAACTTAATTGTTCCACAAAATCCAGTAAAGATAGGTTGAGTCGCTCTGATTCGCTGATTGGTCTTTCCACGTCAATAAAATGTACGTCAAAAATAATACATTTTGTTGGTTTTCCTCTGCGTCAGTCTCTCGAATGATCACGCGCGGTTTTCTCTGGAAGCATCACGTCCAATTACGTCAACATCACCACACTAAATAAAAATAATGGCAGTTTTTTCCTATTTGTTTTACTAACTTTCTGAATTTCTTTTTTGGAGTTAACTACAAATAATGGTGACATCTTATTGGCTTCATATACTACATTGGATGATGTTAATTGATTGAACACGGAAGGTTTTATAATATATACCTATCGATACTAGTAATTATGTATTTCCTTATCAATATATCGTGTGGAAGAAGAGATAAAAAAATTGTCGGATTTAAATTCTAAATCGAGTTGTATATATATATATATGTCATGTGGATTCTGTATCAAATATCGAGGCGATTCCGAGAACTTACCGATTAACCACAAACAGAAAGCCGATATTATATATAAAGTGGGCCGGCTACGATATCTTTTTTCGGTACCCCATACACAGTGCGCCACAATCATATTCATTGTTGAGCAAAATTGTGTATTTCATGATAATTTTAACGAGCAGCATTTTAAGCCATTTATACGCCTGTATTCTAAAAGCTCACTCACACTCAAACTCATTGAGTGGGAGATCTTAATCTTCTCATAACGTTTCAATGACGGTATTTCCAGCTGAACAGGGACTTGATTTTCAGTGATTTACCTTATATCTTTCCATCTATTCAGAAAAAACTTTCTCATTGATCAGCATTAACGAAATTTATATGTCACACTCGATGAGTATGAGTGTGAGTGAGCTTTTTGAATACAGGCGTTAGAATTGAAGGACGTCCTGACGTCAGTCTAATAAGCCATGGAATTTTCCGACATACGCAAGTTTTGATCGTATAGGATGTAGCAAAAGAGATTGTTTATAGAAATTTCAAGTGTGTTATTCTAATGCAACTGTACATTTCCTATAAGAAACATTTGATTTCAAACCGAAACCAGAAATGACGATCTAAATTAATTATACTCATGCATCGTATCAGTGTCAAACTTAAAAAGCCTATATGGCCTAGAAAACATAATAGAACCTTAGATCTACTATATTAACCTTGACAGATAACTGAGATAAGTGCATCATTATAATATAAAGGATTATGGAAGTTATAGAATTCGCTTTTATGAACAAACTAAAGTTTCTCTTCGTATTCCGATTCTTCAGCCAACTTCGACTCGTATTTTTTTTGATCGCATTATTATTATTCGCATACGATAAGTGTCATAAGTCAGTTTTCATTCTCAATTCAGGATTATTTCAGTGCATCGCCGTTATTATACTTCTATAGTCTTTATATACTATGTCTATGATAATTATGCGCGCATGAATTGTGTAAGTCCTGTTTTATACTATTGGGCAAATGGCAATAAAGACTTTAGGGGGAGCAGAAGATTATTTAGGGAAGCATGCATGCATGCAGATCTTCCTTCCCTGCTGGAGGCCAGCTCAATTGCCATCACTGTCATCGATGTTACCAATTCACTTTTTAAATGGTGCCGAAACGATTTAGCAAAATTTGTCTTTACTTGATTTATTGCATGGTAATAAAATGTAGCTATATTTCACACTGAAGCATGCGATGTGACAGTCTGATTCAAATGCGTTTTGCGGTTGGTTATATAAGTCTTAACAATAAATATATATTATAATGTATGTATATGCATGTATATATGCATTCAACTGTTCACGTTTTCAACAAAATTACATGCCGGAATGAAATCCTACAACTTTTCAAAATTCAGCAAGCCTTACAGTTCATATATAGTATATGACTCGATCTATTTCTTCTTCTAAGGCAGAACGTGCATGCCATCAGAACGTCATGCCTAATTTGACGAGGCAAATTGGTTAACTCTGAATGTTTAGATTAATTGAATCAATAGTATATATATGATACGGGACGTTTTCTTCTTAATTTTAGCAGATACTGAACTCTCAATCGTGAATCTATCAGCGAAGATTTAAATTCGTGGTAAACGAAATGCTTCCATTTTACGCAACACTATTTATATTTTTAGAAATATTGCATTCTTTAGTTTTTATTACACCGAGCGCCATTAATCTGTATTGGATTAAAATTCCTTGCAAAAAATGACTACTCAAAAGGGTCATGCCTTGTGGTGAATGACAAAGCATGATCGGAAATTTGCCAATTTAGGCAAATAAGTTTTTCAAATTAACTGCGCAAATCAGTCAATCGGTAGGCGAATGGATTTAAAATACCAACTATATATAAAGTGATATAAAGTGATTTTATAGCTATTATAAAGAGAGAACCACTGAAGACGGTTTAAAAAAATTGCCAATGCAGCAATGCGATCAGTGAAGAATTAGAACAGTGCTGGTGGTAGTTTATTCTGGCTTTAAATAATACCCCATATCAGTCACTGACTGATGCATGTGTTGAGTTAAATTGTTTGAAGTCTATAATGTCTCCTGGTATTAATGCCACCTCAAATCGTAACTGCATGTAATCAAAACAAGTTTTCTTTGGAGTGGGCGGCTGCGCCCTTCCGACGATAATCAACATGTAAATATTAGAATCGATCTCTTGATGTCTATGAACTTTTTTAACAATGATTCATTTGCAGCAAATTTGATCAAATATGCTTATATATATATATGCATTCATGCTAAGAATGCATGAAATCCTATCCAGCATTGTGTTTATATGGATTGCAAAAGTAGTAAGAACACAAAAGTTTAAACTGTATAAATTATATCAATTTATTTTATTTTAAGTCACACAAACGTTCACATCAATTAATGTCATGATACAAACACTGGCGGATTATCCACTAGGCTGGAGTCAATAGGCCCTGGTTTTGAGAGGCAAGGGATTTGTGAAGATTATTTGTTTCTTGTTTTTGCCATTTTTGTTTTAATCAGTTAAGCAGTAGGATAACGTGAAAAAGCTACAGAAGACGACCTTAATCTAGTTTCTTGCTATCTGCTTTTTTCTTGAACCTTAAAATGGGAGTTTGAATCCCTCTCGAGGCAACAAAGTATTTGGTAATTTGTGTTGTAGAAGTGGCAGTTTTTAAAATATTCTACTAAAATTTTCCTTATATTGAGAATATCACCTCAAAGGCCCATAATTCATCCTACTGGCGATAATCCAGCACTGTAGTCTGTATACGAACGAGATTACACACAACTATATTATATAAAGGTGTTATTTACATGTTCATTTGAATTCTTTTGCACCAAACATGTAATAATAAAGTTTAAATACGACAATTGATGAGAAATAATCTTCATTCTTCCTTACAATAAATGTTGAAAACAAATACCGTAATAAATACACATGAAAAAAGAATTTCCTTTCGTATAAAATGGGTATGGATTGGAGTATGATATAGTAACCTTCCCTCCGTAAAATGCAATTTGTCTGTCTTGTTCATTAAACCTTTCCAGAAAATTCATTCCCATTGCTATATATATATATATATATATATATATATATATATATATATATATATATATATATATATATATATATATATATATATATATATCTATATATATATATATATAGTAGTGTTATATGCATAGTTAAGATGCATATTTTCAACATGTCGCTTAGAAGATTTGAAGTATTTCAACATGCTAAACAAGTGGTATATGAACTTCACAAAAGTTGGACCTGAAATAAATACAAGTACGATGAAAAATAGAAACGATACTTTCATCTGCTTATGCTGATAACTCAGGGTGGTGAGCCCGTGAGAAAAGATATAAAGAACGTATTTTATTGATATAGCTATAGATATCCTTTAGTGCCATTCTTAAATATCTCTCTTTCAAATTCTTTCAGTAAAACTAAAAGACAAATCTTATAAGCGGTTTGAAAGGCTCGTTGTTAAGAAACGGTTTCTTGAAAAGATTTTTGGAAAGATTGAAGGAGAGCAGTACTATACAATATATTATTAAGATGACTATCGTAAGCTTCCCTCTTGACAGTCATCAGCAGACGAAGAACGCTGACATTTTACTACCAGATCATTATAACTGCGGTCTCCCAATAAACACACCAATATGACAGTCATATTATCACATCCTAGGCCACCCATGTCGCAATCTGGGGCAAGACATCGCGTTAACAGTTCTTCGCAAATCTAAATATTCGATAAAATATACTTTCAGTAAAACGGTAAACAATGTCAGCGTTATGAATTTCAATTTCCTCCAACTTCCAAAAAAAGAGATAGACGGGGGGGGGTGTCATATGTCCTTATAAGAGGCCAAACAGACGAACATTACACAAATACTGTACATACATACAAAGGATATACTAATACTGTATATACTAGGGTTAAAAACCGATTACTTACCATATCTGGCTTCATTCCCTGAGCTATTCTGCAACGTACAAAATCAACAACTTCTTCATTGGACAAAACATCCCAAATACCTAAATAAAGAATGCCAGGAAATGCCGAATAGATAAATTGCGTTGCACAAAAACACGATTACGTCTCACTATCTGTCCGATAAATACTGAATAGAAACTCGATAGATATATTGGAAAATTAAGATAAACTATCAAAGTTTTAGTTTCTTTTTGAATATTTTATAACACAATATATTCAAAATAAGAGATATGTAACCACATTGAAAATCTTTTTATTAATATGTCTTTGCGCAGTTTTCTAAATGGACTTTGAGCAGCATGCTAAGCAAATAATATGTTGTCGCTGGGGACTAAAAATTAGCAGAAGGGCTAAATTAGCAAAAGATATGTGAGCTACGTTGAAAAGCGTCAACATGAATATGATAAAGCGGGCAGGTGGAATAGAAAACCAAATACAAGTCAGTGCACGCGTCCAGAAATTCTAAGTATGTGCTTAGCAGACGTATTTATTGCACTGCAGCTGCATGTTCACTTCTCAATCTTACCATCGCATGCGAGAACAATGAACTCGTGATCAGAAGTTAAATCTCGTATTATGACATCTGGCCAAGCTGATTAAATAAAGAGGAAAAAATACTAGATTACGCTTAAAACCTCACAAAATGAAAAATAATGAAAATTTATTTTAAATTGGGGTAAAATACATTTGATCTCGACAAATCTTTATTAATTCAATTAAACCTGCAGAAATGCCAGAATACACTGCAATTGGTGTATTAGACTGTAATCTGTATGCCCAATAAAGTTATGATATACTCCTAACCCCTCAGAATAATCTTCTGTAATATTTATACATCTCTTTTTTGTTTATGTGACAATTGATGGTTGTTATATTATTCGAAGTTCCAACATCGGATTAAACCAAAATACGGCAAATAGCAAAAATCCACAATCTTTATTGCACTCCCAAAATTACCTGTCTGAGACACTCTCAATTATAGGTTTTAAATTAAGCTGACCAAAGCCAAGGGTGTCTAATGCTGGTAATGTTACAGCCAACATACTAAAGCCAAGGGCAAAATACCTGTCACAATTTGTTCCTCGGCTGATTTTTGAACATTCTTCTTGAAACAGAAGTCCCCAAGGGCACGAGATAATGCTAGATTTCCTGGAAGTAGAAAATGGTTGTAAGTGACAGTAGGCATAAAATAGCATTGGTCTTAGTCATGTATCTATGCCATTGCTTTGCTATCATTAAGAATTGAATGTAATGATGGATGTTTACACATTGTTTATGAAAGAAAATGTAGAGAAATATGGCTCGGCAAACATACTAATAACCGTCATCACATTTGCAGTTTCTTACCATTTACTCTATTGAACTCCACCCATCCTCCAGCAGCAACTATTCTCCTAGTTTCTTCTATAAACAACAAAACACCACTGCTATATAAGCTTTGTGTTCACATGCCAAATGAACAAAAATTTTATGGTATATGGAAAGATTGACCTGTCTGCAAGGAAGTAATATTGCTACAGTATTTCAAAATTGCATAAAGAAAGCTAGCATACCATCATTAGAAGGTTTATGGTCATACGATAATTCTTGAACATTTCCTCTTACAGATGCTACAGATCTAGAATCACCAACATTACCCTGAAAATATTGTAATACTCAATTGGACAAGCAGCATTTCCAAATCTTTAAAAAATGATGCAAAACCAGCCTTGTACCTTGGCACTTTTTAAAATATATAACATTGCATTCAGGTATAGCAGGGGTGCTTGGGGTGACCCCTGTGCACTCACTTTTTTTTCAGTGAATGCAACATTACTTTTTTACTATTTAAGCACACTTGAAGCAAACAGTATTGTTTCTTGCACACTTACACAAAATATTTTACCATCTTTAATAACTACAACAATAGCAGTTGATCCTGCCATATCATCTTTTAAATCACTATCTGGAAAAAAAATTAACAATTAAATTTTTATTGACAGACTCTGTTTAAATGAAAGATCCACAACACTCATGTCTTCATGGGGAAAAAGATGCTTGCTGTGGGTCATAATAATTTTACTGTCAATGCTATCTTTGACATAATAATTATTTGAACAGAAAAATTGTACCATTCTGCATATCCTCATCAATAGATAGGAAAGACCTTTTGATTGCATCCTCAATTCTACCCTCAGCTATAAGAAGAATTTTTATGTATCAAAATGACATATTTTGGTATAACAATTTAATGTCTTGTGAACTTATACACACATGCTAGTATATACATGCATATTAAGTTATTAACAAATTATTAACAAATATTAAGTTATTAACAAAATTTTATGGTTCAAAATATGTGATAAGTAAAGGTATATGATACTTTACAATCAAGACTTACAAAAGGCAGGATCATTTGCTAGTTTTGAATGAACATATTTTCCACAGTAATTTGCAACCTGGGCACCTACAGTAAAAATGCTCAAATTAGTCACCTCAGTAAAGTAATCTAATAAAATACTATAATATATATATATATATATATATATATATATATATATATATATATATATATATATATATACATACACCCGTTTTCAAAAACGTTGGCAGCAGATAGATATATAGATAGATACCCAAAACCTAATTAGAATTGCATATGTTGTGTAATATGATTGAAATCCCATGCAAATGTAATCATATGCAATTCTAATTAGACTTTGAGTATCTATCTATCTATCTATCTGCGGCCAACGTTTTTGCAAATGGGTGTATATATATATATATATATATATATATATATATATATATATATATATATATATATATAATATATATCAGGGTTGATCAATATACCAAACATATTTGGTATTTGGTATACAGATAGTTCTACAAATACTGGCCTTCATGGTGATACTGAGAACTCAATGCACTCTGATGGCAATATATTGGTATTTGCAATATTGATTGCACTCTAATATTCCTGTATTTGGCATATGCAAATTATATAATCACACGAACCTCCATGTCCATCATAGACAGCAAAAAATGAAACATCTTTGTCTTCCTCAAGTGCTAGAATGGCGGTTAATGCATCCTCCATATCTACATTTCTCATTAAAGCACATAAGATCTCATAAATACTTAATCTCATAAAAGATATATACAGGTGATAAAATAAAGAAACAAAGAATGAAGAGATTTTAAAAAAACAGAGTATTGGAAGACTAAGAAATATTAGGGATTGTTATAGAAACCATGCCTAGTATTTACTATAATACTTTGAAAAGGATACTGACTCTCCATCCTTGCATGGAAGATGCACCAACTAAATATTCTTTACTTGACAAGAGTTTAGTGTCCTTGCTTGTGATTGGTTCTGACAATGTCTGACCCATTACCTAAATGATCAACCAGTTTCAATATTAAAAAAATTCAATTCATACCAATATTTTACAAGTCTTACCAATATCGTACACCACAATAAATAAAAATAAACTGTTCAAGTACTTGAACTTTCTAAATCAAACAGGGCAATATATTACATACAATGTCATTAGTCATCTTAACATGAAACCAAACACCGAGTTTTCGTTATGTCATTCAGTCAATGACTAAATGACAAACTGAATTTATTGTTCTGCGTTAACAAAATAAAGCATTCAAATCTGGTCCTACACCACTAAAAAATGCAGTGAAATCATTATAATCACATGAAAGAATTGAGTTATCGAGCCAGCCAGTCTTAGCCATTGTCAGATGTCTTAGCTATGTCAACAACAATTGATGAAATTCAGTTTCAAAATATACCTGCTATCAAACTTCTCCGATTTCCTTGTATTGCTTCTTAAAGACCGGGTATATTTTAATGTGGAGAATTATCAAATACAATGAGCTGTGCCTGAGTATGACATGATGCCAAAAAATTATTAAAAGGATACTGAAGTATTTTTTTTACAAAAATTATTCCGATTACAAATTATTTACAACAGTTGACAAACACCAGGGAGCTCCAGAGCAAGTAAGGATACATTTTACGAACCCCGTAGTACCCAATATATCCCTTACAGTTGCAGAGTTGCAGAGGCCGGTTGTTCGTACGGCGTTTAGCTTAAAACGGTGGATAAGCCAAAATTTGAAAATACTCTCAAAGATTTTGTGAATGACTGAACCTGCATTTTATGCATTAAATATGTACTTCCATTGAAAATTAAGCTATTTACATCGAAATATGTCACATAAAGAGATAATTTAACCGTTTAAGCTAAACGCCTTTCCGACAACCGGGCCCAGACAAACTCACAAACCGGGCTTTTCTACCTCTTTTCTAGGCTCTAGCTTAGGTAGAAGAGCCTGGCTTGCGGGGTTGAAGTGGGTTGAAGTAGGTTGAAGAATCAAAAGCTCCCACGGACTATAGTGACTGAGTTATTGTTACTTATAGTTATAGCCGTGTTCACAAAGCACACTAGTGACACTACGTCTACATGCCTTTATTCCATCGAAAATCTGTTGTTTTAGGCCATAAAATCTAAACATCTGCTAGAGTTTTTGTAAACTAATAGCTTAGTAAATAAGTTAGCTTAGTAAGAGATTATCCGCTCCTTGATAATAATCCTCACCCAAAATTTTGCTGGTTTATACAAGGCTACACATCTGATAAGATGGAGGGCAGAGAGTGGCGAATTACCCGGGGCTGGCTTTGGGCGCTTTCCTTTATACAGCTAGCGCCCTTAGACTCGATGACCATGGTTAATTTACACTTCCAAAGTTCTTGTGCTCACATTTAAAAACTTGAAAAAATACACTGTTTCTTTACTCTAATTCTCCTGACGAAGGCTCTGGCAAACGTCGAGCATTTTCCCTAAACTTCCTAAAGATTTTAGGCTGGCGGGGAACCGATTGTGCTGTTGTGTTATTTGAAGTAGTTTCCACAGTCACTTCTATCGTCTTTAGATTCCACGCCCTATTTATCAAATGATAACATGGATAACACGGAGTCGGAGTTCCGGAGCAGGAGTTTCGGAGTTGGAGTCCCGTAGTCAAAATTACGGAGTCTGACGTAATAATATTGGAAAACACAGAGTCACAAATTATGGAAAACACGGAGTCTGTTAAAAATATAGAAAAACACGGAGTCACAAATTCTGGAAAACACGGAGTTTGTTAAAAATATGGAAAACACGGAGTAAAAATTATGGAAAACACGGAGTCTGTTAAAAATATGGGAAACACGGAGTCAAAAATTATGGAAAACACGGAGTATAAATGTTTGGAAGTCTGCCAACTGCCAAGCTCAGTGGTCAATGACTCAACGTGATTTATGCAAATTTGATAGCGTGTTTTAAACAACATGGCGTCAAATTTGCGTAACGTTTTTGCTATTCCGCAAATGGCAAATAAACGACCGAAAAACTTACCCTTAAACATAAATAATATTCCTCAATTTAAATGGGAGGATATTGTAGACAAAGAGGAAATTGGATGTGGCAGTTTTGGTGTGATTTAACTATTACTGTGGTATAAAAAATTCAGTATAGACTTATGAGCGATCCTTCATTTATGAATATATGTATAATTTACGTTGACTCAGTGTTTTCCAAACATTTATACTCCGTGTTTTCCATGTTTTTGGCAGACTACGTGTTTTCCATAATTTTTGACTCCGGCTCCGAAACTCCGGCTCCGAAACTCCGGCTCCGGAACTCCGACTCCGTGTTATCCATGTTGTGATGTGGCAACGTTGAATCAAAGCTAGATATTTATTTCACCCGCTCCTCGTGTTGCAAAATAAAGTCATCCTATTGGCTGAACACTCCCGGCCTGACAGCTCAACAACGCTTCTGATTGGACGAGCATAGTAATTTGAGTAATATGATTAATTCTTTCCTTTCATTTCTGATGTCCAGGCTCAGGAGAAGAGAATTAATCATATTATTTAAATTACTATGAACATCCAATCAGAAGCATTGTTGAGCTGTCAGGCCGGGAGTGTTCATCCAATAGGATGACTTTATTTTGCAGACACGAGGAGCGGGTGAAATGAATATGTGCTTTTGATTCTAGTTTGAGACATCACTTCAGCGCTGGTCTTCGAAGAATAAAGATGAGTCTCCTCCATGCCAAGAAAATTTCAACAGAAATTTTTATCAGATTGCTATCGTCATCAGCAGAAGAGAAGTTTAATAGAAGTTTACTATCTCTGACATACTGTCGTTGGTATTATATCAGGTAATATTCCTTTCCCTTTGCGTGTTTTATCAGCTTGTTTCATCGTGAGCTTTTGGGCTGAGGTTCCACGTGTCTTTAGTTCACGTCTTGTAATGCCTCTCTCGTGTTGTGTTCAGCTTCAAATACAAACTTGTATAGCACTAACGTAGCTTTTATTCTTTTCATGCAGGATTTTGACGTATTAAAGCGAAGTTAAACGATAAAGATAACTCGCCTTTGAAGAGAAAGCAAGTCTAGGCTTTTTCTGGGGAATATTGATGATATGAGAAAGGTAATATATACGTCAAATCTTACCGTTGAGCCGCTAACCTTCCCTCTAACCACACGCGAATTACGTTTGAATTGAGTTCTAAAGACCTAAGCAGTGAACTAATGGTGCCTTTTATTCTTCCAGGTGGAGTTTGAGAGTTTAAAACCAAACCAAACTGAATGAAGTGAAGTGGGCAAAAAGTCCGTTACCGTAGCTGAAATTGCCCGAGACGACTCGCATTTGTCTCAAGATAACTCGTCTTGGAAGAGAAAGCACGTCTACGCATTTTCTTGGGACTTGTTGATGATAAGAGAAAGGTAATAATTATACGCTAAATCGTATGTGAGCCGCTAAACTTTGCTCCAATCGCAAGCAATTACCTTTGAATTGAGTTGTAAAAGACCAAACCAGTAAACTAACATTGCCTTTTGTTCTTCCAGGTGGAGTTTAAAAGCTAAAACCAAACCGAGTATAAAAATGAGCTGGGAAAGAAAACCCATAGCTGAAATTCCCCAAGATGACTCGCATTTCAAGAGACGGCAAGTCCAAAGCTGCTCTTCAACACTTGTTGCTGAAATGAACAGGTAATTTTGGGTCTATTTTATTCAAAATAGGATGATAAACTTGAAACGCTTGATCAGGCATCATGCGTCCTCTCAACTAAATAATCACCGCAAGTTTTCTCCCGATATTTAAGCTCCATCGAAGGTAAATCCTTGAAATCGCTGTCTATAACAAGCATTCTTTTGGTTTTATTGCAGGTAGCGATTTAGCGGGTCAAGCCATTTGAAACAACGACAAAACCTGTTCATAATAAAACGTGAGTATTAAGCAATTCAAAACATTTTTAGATAAATGCATGATTCAGGTCAAGAACGACAACGGCCGCATGATAATTTTATATAAATAATGGCAAGGAAATACTTGAAATCCCATGCAGAGGGTTTTTATAGATGTTGTTTTCAATCCCGATTTTACGCGTGTTTCTTCTCAATAAAAAATGTAGTTTGCTTATTTCTTTAATCTTATTTCAGGTTAATGGGCTCTGTTGAGCTATTACCGGCAAGCCAAATCGACGGCAAAATCTACGTCTAAAGTAGGCAATCTCGACGGCAAATCTACGCCTAATGTAGGCAACCTCAACGGCAAATCTACGCCTAATGTAGGCCAACTCGACGGCAAATCTACGCCTAATGTAGGCCAACTCGACGGCAAATCTACGCCTAATGCAGGCAACCTCGACGCCAAATCTACGCCTAATGTAGGCAACTTCGACGGCACTCTACGCCTAATGTACTGAGGCAACCTCGACGGCACTCTACGCCTAATGTAGGCAACCTCGACGGCACTCTACGCCTAATGTAGGCAACTTCGACGGCAAATCTACGCCTAATGTAGGCAACCTCGACGGCAAATCTACGCCTAATGTAGGCAACCTCGACGGCACTCTACGCCTAATGTAGGCAACCTCGACGGCACTCTACGCCTAATGTAGGCAACCTCGACGGCAAATCTACGCCTAATGTAGGCAACCTCGACGGCACTCTACGCCTAATGTAGGCAACCTCGACGGCACTCTACGCCTAATGTAGGCAACCTCGACGGCACTCTACGCCTAATGTAGGCAACCTCGAAGGCACTCTACGCCTAATTTAGGCAACCTCGACGGCACTCTACGCCTAATGTAGGCCAATTCGACGCCATAACTACGCCAAATCGACGCCAATCAGCAACGCATCAGCGATGCCCGAGCATCGACAGGTTAGAGTAGCCTGGTGGTCAAAAAATGTGCATGCAGGGGTTAGTCTGTGCATGATTAACTTAACGAAGTTAACTAATTTAGTTAACGAACTTAAGTTAAATAAAGTTTTAAATTCAGTTAACTAAGTTCTGGCCACCAGGAACATAGCTAATGCATGATGCATGTGAGCATGCAAACGTTTCTTAAATTCGGTTAAATATTTTAATCGGTTTTGCGCTTAGGACTGCTCGCTTGTACTTAGGGCTGCGCTAAGGTTTAGGTTGATAATTTGTTAAAACTGAAAACATATCACAACTGTTATATATACCCATATTTTACCTAAGAAATGGCTAAAAAGCCATGCACACTAACACAAACCCATGCACACCAACACAAACCATAGCCAAAAATGGCAGACATAATCCCATAGGTTCTTTCCTCTTTCTCTATCTTGTCCTGATTGAAATCATCTTCGCGGCTCTTGAAATCCGGGCAATTGCGGCTTTCGGAATTAACATTGTAAAATGATAACAATATGGTCTCTATTCGGTCTGGTTGTAAAATTATTTGTATGTAAATACGTTTTTGATTTCTCAGCAAACATTGTAAATATACGATTATATCTTGCCCTACTATATTTTGTAATTGAACATATAATATTGTGTATGGTTTTATGAAAAAACATGATTTATATAAAAAAGCAAAACATCATGCACTATACCTCATGATCTTGTAGCTGCACATAAAATAGACACGCACACGAGTAAATACATTGATGCAAACCATGGCCTATATAATGGCTTCTAGTTTATATCTCTCTTATCTCTTGCATTCACTTAAGGCTACAGTTAATATTCAAGCCAGAAACATTAATTTTACGGCATGTCTTATACTGTCTTGCTATTCTGAAATACATGAATTTATGCAATCAAAGTTAACACACACATGCTCTCAATTAATGAATTTTAATTTACTTGAAGAAAATAAGGAATGGGGGGGGGGTGCATGCTGTTATCCGTTAAAACGATATGCATGCCTTATTTCTACTATAGTTAGGAAACAATTACGAGACAAACATTGGCAGTGGCATTGTAACTTTATTATTTTTCCAAGGTCTCTGTGAGATTTCCAATTATTTAGCTTCGTCGAGCAGTGCTTATGAAAAGTAAGGCGCCACTTTTTGTCTGTACTGTTTGACTTTGCTATGTGGTTCGAAGTGTTAGCAGGTATCTTGGGATATCTAATAACGTTGCAGTGTTATTTTCATTGCTGTTTCTATAAGAGCAGCTTGCTTTGGCTATATGCCTTAGCTCTAAAAGTTTTTAAACCAGATTTTCAAAGAAAAAAATGTACTCCTGTGGCTGTTTCTATAAGAGCAGCTTGCTTTGGCTATATGCCTTGGCTTTGAAAGTATTAGTCCAGTTTCTCTGAAAAAAAAATGTACTCTTGGTGCTGTTTCTATAAGGGCAGCTTGCTTTGGGAATATCCCTTGCATGGTTCAAAAAATGTTGACTGAATTTTTTTAAAAAAAATATTTACACTTGATGCTGCACTTGGTTTCGACAGTTTGTTGCTTTGGCTATATGCCTCAGCCTTAAAAAAATATAAGTCAATTTCTTGTGGTATTTTTTTTCAAGCCTTATTTCTACAAGGGCAGCATGCTCTGGCTATATGCCTCAGCTCTGAAATGTGCAATGAAGTTTTCAAGGACCATTATGTATGCCTTCATGCTGTTTCTATAAGGGCTCATGAAATATCTTTAAGTTAGCTTGATCCTTGAAATATATGCACAGTTCGACAGCTTAAAACGAAACTATTAGGAACACTGCCTATGATTTGTCAGCAGAATAATTCTAGTTTTTGGACGAACGTAACTTGAATCTAAGCGCTCTGAACCCAGGCATTTTTATGTATTACTATATTAGTTCGTCGATCTCATAAGCTTTATTCAGCTCTCTACCAGAGTTAGTGGGTTAAGTCTATAATAGAACAAAAAAATACACGATAACTTAGAAACACTTACTCACATTAATGCACTGATGTTTCACTGATCAGTCTTTTCAGAACATTACTCAAACACAATAGCACACTGTAAAAAGACATGAACAATTTATACTAAAGTATGCCAAATTAACATTTACCTGCACTGTTCTATAAATTTAAATGTCAAGATCTTAAACACACCTAATTTGTAACCGGTTTTAGATATAATAGTTTGTCTTCGTATATTAATGATGTACTACGTAAAGAAAACACACACGCTTTGTAATACATGTTTAGTGAAATATTAATAAAAATAGGACCAAAATTGTCCGTCTCCTCTCTCTTGATTTCAATATCTTTAACACACACACACACACACACACTTTGTTGTAATACATGACTTTGTTTTAATAAAATCTCAAACTTGTGTACTTTGTGTTTAATTCCGGCTTTCGGTGAGGGTTTTTCTCCAGGCACTCTGGTTTCCCTCGTAAAAAAACAGTGTCCGTGTGTTCGGAACCGTGTTTACGGCTGGTTTTCCATACCAAATTTGAACTTTTCACGAGTAAAATTGCATGAAAGCTAAACATTTCTGTTGACAATTTATATCCGCATAATTGGTATGTCTCGTTATACTCGATAAAAGTTTAGAATATTTTCGCAACCCAGTAGACTTTAATGTCTGACGTAAACGCCCTCAGAATAGAAAACATAATTGTCTAATGGAAGCTGACTTGTACACACGGTTACTGGGTTCAATTCCCGGAACACTGTTCTTTGTCACGATAAATTCATGTTCTTCAATAAAAGCATGCAAAGCTTCGTCTTTAGACTATAATTTTACTTGATGAGTTGTTGATGAGCACTTAACTGATTTTGAAAGACGTGATCGATCAGCCAAATTAAAATGCGATACTTCCTCATCCTGGTGCTTATAAAAGAACGACCAACATTCGCCAGATACGTGACTTTAAACGTGGAATATGTGTTCTTCAAGATGTTCTCTTAACCACCACCTCATCCGTATCATTTGGCTAATTCTCAAGATAAAGACGAGATAGTTGAATATCAATGAGGACGAAGAGACAATCCGATTGCCCTAAAAGTGATGCTGAAGATTCCTTAGCGACAAAATGATGCGAGCTTGTTAAATCCTTACCTTACCTCCTGCACCTACTGTGAAGGGGCTTCCTTCTAGAACCAGCACATGATGCACTGAGATTACATTTTAACTTTATTAAATAAGTATTCTTTTTAGTCCGTTTTGTCAGATCAAATTTTGTCTTTATTTATGTTGTCAACTATGACCGCAGGAAAACTTTTTAAACTGATGATATTTGTACTGGTATATATGGTATCTTATTTTCTTATGTTCACGATCTCTGTTGCTGCCATGCTAGTCTTCCTGGACGAAATCTGTCATGCAGCCCAAGTTAATTCTGAAGAATTTAGGATATCATGGTACAATAACACAGACCTTTCAACGCAACATGCAGTGTTTTATATTAGTGTAAGATAAGTTCGAGACATGAGAAGTGTTTGTGGACATAGTATGAGTGTCGTAAACTCGCCTCCAAATCAGTATTTACAACTCTCCCAAATCTCAATTCACAAACAGAGTCTCAAACTCTCTCTCCTCTCCAAAATGTACAACCTCATGCTTTTTTGATTGACACTTCCCTTCCTCTATTGGCATGCACGTTAGTAATAACGTAATAAATAACTTATTAAGTCAATCTCCATCAAAGGGCGTGGTTTAATTCACTACTACGTATGGGTAACACCGGAATCCTTGAAGCTCGTAATTAAGGTGGTTGCACTAGTGTTTTCCAAAGATTTATACTCGGTGCTTTCCATGTTTTTGGCAGACTACGTGTTTTCCATAAGTTTTGACTCCGTGTTTTCCAATATTATTACGTCAGACTCCGTAATTATGACTCCGAGACTCCGGCTCCGGAACTCCGACTCCGTGTTATCCATGTTACCTTATCAAAATAACACATGCAACACAACAAAGTCATCATTGTCACTGACGTATTAATTATTGGCTCAAGTTTCAGGCGTTACTGTATCAGATGTCCTTATAATTCTAAAGTTCATCATTCATGCTTGTTGGCATTGCAAGAGTAAGCCTTGAATTCACTCAACTTTTTAAGAATATGGGATCGTCGAAATTACATCAAACCGTCCTCTCGTCGAAATTCAGTTGGTCTGTTGAAAGTGAGAGTCTATAGAAATTTTTTTTTTACATGTTTTCATGGTCCAGGGCAAGGGGCAAAGCGATATGCGCTACCTAGTGCTTGTGGTACCTGTGAAACTATCGCCTGTATTCAAAAAGCACACTCGTACTCACAGTCATTGAGTGTGGCATGGGAATTCTTTTAAATTAGCTTCAACTTCTATTGTAAATTGACCATGTTTGAAACTGTTTTGGC